TTCCAGGTCTTACCTGAAGGAGGTTGGTCAAAGTTTGCTGACACGCATATCTACCACAGGTTTGTGGAATGGTTCTTGACAGGGAGGATTAATCAATTCAATGAGGACGAGTATTTTTTGATGATTCTTGAAGCTGTCAAAGCGGCCAACGACACTTTTTCAATTCTTTACTCGTCTGGGTTGTGGCTGACGTCCAATGAAGCGCTTGCAGCTGGAAACAACGGAAGAAAGTGGTTACGTATCTATGCAAATCTTGCCTGTAGGTGCTTCACTGAGCGAAAATCACGCTTCCCGATCTATGTTAAGTTTCACATGTTGGACCATCACTGGCGTCGTTTGGTATCTGGAGCCCAAAACAAATGGACACTGAACATCCTAGCGGAGTCAGTGCAGGCTGATGAGGAGTCTAGTTTGAATTTATTTGAATTTTGATATGTTGGTCGTTATGTGGTCCTATCCTAGTATGTGTCATCACTGTTGTATTTTCCGTTCCCTGGGGATGTCTCATTTCAGGACTTTGTGGGGAGATGCTGTCGCGTCAGCCGACGCATTTCCCCCAGGGCAATTGGATTGAGAGTACTTCAAAGGTATCTTGTGATGGCAAACAAAGCGTGGGTCAACAGCCCGAACCCTGACACTCAGCAGCCGACGAAGAGAAGCTTCGCCGAGATGACGGGCCCGCTTGAAGCTGATGGTCCAAAGCACAGAAAAAGTGGGAGTGAAGCAATTGTGTGTGATTATGGCTGAACCCCCAAATTGGGAAACACCCGTAAGCCGTAATGACCAAAAAAAATGGTTGAGGCCGTATGATCAAAAAAAACGTTCATTTGGGTTCCTAGGTATATATATATAATATTCTTATCCTAATATTGATAATATCCAGCAACTACTGATATTATATTAATGTATATATCTGGTTGGTGGTTTGGAACCATGGAATTTTATGACTTTCCATATATTGGGAATGTCATCATCCCAACTGACTTTCAGTCCATCATTTTTCAGAGGGGTAGGTATACCACCAACCAGATTGGATATAATTACCATGATATACCTTGTGGTAATTTGAAGGTTTGCTATGGAAAATCAGCAATTTTTAATAGCTAAATCATCGTACATCATTTATTTCTATGGGCAATTTTCAATAGTTACGTGAAATTACCAGAGTGTAAACTTCCATAAATCACCATATTTCCCATATTTTCCAATAAATCACCATATGTTCCATATATTTCCCATATAGTGTAAGCCAAAATCTCATGGATCATGTCCTCGATAAACTGCCAATTTTGGGTACACTGGACATCTTCGGGCAGATCCAGGCCGACAAAGGGCCTCCTTCAATGTTCGGGAATACCTTCGCAGTCCTGTGGCGAGAAAAACCGGGGGGCGGATGGGAGATCTTCAGGATCCGATTGAGGACGGAGGTACCGATTCCATATATGCTTGGCCTATTTTTCAGGGCTAAATTTCAGGGAATATACCCCAGAAAATATGGCCTTATATGGTACAGTACCTTCATTTTAGGATCCTGAAATTTCCAGTGACAGGGGCGGATGGATGTTGCGGTGCGACAAAAATTGTTCGAAGACATGTTTGAAGGTACTAAACACCATGGCAACAAGGAATGCGGCGAGACATGTTTGTTCATTTTTCATCAGTCTTCAACGTTTCTTGAATATTCTGGTTGGTGGTTTGGAACCATGGACTTTTATGACTTCCCATAATATATGGGAATGTCATCATCCCAACTGACTTTCAGTCCATCATTTTTCAGAGGGGTAGGGCGAAAAACCACCAACCAGATAGGATATAATTACCATGATATACCTTGTGGTAATTTGAAGGTTTGCTATGGAAAATCAGCAATTTTTTATAGCTAAATCATCGTAAATCATCTAATTCTATGGGCCATGTTCAATAGTTACGTGAAATTACCAGAGTGTAAGCCAAAATCTCATGGTAATTAAACTACTGCCAATCTTGGGTAATCATGGTTTACACTATTAAATTTTGGTTATGTTTAAAACTACTGCCAATTTATCAACCATGGTTGATCATGTTCTCAATAAACTGCCAATTTTGGGTACACTGGACATCTTCGGGCAGATCCAGGCCGACAAAGGGCCTCCTTCAATGTTCGGGAATACCTTCGCAGTCCTGTGGCGAGAAAAACCGGGGGGCGGATGGGAGATCTTCAGGATCCGATTGAGGACGGAGGTACCGATTCCATATATATTTGGCCTATTTTTCAGGGCTAAATTTCAGGGAATATACCCCAGAAAATATGGCCTTATATGGTACAGTACCTCCATTTTAGGATCCTGAAATTTCCAGTGACAGGGGCGGATGGATGTTGCGGTGCGACAAAAATTGTTCGAAGACATGTTTGAAGGTACTAAACACCATGGCAACAAGGAATGCGGCGAGACATGTTTGTTCATTTTTCATCAGTCTTCAACGTTTCTTGAATATTCTGGTTGGTGGTTTGGAACCATGGACTTTTATGACTTTCCATAATATATGGGAATGTCATCATCCCAACTGACTTTCAGTCCATCATTTTTCAGAGGGGTAGGTATACCACCACGAACCATGATTTTCCGGTGGACCCCCGGTGACACCAACAAGGCTCCGAGCATGTTGTGGGGGCCTCGGCATCGCATGTCGGTCACAGCAAGAGCTAAGTGGATGATAATCCACTACAGTGGTATTATAGTGGTATTATATAGTAATTATAGTGGTATAATACTGATTTATAGTGGTATTATATAGTAATTATATAGGTTTAATGGTGATTTTTCTGGGGATTATTGATGGGAATTGGGCACATAATAGTGACCATAATGATTAAAATATATTATAGTCCAATAGTGATTAATACACTATAATAGTACAATAACAATAATCCACTAATATTAGTGATAATAATAGCATAGTGATTCATAGGTGTTAATCAATATTATAGTAAATTATCATGCACACTAGTAATAGCGATTAATAGATAATAATCATACTACAATATCATAGTGACGATAATCCACTACTCCCATCACCCTAATATTGAACACCCCATACCTGGTGCCAATCAAGTGGAAATTCCCTACTTTTTACCATGGTTTCGTTTAGGGCGTGTTTAATATTCGGGGGAAGGGGTTACAATAGTGGATAATAGTATTATAATCATTATTTGTAGTGGTCTTTTCAATGACACACTGGATAATTATAAACTATAATTACAATCATGGACAATGACTATTATTAACTCATTATGGTCACGACAATAACTATAGTATCCACTATCGTTTCAATTATGTCAATGGATGTTAATGGACAATCCACTGTAATCTGTAATGATTCTGGTCCAATAATTGAAATAACCACCTATAGTATGAGACTATAATGGACTATATTATCGTTTTTTGATCACTAATATAAAATAGTCCAATCATATCTTAATAGAAGCGGATTATCACTATAGTCCAACAATCCAAGAATAGAACCAAGACTGACAGTAATGATCTGGTTGGTGGTTTGGAACTTTTTTCCATAGTATATGGAATAATAATCCCAACTGACTTTCATATTTGTCAGAGGGGTTGAAACCATCAACCAGGACAGTAATGATTTAATAGTCCCTTCCTGATGTTGGCAGGTTTACCACAGGAACCTGTGAAAAAACTATCCTCAACAAGTCACGACCCGCCTTAGTGGTCCGTCACGCGGGTCCGAACTCGCGAGGCAAAATTCACAGCCTTGTTCTGTAGTGGTGCCTGCCTACTCCAGCAAGCCTGGGACCTCTGGGAGATGAGAAAACCGGCGAAGATGGTGAGATGTTGCGCTACTAAAACCATAGTGGTTTTCAACCAAAAAATGGTTATTTTTGACAATAGTTGAAAAAAAGGGGTTGATTACCAGCTACAATTTAGCTATTCAATCAAACATGGTTACATGGTTGAACAAATAGGACTATCACCAGCTTAAAAAAAGCTGGTGATAGTTGAAAATGGGGTTGACACTATTTGATAGCAAAAACTTGGCTCAAGCTGGTGTGATGAATTTTCAGATGCTGAATGAAATCCAACCAGCCATTGCGCCGCGCCCAGGACGCGTTTAAGGGATTTTTCCTACGAGGTGCGGGGCTTGAGATCCACCTTGAGATCCACCATAAACCAACATGGACTGGTTGGTGGTGACTGGAACATGACTGGATTATGACGGTGGTTTAATATGGTCAATGGTGAGTAATCATGGTGATTAATGATAAATTATTTGGTTGGTGGTTTGGAACATGACTGGATTATGACTTTCCCATCATATTGGGAATGTCATCATCCCAACTGACGAACTCCATCATTTTTCAGAGGGGTAGGGCTCAACCACCAACCAGATGATGTTCATAAACTAACTAGACTCCAGTAAACTAACAGTTTGCGAACTGGAAAATAGCCATAGAAATAGTTGATTTACCTGGTAAAAATGGTGATTTTCCATAGTTTTTTGTAAACGTTTACTAGAGGGTAGACTACCATTCCATATCATCCCATATTTCACGGGGAAATCTATCGTTTCCGGTTAAGGTTTTCCCTTCAACCATTCCATCGAAAATTTCATCAAAGCTGGGTTATTCCCACAATAATATGTGTTATATATACATATATATATACCTAGAAAACCAAGTGCTCAAATTTTTGGGCACTGGGCTGAAGCGCCCGAAATCATGGTCACTGCAAATTTCAGTTGTTTTGACATGCCAGCTGTTTGAGTTAGCTTTGGGCTCCATGTGGATAGAATCATGTTGTGACATGTGAGGACATGTAAAGCCCCATGTGGAATCCACTATTTTGATTTTAAATCAATCCATGCAACACCCATTCCATCCCAAGTATGATAGAGCTCTTTTCGGACCACCGCTTTTCGATCCGGGACTTGCACTTCAACATGGAGCTGGTGAGGACTGCTGGCTCGCTGGGGCCAGGTTGCCAGAGAAAACAAAGATATTACAGCAATGCCCTTAAGGCAATTTGATATCGACTCAAAGTTCTAGAATGAATTGAGCGAATTGAAACTTTTCGTGAAAATACGCAAATTCTCCCCACGAAGTCTTCATCCATTTGTGTGCTGTAGGCTAGTGGGTTGGGAGTCGGCCACTTATGTCGATGGTGAAATTCAATTTCAAACACCAGCTCCCCAAACATGTGCTGTTTAGGTTGCAGTTTGAACCGCGTTAGGTCTGCCCAATAGCACAGGTCTGCGCAAGAATTGAAAGCATTGAGCAGTCTGTGGCCATGAGAAATAAGGTCCTGTCGTTCGGAAAATGAGAGCCAAAATCCAGCATTGTACAAAGTCTTCATGAATTTGTTGGCTGATGATGTAGCCACGAGACACAACTCGAACAACTTCTTGGTGTCTTCATCCGTAAAGGTGTCAAGTTTGTCTTGAAGTGTATGTTCCAAAAACAGGAGAATGGATACTGTGTCAGCACCCTTGAACCAATTCCTCGGCAAAATGATGCAAAGCCTGCGCCAAGCAAAACCCAATCTTACGGGGAGTGGGCAAAACAAAAATCAGCCACCACCAAAAACAGAAGGTAATAATTACATCCAAGTACCCTACAGGATATTCGCTTGATTTGCCAAAGCCAAGCAGTTGACGAGTCAAGTTCACCAAATGCAGTTGCAAGGAATTTTGTCCACAAAAGCTCTTCAAAGCATCATAGACAACAACGCAATGTTCTTCGAAGGAGAGATACCCAAAAACGCTGTAATCATAGAAGCACACCTGCTGCATCGCTAGGCCACTACAGGCCATCGATAGAAAAACAAAAACGGAACCAAAATTTTACGGGACTTTTCGTCAATATTTCCCAAGACAAGGTACGATGATATTTGCTGCAAGGTCTGCCAAGAACCCTTTGTGGCATGTGTGGAACACGTCTATTTTCAGGAAGTTCGCTTTGCAGGAAGGGTCCATAGGGATCAGCCGAGTCAGGTCAGGTTCCACGTTCCATGGAGCTGGGGACTCCGCGCGCATTGCCAACATGGTGTTGTACGAAGTGTCAAACCATTCAGCATGACCCTCCATGCCTCCCTGACAGAGGTGGCATATACCTTTCCCCTTTTCCGTGTTGTAGGTCAATCGTCCGTGGTGTCTCACAAGCCGTCCTAATTTTGCCAATGCTGGCCAGTCCCCTTTCAGGGCTAATGGAACCAGGAATACGTGTTGTGCTGAACCATCGATTTTGACGGTACATCCATGTAAGAACAATGACCGTAGTTGTTTGCAAAGGTGCTTCACCAAGGCCAAGAGAGGGCCATTTTTGGATTTCTTCCCAGAGTATAACTTTGCTAGCATCACTGAAAACAAGAATCTGGTTACCAGACTGTTTCCAAGGAAATTCAATCCAGGAGTCCAGGCGTCAGCTTTCCATTTGCGACTTCCACGACCCAACAGCGGCTGCACCGCCAGAACCATTAAGGCTTTTTTTAAAACTGAAGTGCCTTCATCAGCATGGATGGCAACAGGGATGCAATATCCCAAATTCTCACGATGTAGCTCGTATATGGGGTGATTTGGCTGGATCTGTTTCCATTGCCGCCAGAAGTCTTCATACTGTGGCACCCTGTTGCCAAACAGCAAAGCGTCAATCTTTTTGTGAACATCCAATGCTTTCACAAAGTCAGCCACTGCCAAAGTTGGGTGGGGGTGAGCAAGCCCAACATCCAAATAAGTCACGGGGATGTCAGTGGATAGGTCAAAACTTGCAAGGTGACTGGACAATCTGTTTTCATGTCCTGTAGTGGCCAACCGCGTGGCAAGCTTACAAAAATCTCGGCTGGCAAGAGAGGCATCATGTCTTAGACAGGGTTGAAACTCTTCCCAAAAAGCACGCACCAAATTGCAAGCTTCCTTCTCAGAAACCTTGGATTTTGAAGAGTCCAGCGAGATCCAGCGAGATTATAAGATTTATCTTATCTCAACCATCACCAAAAATTGCATTTTAATGAATACAAACCCACAGAAGGAACATCACTGACGAGATGAAATTTATTTGGTCGTCATAGTGTGCAACCCCATTACATTTCATATTGTAGGGTAATAGGGGATATAAGAAGCTATGGAGAAAACAAACTGCTCCCCTAATTTTGCCAAAATTCTCCCCTAGCAATTGCCTGGCTCACAGCGCGGGCTGCAGGACCTGCTGCCTTACCAGGCTCTCTTCGACTTGGAGGACTGGCACCTGCGCATGGGTCGGGACTGGCAGGCCGCTGTTTTAATTGTTATGAGATGGCATGTAATGTTGGGAGGTTTCCATGACTCACGCTCCAGTTTTCCCCGAAATTGATCTAAAGCTTCGCAGTAGGCAGGCTGCCAACTCAAGAAAGAGGATTGTGCTGATTCAGCAAAAGCGGTTCTTATCTGCAGGGATCCCCAAACTTTCATTCATCAGGGTTCGATCAAAGCTGTATGTTTGAAAAAGATGGAATGTGAATGGTAATTCCATGCTTGGGACAGCCCTGCTAGAACGACAACAAGCGTATAGAATCACACGCTTCCCCAGCCAAAGTCTGAAGTGAACTGCATCAATCGTCGGGCCTTGGTACATCAATCTCATGTATATATATAAATATATATATATATATGTATATATTTAAAGACATGACTTGCTAGAATGGAAACGTGGCAGAAAAGCTGAGATCTCTACTTGAGAGATGCATCGTACAGGAATCGTCCCCAGCATCCTGACAAGAATCCCATACAATAGTTCGCACAAAAGTTTGAATTGTGCAATTCAAACTTCAATTGGTCAAACCCTTTCCTGAAATCACTTGTTCTTTCTGGACTTTCTGCGGGGCTTTCGAGCTGGTTCTTCACAATCATCCTCCTGTTCCTCCTGACCCCTGGGTCGCTTGCGAGGAGCAGCCTTACACTTCGCTTTGGCCTTGGCCTTTGGCTTTGAAGAGGTCTGGCTGGCTGCCTTTGACTTCAACAGGGTCCTGAGGGAAGAGCAAAGAAAGTTTTTTAAGATTGACATTCCAGAGCTGGACATTCGCTCAACGAGAGAAAACATCTTTCCAACACAATGAGCAGCAGACTTTTTGAGCTTTGTATCCTCCATCAAAGCACGAGATGTCCTGATCAAGAACGTCAGTCATTCATTGATTTTTGTTCATCATTGCTGCGTCAGCCACATGCTCTGGGGCAAGTACTCCGTTTCGATCTTGCGCAGGACTTTGTGGAATGCTTCAACCTTCCTGGGTTGAGGCAAGATGACTTTGAGAACTGGGGCCGTGGGGGACATGTATATATATATATTATGCATAGTAATACGTAAATATATATATATATAATTGTTTATTTAATGTCAACCCTGGATTAATAAACCCCTAGGCTGTTTCATTGGGAAGGTACCTTTTAAGTATTAGATTATGACTATTGGAGGAGTATCCCCCCAATTAATAAACCATGGTTTATGAATCCGGGTTGACATTATATTTATGAAGATTGTGGTTTTATCTCAACATGCTGATTAGATTCGCTTTGTCAAACTTCTCATCTTCACTGCATGCTTTGATGTGTCCATCAAAGTAAGACTTCAAATCAGCCAGCTCATCATGTAGGTTTCCGAGGGTTGAGCGGTACTTGTCTACCTTCTTCAGGCTCCTTAATTCAGGGCCAGATAACTATAACGAACTTGTGAGCTCATGAATGTTGATCGAAAATGTTTGGACCGGGTGTTGAGTATAATAAGTCCAGATTGCTGGTGAGTCAAGCTACTCCTGGGCTTCATTACTGCTCACCGCTGAAACCTTCTCATAAAGTGTATCCATCCGGCCCTGCACACGCAGCAAGTTGTTGACAACCTCTGGGATGTTCTCGTGGGCCTGATGATTGATGTTGATGCTGAAGGGGTTCCATCAGTGATACATTTGCGTTGATTGAAGCACAACATCCATGCTGTTTGGTTGGGATGGGCCTCAAAGACAGACTCCTCTTGCACGTCACCCGGACGGGGCACTTTGGTTCTGGTTGAGCGATCGCTGTCATCTTCGTTGCCTGAGCCAACCTCAGCATCTGAATCGTCAGGATCGGAGGGTGGGCCTCTGTCATCAACCTGAGGCTGCTCAGCAGGGAGCCCAAGGTCAAAGGAGACAGCAGTTCCCTCAGCTCCGGTCTTGTCACACAACGTTTCTTCATTCTCTCGCTCGAATGCCCCAGTTGTGGCCACATCGACCCAGAATTCCCTGATGTTTCGCTCATACTTGTCGCGCCTATGACAGGGAAACACATGTAAAATGACTGATTGCCACTGCCATAGGAACTTAGCTGCATGTTGCTGTTCCAAGTTGATCAATAACACAATAACAATAACAACAGCAGCAACTGCAACATCCCTTGCCTCACATGTGTTTTGACCCGGGATTTCGCAGTGCAGTATCTGCAAACTGCCTTGATTCGATTCCTCAGCCAAAGGTTTGTGGGAGAAAGGAAAAGTAAGGTGAGAGAAGGAGGAAGACCTTGAGAAATGCTGAATGAATTCTAACAAGTATCGTGCTCCACCCCAAGTCCTTTTTCATCTTTTCTTTTGTGAAAAACCCCTTCTCCACCTTGAGTGTGTTCTTTCGGGATCGCCTCTGCATGTGCTCGATTTCCTTCTTGAAGACCGCCTATCAAAAGGCTGATGCGACCAAGAGGGTGTATAATCCATGTGTTTGGGGAAAGACTGTTATATATGGTTGTTTCTCAAAATGGGGGATGCTCGAAAACACCTCTAAAGGGCTGAATTTCGAACACTTTCGAGCATCCCACATTTTGAGAAATGCCCATATATACATATACATGTGCATATATACATATATATATATATATGTTATATCATGTATACTCAAGCACTCATTGTCAAAGCATGGACTGAAAAGGATTGAATTTGAAAACAAACCTGCCTTATCGCCATTTGCTTTGATAAGAATGTTCAAAAGACTCTTTCGCTGTTCACCTCCAGCCATCCACTGTTTGTGAATCTCCTGGCTCACTTCCAGTCGTCCTGAATGTGCTTTCGGTTTGCAAATCCTGGCAAGCTTGGCATTGAGGGCGGCCAGCTTTTTGTACTCCTCAGTGGCCTGCCAAGTGACGGTATGATTTCATGGTGGCAAGTGCATTGAAAAAGCACCCCTCAAAACATAGAAAAATAATGACCGTTGAATTAGCCAAGCCTTCTTCTGCTGCTGGGGCGCATCAGCATCCTCCTGGTAGAGTGTATGTGGTACCAATGAAATCTAATCTAGGGCGCAATTCAATTCTATCTTATTTTTTCATCAAAGGTTTCATTCACAACATGTACAGGAAGCATTTGGAAGCCTCATGACCCCGCCTCCTCACTCAGGTCATCTTCGCTCATCTCACCTTTTTCGCTGTTGTCCTGCCACGAGGCACATTGAGTGAGAGAAAACCATGGGTGCTTTGGGAAGGCGGAGCAACATGATCAACCACAAGATTGATGAGCATATGCAATTCGAAAGTTATCTTTCATTGCATATTATGATGATATATATATATAAGGGTTTATTTCTGAGATCCATCAGTTTGATATATATATATATATTTATATAGGTTTCTTTGGCTCTGCAATTCCGTTCTCATTTGATCCAAAGTGCCCCAGTCCTCTGCAGCTTGACTGGGGCATTTCTGAGATGTAGTTGGCTGAGCAGGGCTTGACTTAACACTCTGTGGCGCCTGTGGTGAAGTCACAGCCCGCACCCGAGCTTCAGGCGTCGATGGAACTTGCCCATTCTGTGCTTGCAGCGTTGCAAGGCGACTTTTGGCAACCTGGGTTGCCAGGGGCAGGTTTGGGCTATCATGTATTGTAATACTATATGACTATATGTATCTATATGTATAAGCAAAAAGAAGCAGCCAAGGGACTGACAGAATATCACCATATTCCACCTGTTCTTTCTTGGACTGGTCATTCAGAAAGGAAAGGCCACGCATCAGTGATCCCGATGACCACTGCCGTGAAGCAAACTTGTGAACTTGCTCCGGCTTGCTGCAAGACATGGCTGACCCCGCAAGAAGATATCGAATCCTTTTGATATAAAAATCGTTGGCAAATATGCACATAAAATACGCATTGGAAATTTTGCTATGCTCTGCATGTGTGATTTCAAATCAATCATGGCGCAGCAGTTTTCCTCAGTGCAGCTATAATTGGCCTCCAAAAAGCATGCCATGCATACAGCAGTTGAACAATCGTAGACAGATCCACGAATTGTCCCCCAAATCACTGTTTTTCATGGCCATGCAAAATCCTGGAAAGTAGCCTATTTCATCCATAAGATTCCTATGGAAATTTACGGCTCTTTGATGGAAGTTTACGGCACTTTCCCATGTTCCAGTCACTGTGACTGCTTTCAGGGTGTTTTTCAGATTCACCCATAATCGCAGGTTGGGGCCATACATTCACCCATAAACGTAGACTGGTGTCCTAAACCCATAATCGTAGACTGGAATATCCATAATCGTAGATTAGAATATATCCTATAATCGTAAACTGGAATACCCATCGTAAACTGAAATGTAATCGGAAACAGTCGGAAAATTCATGGAGGTTTCCCGAAGAGGTAAATTGGTGTACCGATAGCTATAAGATTCGTAATTGCAACATATCACCAGGATCTTGGCCATTATACCACTCAAAATGGTGAATTTCTGTGCTGTCAGGGCATCTAGGCCCACGCCCATAGCTCAGGTGGAAAAAGGCTCTTAAAGTCATCAGGAAGAGATAAGTTCTGGTTGCCGTACAAATACTGCAGCACCTCAACCATTTTGGCATCATGCCACAGGTCCTGGATGGCAGTCGTTGGGGGCAAATCCGCCGGCTTCAGAAAGTCAAGGTCGGGAACCTCGAGCACGTGCAGGAATAATGAACATGCATGGGCAACACCCCACAAGTCTGACCCCCCACAAGTTATATACTAGCAATTTTCCTGTTGGATTGGCACCCCCAAAAAAGGCCCCCACAACCCACAAACACAGCAAACAAAACCCTAGGAAAAATGCTATTGGGGGTAGACTTGTGGGGGCCTTTTCTTGGGGTGGCAAGCCAACAGGAAAATTACAATAATATACCAAAGATTTTGCTATAATATTTGGGGTCGTTCTTTCTGTGAATGGCCAGCCACGAAAAAAAACAACTATAAAACAACCCACAAAGGCACCGGAGATGGGTAGCGAGGAGATCCTTTTTCTTTGATGAGGCTTTTCATTGAAGCGGCAAATTGCCTTCCATATCCACTCGGGTATTCCCTTAGCATGGGGGTCCAGGATTATGGCAGAAAATCCATGAGTGTATGGTCCATCGTGAACATAGCTGAATAATTCAAAGTCATTTTGATGGAACAATGGACTGTAAGTTTCGCACTGGGACTTTTTGAGGCGGCGATTGCCTTTGTAGCGCTTTTTCCCCGCTTTATCATAATATACATCTGCGAGCTTGGATTTGGACGTACGGGATTTCATCCGACTATACTTGCTCGAGGTTGCAAAGTATCGAATCCCTGTACTGTTGCTCCACAAGGTTGTTCTCTTTGGTGATTTCCCTCCCCAGCCACGCATCCAGAAGCTCTGCTTGTATACCTCAATCCAAGGGATGTTTGGAACATAACTCAAGGAATTCAAGCACGTGATAAAAATGGTTTCTGAACTTACAGCAACCAGGGTGCCCTTGTGTACCGCAATATTTGTTGGAACCTAGGGTGCCGAAAAACCAAGCTGGAATGCGGCTGCTCTAATACAAACGTTCCTCCTCGGGCAATGATCAAGAGCACTGCCAAGGCCGTCCTGGCAAGCATGGGCACATTACCAAGGCAAGGTTTTCAATGACCAAGGGAATCTTTGGGTGTTGAATTCAGATTCGAAATGGTGTCACTGATGCAAGCGTCAACTTTCTGATGGGCTGCCAAAAAAGCCGATTAATGGCATTACTCGGCTTTTTTGGTCTGTATATATCACATTCCATGTATCTCCATATGATGAGGTGCCTTGTTTGGTTCAAAAATATCACTCTGAAGTTTGAGACATCTCCATATGGCATTTCTGACAGCGCAATAATGGGAGGTTTCAACAAACAGGGTCCTGGAAGCAAGCAAATTTGAAATCACCACAGATGGTGCAGTTTCATCACCAAGTGGAAGGAAATAATCTCGCATTGTAGATCCACGTGAGATTGATACAAATGTGGAGCATATCAGGGCAATGGATACCACAAGGTCAGGCCCACCTCTCAAAATCGCTGCCAGCAGTAACCTTAGGGGATGAAATGGTAGCATGACAGATCCAAAGAACTGCACAGGACCCTGGATACCACACTTCCATGAACACAGAAAACTTGAGTAACTGCACACTAAGAAACGCAAATCCCGCTGCAGTAGTCAGGTCCAAAGGGTTCCCCTTACAAGTACGTTTCCTAGATCGAAGAATGCGTTCTTGAATCCAAGGGTTCCAATCCACTATATCCAGGGTGCAGGTACTAAACCCGGCCGCCCTCAACTGACGACTCAAAGTGCCAACTCCAGCATACACCTCGATGGCATCATAGTCCTGAACAATGGCAGAGGGTATATTGATGAAAAGTAATGTATCGCTGGAGAGAGTGAGAAATGCTTACGGGGATATTTCAAAATGAGGTGCCATTTATTAAAAAAGAGGGGCATGTTTTTTTTCAAAAAAGTGCGTCCATTTTGATACCAATTTCGACCCTGCCTGGCCGGAAACGGCCCCATCAGTGAAGGCTACAAGGATCACAGCGAGAATAAGAACCTTAGAGAATCACGGGTGTTTTAGCATGTTTTAGCAGCCCATTATATATGACTGTGTTGCTGTGTTGCTATCATGTTGGTCACCATGTCAGGCAAGCTTCTTCTGTGACATTCCACTGAAGAAGGCATCTTATCAAGCGCATGACAGAGGCACGATCCATCGCCGCCATCAGAGCTATAGGGCCCAACAGATCTTGTATTATAGTTCGAAAGAAAAAAATGCTAAACCCATCATTTTGTGATCAATCAATGTGCCAATCAATGCACTTTGGAAAAGGGGCTGCGGTGAACAACCATCAGAAGGAAACCATGTAGCAGTAAAATACATTGGAGAAGGTTCGAAATGGAAAATTGAAAAGTGAAAAATCGGTCTCATGGGCATTGCAATGCACAGAGCAGGGCGTACTTGTTGGAAGGCGCCGGCGCTGCCGGCGCTTGGCCTTTAAAGGGTTCAAACCTGGCATCACGGTGGCAGCCGGGCAAAATATCAGGGGACAACATGAACCAACAAACAGCAATCTGGGAATTCCAAGTCTTAATTGTCAAACTGCATAATGTGCTCTTTTGTCACCTGAATGGTTCACGTCAGCTAATGTATGTTGCCTGTTTCCCTCAGGCCACGTGATTCACGTGTTCGCTCAACTCACAGCAGTTTCTCATAAGGGCAGCGAGGCTAGCGCACATCCAGGACTTTTGAAAGTCGACAGCTTGATATATTTGTATAATAGGTATATAATGTTATGAATATACATTGAATCATTGAATGATCAAAATATACATCGGTCTTATGAAAATCGACCGGCATGACCACCAAAGTTAACTGGATCATATGGGCGCAATCCCGTATGTGGCACACTCAGCTGCCAACACCCCACATATTGGGCAAGGGTTCCCCTGCCAAAACGACATCACCTGGGGATGTCTCACTCAGATGCCATCAGCGGAGGCCAAAAAAGCCGAAAGTTGTTGAAGCGCATCATGATGAACCATACCTTGGAGGCTGGTCATGTGTGTGGGGTGTGGGTGTGTGGGCGTGTATTTCTTGGAATGCATGCAAGGGTATCATTTTGGAGATGTTGATTTGGACAAAGACCATGAATGAAATCACCATGACATTCCAACTGAATTAATTTGAGATACCTGGATGTGTTCACCAAAGCGTTCACTTTTTCGACTTCGATGCTGGACTGTTGTCCGTGGTCTTCTTGTCCGTCTTCTTGCGTTTTGTTTTGGAAAGGAAGGGTGGGACATCATTTGGAACAGGAAGGTCCTCCGCAGTGGACTCATTAAATGAGTGCCCTTGCTCAAGCCTCACATCAGCTGCTGAACGGCCCCTGAAATTCGGGTTGCGGCACACCTTGCACCCATTGAAAATGAAACGGCAATTGCTGCATCCGAAGACTTGGTTTTCGAGAACCTCATACCGCCACTTCCCCTCGCCCAAGTCAATGCGGTCCTGATAGACCTTGCTGTGGCCACTGGGTTCGACAGTCTTTGTAGGTGTTTTCCTATTGGTCGGGTCTTTTGCATCCTTTGGCTTTCTCTCAGTCTTGCTCTTTGTCTTGGTTTCTTTGGATTTTCCCGACTTGCTGCTGCGGCGTCGGCCTTCTGTTGGTTTGTCAGCCATGGCATCTGCATTCTTTGATTTCTTTGCATGTTTGCCATTCTTTTCTTTGCCAGTCTTTGCCTCACCTTTCTTTGCCTTGCCACCTTTCTTTGCCTTACCACCTTTCTTTGCCTTACGACCTTTCCTCATAGTGGCACGTTTGCTGCTCCTTTTTGCATGCTGCATCGTGGGGGTCACCTTCGGCCGTTCCACCTGAGGGTCAAACAAAGTAATGAACATCAAGTTCACATGTTAGAGATCGAGCAAGAAAAGCACACTATGCCAATGCGCAACAAAGAATGAAAAAATGAGCCTGATTGGCTGCATCGGTCTCAGTCAAAGCTGTGGTCTCTGGACGTTCGGTCTCCAAAGGGCTGGGCGGGCTCTCCAGCGGTTGCGTGTCCAACTGCAATGCATGCATTTGTGAAATCAAATATGAAAGGATCTTCAGTATGGATGTCAAAATGCTTATATATATATATATGCATATTATATGTATAATATATATATATATGACATATATATATAATATGTATCGTATATATATATATATGTTCTACCATGGCTACATTGCTGCAAAAGATTGCAACTTTTGCCTTGGAAGGATCTTCAGCTGGTGGCAAGGCAGGACAAGCAGCACCTGAAGGACGGCTCGTGGGCGCATGAGGGCTCTTGAAATTCTTGGGCCATACAGTAACATACATTGCTGATAAGTGGCGGGGGCGTTTCGATGCCTTCGGGGCCACATCATCCCTGAGTGTGATCATCAAAAATGTTGACCTACTAAGATTGAAGCATATGTGATTTTTATAAAACACATTGATCTCTCAGGATAAGACTTATTGTCTGGGTCTGGATCCAGCTGATTGATAGCCATGAGAATCTCATGCAACTCGGCTTCTTGCTCTGGAGTCATGTGCACATTGAAGCCCATACCTTTCAAGAGAACATTGGGTGGGCTCAGAGTTGCCTCGGACAAGTCAGAGCGGCTCCTTTCGAGGGATGCGTTGGCATTTTTCCTCTCCATCTTGTGTTTGGGTTTGGGTGGATCTTCTTTGACACGTTTTTCCTGTTCATCATCTTCATAGTAGTCTGAATCACCATGGACCTCCCCCTTAAGATTGATGGGACAGGGGCTCTCTGCATCACCATCCGCGAAAGCCCAATCATCTCGAGTCTGTTGGATCAACTGAAACAGGTCTCTCACGCGCGGGTCCTGCAAATGGGAACCCCAACAACGCTAGAATATATAACATACATTAACATACTAAAACCTATACTTATAACATATTATATGTATACAGGATACAGGTATATACATTTATAACTTTATAGGGCATCAAGAACAATTTTTGTAACCCAGGTCCCGGGGCCGCTGACCTCTCTTACGACAGTCTCGCTGGCGTTTCCATGCAAAAGTGTATAACCGGCGTAGGTCCCAAGCATCTTGGTAGGACTCAAGCTTGAGGTTCTTGCAATCATACTTGACCAAGAGGAACATTTTTTTCACCTACCAAAAGCTTCCATCAAAGGGTCAGACATGTTGTATGTCACACCATCATGGTCAGTTGTAATCAAACATTTTTTAGACATGCAACATGTGTTCCAAGGGCCTCAGCGGACAGGGTGCTGATATCCACAAAGTCTCCATGATAGTGTTCCACCATCGCCCGCACAGCATCTACATTCATTTCCAAACTCTTGGTGCAAACGGGGTGCTGTTCAACTTCCCCATTTTCCTCATCACCCAAAACATTTTCAGCAGATACCGGCCACTGCAGCCAGCCAATCTGCTTTCTAAAGCGACCACGGACTACTGTACACTGTTCCAACTGGTTCGCAAAATCAGCAGGGATCTCAGCATCAGAATCGGTCATGGTGGCACCCCTCTAGAAAAACCCTCTCATTAAAATTGCTTGAGATGAACATGCCACGAGATGTCAGCTATAAAATCTCACTAGTGACGGGACCAGAAAATTCTGATTTGAAGCTGATTCGTTGCTGCACATGTAGCTTTGTGCAGGACCCAAGAAAGTGAGCAAAGCAGGCCAGGAAGGCTCATCCAGTGATCTCGAGGTTTCCTCGGCGGGGCACAGGGGTCAAGGATGGCACCAATTCATGTGAAGATTTCAGTCATATAACTTGAAACCATTTGCTGCTGAGATTCAGCAGCTCTCATTGCCGAGGGATTCAAACATTCATCCGGAATCCTGCATTGAATAGTGCGTCATTTAAGATTCAGAAACCGATCAAGCCGCTGCATGATGTTGCCTCTAAATCCACAAGAAATCATATGAATGTGACATTCAAGCTCCTTGGCCCCTTCTGACTCCCAAGATGGAAGTGAGAGCCATGGCGATCAAATCCATGGGCGGTTTTCTTTGAAATTTGTTAACCTGTTTGATGTTCAACCTTTCCATATCATTTGCGTCCCATCAAAAACTTGGAAACTGGTTGAGGAGATATGCCAAGCTCTCATGTGCTCCGTTGCTAGCAATGTGTCACGAACAAAATGCAGCCAGAAGCTTCTAAAAGGAACCTGCAGATTGAGCGAGGCTGAGGGCACTGGTGCGAGTGTGCTCTGCAAACTTCAAAATGCAGACACCTTCCCAAAACCTCAAAGTATGCTATTTTATCCATAAGAATGGGAAAGTTCCAGAGGAATAGGCTACTGGCTCAAAGTAGCCTGAAAAAATAGGCAACTACGGCGTTCCAGGTATTGCTATATTCATATTGTATTATCCCATCTTATATATATATATTACTATATATATATTAATAATTCATATTCCCACACATTATACTATATATTGTATATATATACACCGTATGTATGTATGGTGATTGCATATTTATCCCATGTTCTCCATTTGTTTTTTCCCATATCCATTTGCCCCATCTGAATCCGAAACCACGGCCTCAGCCTCCTCGAAGTCGTGCTCCGCTGACGTGCGCCTGAAGGATATTTTTGGTGAGAAATCCCTGAGAAAAATGGGGGATTTCATGGGATTTCATGGGATTTCATGGGATTCATAAAGGATGGGGCCCCCCAAGATAGCGTTCAGTTGGTTCTTAAGTGGCTGAATTAACTATGGTTTATGGTAGATATTTCACGAACTAGATAACTATGGTATTCATGGGCTTTATAAACCAACGTTCACATCACTCTTTCACATAACGAACTGGAAAATCCACCCATTTTATAGCTGGGAAAATCCACGAACCAACTGGCCATTTTCAATAGCTATGTAACAAATTACCAGAGGCTAAATTCCCATAAATCAACATATATTTTCCATATAATTTCCAATAAATCACCATATTTTCCATTTCCATACATGTCCCAGTGGTAGAATCCATATTTTCATAACTATAGAAAATCACCCATATCAATATCAAATTGGAATCTGGAGAGGGTGCTCCACCGGTGCTCTATTCCTGAGATCATCAAGGTCCATGGGAGTCCATCCATGGCGGCATTTTCGAGGGTCCACAGGACAAAACGATATAGTGTTACTAACACATAGTTACTATATGAACCATTTTATTACTTCTCCTGTGGACACCATATATGTATATATATATATATGTAACTATATATTTTGGACACTGTATATATATATATTGTTTGTAACTATATATTTTGGGCACTATATATATTTTGTTAGTTACTATAGTGTTTGTTACTGTTAGCAATAATAAACCACCCATATTTTGATGGTTTATACCCCTGGGTCCATGGCAATTTTATGAACCGATGCGACGCGAGGTACTACTACCCGGTCCGCACCTCGAGTTGAGCGCCATGAATCCCATATAGGGATGCCATAGATAATATATATATATAACTATCCGTATTTTTGTATGTATATATATATATATGTATATATATATGTATATATATATACGATAGTTATATATGTTTTTTCAACATGTGGGTAAATTATAAGGACCTCACTGTCCTCCCTGGATCATTCCTATGGGGAATCATCCCTCAGATGGACGATCACAGCTTCTCTAATCTTCCTCTAAATGAAGAACTACCCGGCCTGGTAAACTTACAAAAAACCATAGGAAAACCATAGGAAAATGGTGGTTTAATGGGATTTAATGGGATTTAATGGGATGTAATAGGATATACTCTCTGGTAAACTTTCACGTAACTATGGAAAATCACAATTTTTAATGGCAAATTCCACTATTTCTATGGCCATGTTCAATAGCTATGTTAGTTTACCAGAGGGTATTAGTGAAAAACCACGATCTAAATGATGCTTATATAACTTATATGGTTCCCAAATAGATGAAGTTTCCCCGAAGAGATAGCACGTGCACTTGGATGTGCGGGCACAAATCGGATCCGAGGTTTACAATGTTACAATACCAATATATCAATATAATCCCAGAAGTGGGGGATATGCCGTGAATCTCACTGGGTCGAACCTTTTCCAGCAGACATGTCTCGAGATTTTCGGAGTCACCTTCCAGGTGCGCAGCCGTTCCAGCACACCGCGACGCAGGTGCTGTGAACGAATCAGGTTGAGTTTTTACGCAGCAGATGATGTTTGGAGATGGTTTTATGGGATTCCAGTTTTTTGGGGGGATTACCTTCTGGTAAACTAACAGTTTGCGAACTAGAACATGGCCATAGAAATCGTTGATTTACCTATTATTTTAATGGTGATTTTCCATAGTTTTTTGTAAACGTTGACCAGAGGGTATATCCTATTAAATCCCATTAAATCTCCATTAAACCACCATTTTCCTATGGTTTTTTGTAAACGTTGACCAGAGGATACATCTTGAACCCCCCATATCATGAGCTTGATCCCGCGCCAGGGATTCCCCGACGCCGCGCTATTTGAATGTGTGGACCTTTGTGGACCTTGGGACGGGGAGTATCTTCTCATGGTATCTCCAAACGGGTTCGGTTGATGTCCTGTCCCATATTGCTGGGTTAATGTTGGTTAACCATTTTTGTTGATACCAAATATTGGGTTCTGATATATTTGGACGGTTGATGTCCATATTTTTGCTGGGTTAACCAACAGCGTTGGTGTCGATGGGGCTGCGCACAACTGCGCTGTGAGATCCTGAAGCAGCTCGCGGAGCCAAGGCAGTGAAGAACAGCTATGGCCATGTGACAGGAGCCCAGGCCTGACAGTCACAGTCACTCCAGTTGTGAATCTCATTGGGTTGTCCCATGTGCCATGTATGCATTTAATGGCACTGCACGCCTCAGTGTTTGGTTCTCCCAATGTGGACTGGGTATCATGGGTATCCAGCTGCGCTGTCCAATTTGATCTTCACTGTTGGTCATTGTACTGTCTATAAATATCTATAAATCAACATTTGGGTTTGTCTGAAAATAGGGTATATTCCCAATTATAGCCATTTAATAGGGATAATGATCAGCAAAACCATTGGGTTTAGGGGTACACAACATTTTCAGACACACCCATTTATTGTTAGGAATGTCGAGCGTGCTTGATGATCACTGATGGACCTTAGCATGTTCTTTGCTCTTTGAGTCCTCACTTCTATGGATTACCCGGCCTGGTAAACATACAAAAAACTATGGAAAATCACAATTTTTAATGGGAAAACTCAGATGAAAACTCACTATAAATTGCCATTTTCAATAGCAAACTGTTAGTTTACCAGAGGCTAGCTATGATAAGCTCCTCACTTTTGCCCGGACTTTTGCCCAGTCTCCAGCCCAAGGCGAGGCCCCCATATGATGATAGGCCCATATCACGTTGTATCATGATAGGTTTGATATTTTTCAATCATGACTAGCGGGTTGATTAGGGGATATACATAGGGGAAACAACTATAGTATTCATAGGGGTTGATAAACCAACTTATATATAATATATATATAATATACATATATATATAATAATATATATATAATATATAATATATATATTATATATATCAGGGGTTGGTAACTGTCCCATTTTGGGAATATTGGACATCACCTTATAGTAGCCATTATAGACCATATACCTAGTGGTTGGGTGATGTTCAATGGGGACATTTAATGACCCATGTATATACATATGTATATGTTGCATATGTTATATCCATTTTTGTATAGTCTTTCACCGGGTCACCTTGCCAGGTGCCCACCACTGCGCCTCAGCTGGGGCAGGGCACCATGGCCCCGGCCACCCAGCTGACGAGTCTGGCTCCGGGCGCGGGCTGCCCCTCGAGCTGTGGGCCTACCATGCCGACGGGGCCAGCAGGGGCCGCAGCTTGCGGGCGGGTGGAATTAATGCAGGAAAGATCCAAAGTTGTTGATGGTTCAACCACTACCCTCTGGTAATTTAACGTACTGTAGCTATTGAAAATGGCCATTTATAGTGGATTTACCCATTAAAAATGGTGATTTTCCATAGTTATGTTAGTTTACCAGAGGGTACCTATCCAGTTGGATTAGTTCGTTTGTCCTTAAATATCCCGGATTGAATAAATGTTGAATCTATCAACAACTTCGGATTTGGCGAATGAACAAGGGGGAAGCAAAGCTGGGAATTCAAGCGACAAACCTAGGGCATCCTACACCAAGAAATGAACCAAACTGGTAATTTTTGAGAATTGATGATCCAATTTACCCAGATCTATATACCCTCTGGTAAATTAACATAGACCCTGAAAATAGCCTAGTTTTAATGGAAACTAATCTTCCAACCCCTATCTGCTAGGGTCTATGTTAATTTACCAGAGCGTAAATCCCCATTTAATCCCCATTTAATCCCCATTTGATCCCCATTTGATCCCCATTCTGGGGGTACCCAAGGCCAATACCCTACTCAGTTGGGTCTTTTTAGGATGTACTTTTGAAAGGGTGGATTCAGCGGATCATGCAGCTCGACGCGGATGAGGATGAGGATGAGGATGAGGATTAATATTATTAATATATTCAATATTGCTATTATTAATATATTCAATATTGCTATTATTATCATTGTTATTATTAGCATTATCATTATTATATTATTGCTATCATTATTATTATTAAGTATTATTATTATCATTATTATTAAGTATTAATATTAAGTATTAATATTAAGTATTAATAACTCGTATTATCCTTTGCTTAAGCCCCAACTGGAAGCATCCCCACTTGGAGAGAAGTGCCACAATCTGTGGACTTTTTCCTCACTGCATGAGGTCTACCAGACATCGATGGCACCGGTTTATTCCAAGACCACTATGGCACCAGGCGGGTGAAGCATCAGTCCAGGGGAATGCTGGAAGCATGTGGTGAAAAACCATGGGCTAATCCACCCTAGCAATGGAAAATTTCCCATTTGAGGGACCAGCAGAACTATCTATATACACCAACTTATATAATTTTCCCATATATATATATACATATATATATATATCACATATATACATATATATATATATACATATATATATATATATACATAATCATATATATATATTATATTTTTTCCTAGATATGTTTTTCTCCACTTGCCAGGTTTGATTATTGCTGGAGGGTACATACTGAGGGTGTGTAACCACCAGCCACATAGAAGCAGTCGCCAGACGGGAGACTCGCCCGAGCCAGGCCCTAATAGCCAGACTTTGCTGCATCATATCAAGCAGGCTTGGGAAGCTTCATGCCGAAAAGTCTTGAAATCAGAGTAGTGATGGAGAATGAACTTGCTGTTTCCTTATAATTTGTGGGCTTTGCTCCCAGTTCTGAGATTTTCCAAAAGGGTAATTTCACTGTATGTAACTGGCACCCCTGGGTACGGGTCATTTTTGATGGCCTCACTTGTGACCGGTACTGGTCCATCATTTTATGAGCTAAGCCTTTTCACAATCCCAGCTGGATTAACAACAGGAACCCAGTTCATACCACCAAACGCAACCCTTTTGCAACCCCAGTTTTTTGCACTGCCTTTCCATACAGTTGTAATCTCCGAGTAGTTATATCATGATAATATCATGTTTCTCATGTTTCTACTATATAACTCTGTGATTACTCCGTGTACCCTCTGGTAAACTTTCACATAACTAATTATGGAACATCCACCCATTTTATAGCTGGGTAAATCCACTATAAACTGCCATGTTCAATAGCTATTTTGACATAACCAGAGGGTAACTACGGTTTGTACTCCAGCCATGTGAATTTTCAGCTTCGCCAGGTGCCAACGCCCTGCAAGTACCGCAGTCAGGTTGGAAAGCACTTGGATGGATGGGCATCCCATGATTTTTTCGTGGATCCGTGGCCTAAAAAAAAGATTAGAACGCTTCTACAACTGGGGATATACCATATAGAACTGGGGTACCCTCTGGCAATTTGTAACATAGCTATTGAAAATGGCCATTTTGTATGGGAAAATCCACTATAAATAGCCATTTTGTATGGGAAAATCCACTATATATGGATGTTCATCCCCAAACAATCAATGGGAGATCTCCAGGATCCTAAAATGGAGGTACGTAAACGTACCATATTTCTGGCCATATTTTCTGGGGATATTCCCTTACATAGGCCTGAAAAATAGGCCTTATATATGGTAGGTACCTCCAATTCAGGATCCTGAAATGGCCATTGATATAACTGGGGTATAGTATAGTATGACATGGTTGTATATCCACTAGATAGCTAAGTTGGTGAACATAACTAGCTGAATTCTATGGTTTATGGTAGATATGTCGAACTAGTATTCATGGGGTTTATAAAGCAACAAACATACATATCTGGGGGAAAACCACCTTGTTGGAATTGTTGATTGATACGCAGTTGGTTACACTTCAATGGTGATTTAATGGTGACATAATGGGATATAATAGGGATATAATAGGGATATAATAGGGATATAATAGGGATATAATAGGGATATAATAGGGATATAATAGGGATATAATAGGGATATAATAGGGATATAATAGGGATATAATAGGGATATAATAGGGATATGATGGAATGGCTTGGTAAATGTCCCGTTCTGGGATTTTGAACATCATTTTCAAGAATCTGTTGGAGTTCATATATCCCAACAATCGAGTGATTAGGACATTTACTGTAATCTCTACCAAGCCCTGTAGAAATACTTAGTTAATGTACATATTAGGTTGATACAGGTTACAGTAAATAGGAAATATACCAACCAAAATAAATTAGGACATACAGTAATATTATGATTCTGATGATACTCAATCAATCTCAAGTGTATAGATCCCCAAAAAAGACTCTTAGCGTCTACTAAGTTTGTAGCAACTCCAGACATACACGAATTGGATGAAGCGATATATCCTGGACATGCTACATCCTCATTTACCAATCTATGTAACTTAGTTACGTTCCATTATATCCCTATTATATCCCATTATATCCAAGCATTACATCACCATTAAATCACCATTGAAGTATCACCAACTGAGTATCAATCACCATTAAATCACCATTAAATCACCATTAAATCACCATTAAATCACCTATTATATCTTATTATATCTTATTCAATGACCATTATATCACCATTAAACTACCAATCTCATCCTGGGAAATCTACCTCTGCCAGATGGTGTCCATGATTCCCACGACCTTGGCGCCCAGTGGATCCTATATGAGCTCCAAAGTGTGCTTGCCTGGGGTGAGATCTGGGGTGCCAACTTCTTGCAGGATGTGGCCCCCGTTGGATAGCGTGAACCGTTGGTTTATAAGTGGCTGAAAAAACTATGGTTTATGGTAGATATTTCACGAACTAGTTAATGGGGATTATTTCATGGTTTATAAACCAACTTATAACTGGGGGGCCCCATCCTGTGGGGGTGTTTAACAACAGGATTTCTCGGATGTCCGGAAAAGAAAATCTGGAGATTTCATGAAACAACACAACGACTGGGCTGAAAAAAGACGTCAACGAAACACCTCTGCGAATCCAATCAACAAACATTACCCTCTGGTAAACGTTTACATGACTATGGGAAATCACCATTTTCAATGGGTAAATCCACTATAAATGGTCATGTTCAATAGCTATGTTAAATTACCAGAGGGTAGGCGGAATTCAACAACGAATATTTTTATGCGAGAATACAACGAAGTGATACGATGGCAACCAGAGATAGCCGGAGAGTTGACCCTTTGGACGTTCATGGGACCGTTTGTCGGAAAATAGATTGATTTAGTACCCTAAATCAATTGGATGATCATCATTTTTCCTATCATTTTTTTTTCTGGGGTATACCATGGTATACCCCATTTCCAGACACACCCATGTTCTTCACTCTTGTTCAGTGTTTAGCTCTGGCCGAAAAATGCCGCCATGAGCCAGTAACATGGAGCGACTTCTCGGAATCATGGTTTATTTGAGGGGAATCATCCCCTTCTATGGCCGAACTATTCAGGTTTTTGTGAAATATGATAATTTGCCCAGATATATGGTACCAATAGTTACTATTCTATAGATGGCTATATTAATGGTATATATGGTATACATGGTAACCATATATCATATTTCACGGTTGGAAAGATCCAGCACTTTGGGTTTACGGTTTGTTCACTGGATTGCACCCCAGTGGCCGACCGGCTGAAAATGTTGATCCACAGGTTCCCTTTTTTTTTTCGTTCTCACAGTTTGTTTGTCATGAAAAAAAGAACATCCCTCAATTCTGGTATTAATTGGGATTAAAAAAACAGTTTATCATGTTACTCACCATATTAATCCCTCAATGCCTTTGGTCTTAAATGCTGATCCCGGTCCCATTTGTTGCTGAACTCCAGGGAATTTTGCGAATCCCCCCGTGGCGACCGAGGACTCTGCACCCAATTCCTTGTGCAGCACGGTGAATCGCACCAATCAGGTGAAACGTCCGAAAATGGTGGCTGTTTTGTTGCGGGAAATGGGTCAAAATTTACCCTCTGGTAAACTAACATAGCTATTGAAAATGGTGTTATAGTGGATTTTCCCATCAAAAATGGGTGGATTTTCCATAGCTAAGTTAAATTACCAGAGGGTAAGACAAATGGACCAGGTCGATTGGAGTGTGTAGATTTTTAGGATGAACCATCTAAGTATTGGGAGATCCAATTTTGACACACTCAAATGGTTGGTTGGTGGTTTGGAACATTTTTTATTTTTCCATATATTGGGAATGTCATCATCCCGACTGACGAGCATATTTTTCAGGGGTTGAAGGCACCCACCCGATGGTAATCTTCATTTTGGGAAAATGATGAATCATCAAATGGGTATGGGTCAATACCTATTAATACCATTTTTAATGGGATGAACATCCATTTACCAGCTATTTTGATGTGAACTACAGGGGTACAAGGTTTTGACACACTGCCAAATAACCTGCAACAAGTTGATATTTTTTTAAAGGAAGCATCAGTTTGACAACGCAGAAATCCTGTTAAATAATTCATCTTTAGCCTATGTCAACTGGTATCTCGAGTCATATCCCCATTATATCCCTATCCCTCATCCATCTCCATCAAAATTGTAGAATTCAATTTATCTCAATGGCCATGCAGGAACCGATTGATTGGAGGTCCTACCACATATGACGCCTACAGTATTTTTCAGGCCTAGATTTCAGGGAATATCCCAGCAAAATATGGCCTTATGTACAAGATGGGGCCCCATAGTTATAAGTTGGTTTATAAACCATGAAATAATCCCCATTAACTAGTTCGTTATATCTACCATAAACCATAGTTTTTTCAGCCACTTATAAACCAACTGAACGCGAGCTCGACTGGGGGCCCCATCCTGTAGGATACTAACGTAGCTCCATCAATTGGATCCTGAAATTTCCATGGATTCCATCCTCAGGCGGGCAAGTCGGCCGCAGCGTTGGGAGCCCGTTGAGTTCACCTGGCGTTGGGTGCTGAAATGTGTGTCCAAAAAAATAGCGGTAGATGATGATTATGACGATATAATGGGATTGATAGTAGGAAATCTCTGTTGACAATGGATTATAGAAGATGATTAGTAGATTCAATGATATATTTTATGGAATTTATAGTAGGAATTAGTGGGATTTCATGGGATTTATACTCGGATATAGTGGAAATCCGTTGCCATATGATCTACCATTCAGAAAGTGGCTTTAACGGGCAAGATCATGGTAGATCCATGTACTGTAATCTATATAGATTATGTGTTATTTTTGGAGTGATATATGAAGTACTCTCTGGTAATTCAACAGTTTGCTATTGAAAATGGCCATAGAAATAGTGGATTTTCCCAGCTATAAAATGGGTGGATTTTCCATTGCTATGTGAAAGTTTACCAGAGGGGATGAAGTGCCCATATAGTCCAAATAATCTATATAGAGAGAGTTATGCAATGATTATGTATAATCATCATGATGGACATGATGGATTACATGGATTGTAGGGCTTAATACTGCTTATATAAGGAATATTAATAGACGTCAACGGATTATACGACTTACTAACCTACGGACAGCAAATACACGGATTACTGCAATCGATTATAATCTATGGAGCGGGAACCCCCCTTTGTTTGATCTTTTTTGTATGTCTTGTGGTCTCACTGTCACATTTGCGGGTTCAAACCATTCTGTAAAGGTTCAATATGTCTCAATCCTCAACTTCTTTGAATCGTCCAATTTTGCAGCTCAAACCTAAACCTTTGTTTCCGTGACCTCTTTTTATGGTTTGTTCAAGTTTCATATGTCTGGGTAAATTATAACGACCTCACTGCGACCTCTGGATTAAAGGTTAGTAAGGGGAATCATCCCAAAATAGCCTTATTTCAGATTAATGAATCATTGTAATTTACCCAGATATGTTTCAGTCGTCTGTCATCTCTCGCTTTCCAGAGAACATATCCCTAGAGTTGCAAGGTGGTGCCCCCCCAGTTATAAGTTGGTTTATAAACCCCATTAACTATAGATATATCTACCATAAACCATAGATATTGGAGTTATGTTCACCAACTTAGCTAACTATGGGGCACCACTATGTAGAGTTGCGCACGTCCCCCCATTTTTTTAGGTCAACATCCCATTTCTTCCCATGTACCCAGGCCGGTGCCGGGTCAAAGTGCACACTCGTGCGGAACGCTGGGGTGGGGGGGTGGTCTTCAGATGGAAATGATGGGGATATGACTTGATGATAAAGAGCCTATCTAAATAATTATTCAATATCAAGTATCTAAATATCTAAGAGAATCAATATGACTGGATATATATAACTTTTTAATACTTGTTAGAACATGATCTAAATCGATTTTCTCCCGGAATTGTACGGAGAAAATGTGGCTTTGAAGCAACAATGCTGGGACCGACGTGATTTCAGCCAACAGAGTTGGGCTTTTTGACCATTTTCACCTTAGAGAAGCTAACTTGACTGGATTTCTGGTCGACGTTTTTCGCAAGAATCATAAGTTACCCTCTGGTAAACTAACATACGTATAGCTATCATAGCTATGGACAATCACCAATTTAGCAGGTAACTCATCTATAACTGGACTATTTTCCATAGCTATGTTAGTATACCAGAGGGTACTGGGTATGATGGGAGTTTCCCATTTTCAATATGAAGTTGGACAACTGACCCTTTGCTAAGATACCGCGGTGCTGTGTGCAGTTCCAAGTGTGGTTCGGATGTATCCTGATGAGCTAGGCAAGAGAGTTTAGTCTTTTGAGGGTAAACTCTGAGATAATTCAGATACCCTTCGGCAATCAAACATGGTTTGCTGATGTTTTTTTTTTGTTAACACCTTCATTTATCTGGGTAAATTATAACGACCTCACTGCGACCTCACTGGAATCATGGTTAATAAGGGAAATGATCCCCAAATGGCCTTAATTCAGGTTAGTGAAATATTATAATTTTCCCAGATTAATAACTAACCCATTATTTACCCATTAAATATGGATGATAAACCATTTATACTAGGTTTAATAGGTACCATACCATTTATAGATATCTATTAAGATGAATTGATAGAATCCCCCAGCTAGCCATGTTTGGTTACCGGCGCAGCGCAGCTCTAAGGCTTCTGGGCCCTGCACGGCAGCAGTCCACCGATCTGGTCGGGGGGCCTTCACGCGAGCTCGGTGAAAGACCCTGACAACCGAGGTAAACACCCAAGAATAGATGGGAAAACCATGGGAAAACCATGGGAAAACCATAGGAAAACCATGGGAAAACCATGGGAAAATGATGGTTTAATGGGATTTAATGGGATATATATATATATAGGATGGGACCAAGATAGCTTAGCTAAGTTTGTTTAGAACAATGGCTGAATAAACTATGGTTTATGGTAGATATAACAAACTAGTTATTGGGGTTTATTTCATGGTTTTTCTGAGCCAACGTTCACATAACTATGGGGCCCCATCCTGTAGAGGTTTAGGAAAATTATGAAATTGGGTATACCGCCATTTGGAATGATGGGATGGTTTATGATATTTTATGATTGGATTTGCCACATTACATTTCTGAGAGATGTTCCTGCCATATTTCTTCAGCATAGCATCTGATGATCTCCAAGTCGGGATGTTTCACTGTTTCAATCGGGTTTTGAATGGACAGCATCTGTGGCCCAAGGTGCAAACAATCCAACTGACGCAGACGGAACTGCAGGCTGGACCACGTCGGCAACCGTCCGAAATTGCTTTGCTTAGCCTAGAAGGATTCAACTGCTTAAGCTCTTGGTTTGGGATGTAGAATACCCATAGAATTGGATCCTTTTGGCTTCAAGATTTTCTGCACAAATCGAGAGCCAGCACCGTGAGGAGCGAATGACCAAGCAGCAGCAGCAACATTTGCAGGACAAAGAGCAAGAGGCGCTGCCACCTCACTGGCACCCCATGATGGATATGGTTTGCCCTCTGTGAAGGTGGCCATTGGACAACTCCCAAGTTATAGATTGGTGGTACAATTTAATTGGAAAGTGTATAGATGATTCTCCTATAGGATGATTTCCTTTTTTCAACATCCTCCAATTATAATCTGATTGGTGGTTTGGAACATGACTTTTATGACTTTCCATATATTGGGAATGGAAAATCATCCCAACTGACGACCACTCCATCATTTTTCAGAGGGCTCAAAGGGCTCAACCACCAACCAGACAATATCCCATTATATTTCCATTATATTTCCATTATATTTCCATTATATTTCCATTATATTTCCATTATATTTCCATTATATTTCCATTATATTTCCATTATATCTTATTATATATCCCATTAGGGGTAGGTATAATTAGCTAATTATAAACTTCCATTTACTTCGAGGATTTTCCATTGCTACGTTTCTTGACACCGGAGGGTCATCGTAATTAATTCATATACTGGAAACAAAATCCCAGGACTGGCGAACCTTTCAGTGTGGGGTACCAAGCTGCTGTTTGCAGGAACATGGCTAGCCAGGAATTTCCAGTTTTGATAGAGTGAATTTATCACATTTCTAAGACAACTACCCTCTGGTAAACTAAATACTTATGGAAAATCAATTTTTTTATTGGTAAATCAACTATAAATGGCCATTGTCAATAGCTATGTTAGTTTACCAGAGGGTAAGTAGATGATTTTCGCTGTAAAATGGCTGGTTGTCCAGTGTGCCATAGTTGAGTCCCATCGTCTGCAACGTCGTGGCGCCGGACGCTGCTCTCCCAAAGACACGCAACGCACTTCACTAGAAACAGCTTTCAAACACTTCTCAATCCTTCCAATATGTATGTTTAATCAGAAGGTATCCCAAAGTTAGCGGCTATTTCCAATTCTTTTGAGTGTATCCAGTTTACTCAGCTTATCAATATTTATCAATGGTTATTCCATCAGACTTTCGAAAAAAACATTGCCAGAGTTACCATTTGGTAAACTAAGAGTCTGCTATGGAAAATCACCATTTTCAATGGGTGAATCAACTATTTCGCCATGGCTTCAATAGCTAACTGTAGAAAATTACCATTTGGGGTAAATTCCCATCACTAATCCCCATTTCTGTTGTTTAAATCCCCATTAATCACCAATAAATTCACATTAATCACCATTAAATTCCACTAAGTCACCATTTTTGCCAGTTAAGTCACCATTTTTATCAGACCTGGTCAGCCTCTTCCATGGCGGAGAGCTCCAGCGAACTGGCACCGGGGCGCCGCGGCTACCTCTGCGGCGTCGCCTGCATTTGCTTCGTGGCGGTGGTCTGGACGTTCGCAACGGTCTTGAAGCAGATCATCTTCAGCGATCTGAAACTGGCCGATGATGGGGCTGTCTCTCTCTCTCTATATACATTATATTGTATATTAAAAAATATTTATTATATATTATATATTATATATTATGTATTGTATATTATATGAGATATATTGTATATTATATATTATATATCATATATTATATTATATACATATTACATATATAATATAATATATTTATAGTATGTATAATATGTATATGGCCTATCTAGATATTAAATATCAAGTATTCTAAATATCTAAGATAATATGTATTTAATCAATAATCAATATGTATATATTATGATATATATATATATATGCATTATAATATATATATATATTATTATATATATTGATGCATATATATTTATACACATTATAATATATATATGATTATACATGATATTATATTATATATAGTATGATATCTATATAGATATATAATATGATGTTTTGAGCTGGGAAGTTTATGAGGTTCGACAAGCATGGTTATTTCGGCGAAGGCGATTTCGTTGGGAAAATGATCATGAACCATTCAGGATGGGGCCCCCAGTCGAGCTCGCGTGAACCGTTGGTTTATAAGTGGCTGAATTCTATGGTTTATGGTAGATATTTCACGGACTCGTTTTCATGGGGATTATTTCATGGTTTATAAACCAAACAAACATCACTGGGGGGCCCCCCATCCTGTTGGATTTCAGATGATTTCAGGGTGCAATTGGCATGATTCTTCTAACATGAGTTGGTTATATCATGTTACATCTCGTCAAGACAATCTGGAAGCACCTATGGTCACCTATGGCCACCTATGTCACCGACCTCGTTTTTTTCATCATTTTTCCCATCCCAAAGTGACGACAGTGACGACACGAGGAAATTTGATGAGCCGCTCATTCTGACCTACGTGTGCAACGCCTGCTATGCAGTGCATTTTCCGTTGCATGCGCTTCTCAGAGTGACACCTGGCATTAATCCATTCATTTATCATCGCTATCTCGCCAACCCACTACAGTGACCATCAGCATAGGCGTCGTCATCATCATCATCATCATCATCATGAAGACAAATATGGCTATGGATCAATACCTATAAATACGATTTTTGGGATGAACATCCATAGCAACCATCATTGGAATTTCCAAATTTCCTCGATTTCTGGATGATTTCATGATTTTCTGGATGATTTTCATTGGATTTCCAAATATCCAATACAATTTCCATCATGATCTTCATTTGGTTTCTGGCCCATTTCTACAACCTCGACTTAGGACTGGCTTGGTGCAGCCCATCCCGTGGCGCCGGAAAGCCGAGTCGACGGCGAGCGCCGAGTCGACGGCGAGCGCAACGGCTGAGATGCGCGAAGCCATGGTGTCTTCGGATGGAAAAAAAACTATGGACCCGTGGCCATTTACAATAGGATTAATAGGTATCTCCACTATAGATAGGCCATTTTCAATAGCTAAATTACCAGAGGGTGTTAGTTTCAACTGGTGATTTCCATGGGATTTTACATTCTATCAATGGGATTTTGCTAGTACAAAAATAACTGGTATAATTCGGGCCATAGCTCCATGGACCTCTGGAATACTGTGAATTAAGCGGGGGTCTAACTAGATGTTTTAGATTCCAATTGGAATAATATGGACCAATGTTTTAAAAATTCCAATCTAATTGGATTCCATAGAGCTAATACAAGTCCTATGTTTTGGATCTTTTTGATGTTCTAGATTCCAGTTTGGACCCGATCTTTTGTGTCGCGGAGGAAAACAAAAAACTATTCCATGACTTTTCTGGCTTCTCACCCCTTTTCCCTGTAATATCCCTTCTTCCCAGTTGTTTTCTGAACCTAAGTAATCCTAAGTATAGCTATAATCACCATAAACCCAACAGCTACGATTTGGGGCACCACCAACAGTTTTAAATTGAGTTCGTATGATCCCTTATAATCCTCAACCAACCATCATTCATCAGTTCCTATTATTTCTCATTGAATCCCAGTATTCTTTCCCCATTAAATATTGATGATCAAAGGAAGTTGGGAAGCAATACTTCCGTGTTACGGACAAATAGAATTCAGCGACTTGCAATGATGCAGGGTGGTAGATCACATAACAATACATAACAAAAGAATAAGAAGCAGTTAATGACGGGTGGTGACGAAGGGAAGTGGTGACGAAGGGAAGTGGTGACGAAGGGAAGTGGTGACGAAGGGAAGTGGTGACGAAGGGAAGTGGTGACGATAAGGAAGGGGAGTGGTGACGAAGGGAAGTGGTGAGGAAGGGAAGTGGTGAAGAAGGGAAGTGGTGACGAAGGGAAGCGGTGAAGAAGGGAAGTGATAAGCAAGGGGAGTGATGACGAAGGGAAGTGGTGAGGAAGGGAAGTGGTGAAGAAGGGAAGTGGTGACGAAGGGAAGCGGTGAAGAAGGGAAGTGATGATGAAGGGGAGTGGTGACGAAGGGAAGTGGTGAGGAAGGGAAGTGGTGAAGAAGGGAAGTGATGATGAAGGGGAGTGGTGACGAAGGGAAGTGGTGAGGAAGGGAAGTGGTGAAGAAGGGAAGTGGTGACGAAGGGAGGTGGTGAAGAAGGGAAGTGATGATGAAGGGGAGTGGTGACGAAGGGAAGTGGTGACGAAGGGAAGTGGTGACGATGGGAAGTGGTGACGAAGGGAAGTGGTGACGAAGGGAAGTGGTGACGATGGGAAGTGGTGACGAAGGGAAGTGGTGACGAAGGGAAGTGGTGACGAAGGGAAGTGGTGACGATGGGAAGTGGTGACGAAGGGAAGTGATAAGCAAGGGGAGTGGTGACGAAGGGAAGTGGTGAGGAAGGGAAGTGGTGAAGAAGGGAAGTGGTGACGAAGGGAAGCGGTGAAGAAGGGAAGTGATAAGCAAGGGGAGTGGTGACGAAGGGAAGTGGTGAGGAAGGGAAGTGGTGAAGAAGGGAAGTGGTGACGAAGGGAAGCGGTGAAGAAGGGAAGTGATGATGAAGGGGAGTGGTGACGAAGGGAAGTGGTGAAGAAGGGAAGTGGTGACGAAGGGAAGTGGTGAGGAAGGGAAGTGGTGAGGAAGGGAAGTGGTGACGATGGGAAGTGGTGAGGAAGGGAAGTGGTGACGGAGGGAAGTGGTGAGGAAGGGAAGTGGTGACGAAGGGAAGCGGTGAAGAAGGGAAGTGATGATGAAGGGGAGTGGTGACGAAGGGAAGTGGTGAGGAAGGGAAGTGGTGAAGAAGGGAAGTGGTGACGAAGGGAAGCGGTGAAGAAGGGAAGTGATAAGCAAGGGGAGTGGTGACGAAGGGAAGTGGTGAGGAAGGGAAGTGGTGAAGAAGGGAAGTGGTGACGAAGGGAAGCGGTGAAGAAGGGAAGTGATGATGAAGGGGAGTGGTGACGAAGGGAAGTGGTGAGGAAGGGAAGTGGTGAAGAAGGGAAGTGGTGACGAAGGGAAGCGGTGAAGAAGGGAAGTGATAAGCAAGGGGAGTGGTGACGAAGGGAAGTGGTGAGGAAGGGAAGTGGTGAAGAAGGGAAGTAGTGACGAAGGGAAGCGGTGAAGAAGGGAAGTGATGATGAAGGGGAGTGGTGACGAAGGGAAGTGGTGACGAAGGGAAGTGGTGACGATGGGAAGTGGTGACGAAGGGAAGTGATAAGCAAGGGGAGTGGTGACGAAGGGAAGTGGTGAGGAAGGGAAGTGGTGAAGAAGGGAAGTGGTGACGAAGGGAAGCGGTGAAGAAGGGAAGTGGTGACGAAGGGAGGTGGTGAAGAAGGGAAGTGATGATGAAGGGGAGTGGTGACGAAGGGAAGTGGAGAAGAAGGGAAGTGATGATGAAGGGGAGTGGTGACGAAGGGAAGTGGTGAAGAAGGGAAGTGGTGACGAAGGGATGTTGCGAAACGCATTGTAATGGCTGCATGAATGTTGCATCGGCTTTGTGTTGGGGAGGAAGCCGGAGCACCAAACCTTGTGTTTTTCCGTGTAAAGTGGCTGCAGCCGACGATGAAAGGTACCTCGTCTGTGCGACGGGTGCGGCTGCGGTCGTTTTGTCCGCGAATTGTTCCTCCTATGTGTTTTGCAACGAGTGGTTGTGTCTGTGTGCGTAGTTCTATGCAGTTCTTGAATCTCTGATTGCAGATTGCATTGGAATCGCTGCTTCATTGTCGTCATTTGATGTTGCCACGTGCGTAGATAGGTGCGGGTTTGCCACGGGATGTTGCGAAACGCATTGTAATGGCTGCATGAATGTTGCATGGGCTATGTTTTGGGGAGGAAGCCGGAGCACCAAACCTTGTGTTTTTCCGTGGAAAGTGGCTGCAGCCGACGATGAAAGGTACCTCGTCTGTGCGACGGGTGCGGCTGCGGTCGTTTTGTCCGCGAATTGTTCCTCCTATGTGTTTTGCAACGAGTGGTTGTGTCTGTGTGCGTAGTTCTATGCGGTTCTTGAATCTCTGGTTGCAGATTGCATTGGAATGGCTGCTTTATTGTCGTCATTTGATGTTGCCACGTGCGTAGATAGGTGCGGGTTTGCCATGGGATGTTGCGAAACGCATTGTAATGGCTGCATGAATGTTACATTGGCTATGTTTTGGGGAGGAAGCCGGAGCACCAAACCTTGTGTTTTTCCGTGTAAAGTGGCTGCAGCCGACGATGAAAGGTACCTCGTCTGTGCGACGGGTGCGGCTGCGGTCGTTTTGTCCGCGAATTGTTCCTCCTATGTGTTTTGCAACGAGTGGTTGTGTCTGTGTGCGTAGTTCTATGCGGTTCTGGAATTTCTGGTTGCAGATTGCATTGGAATCGCTGCTTCATTGTCGTCATTTGATGTTGCCACGTGCGTAGATAGGTGCGGGTTTGCCATGGGATGTTGCGAAACGCATTGTAATGGCTGCATGAATGTTGCATGGGCTATGTTTTGGGGAGGAAGCCGGAGCACCAAACCTTGTGTTTTTCCGTGTAAAGTGGCTGCAGCCGACGATGAAAGGTACCTCGTCTGTGCGACGGGTGCGGTTGCGGTCGTTTTGTCCGCGAATTGTTCCTCCTATGTGTTTTGCAACGAGTGGTTGTGTCTGTGTGCGTAATTCTATGCGGTTCTTGAATCTCTGGTTGCAGATTGCATTGGAATCGCTGCTTCATTGTCGTCATTTGATGTTGCCACGTGCGTAGATAGGTGCGGGTTTGCCACGGGATGTTGCGAAACGCATTGTAATGGCTGCATGAATGTTGCATGGGCTATGTTTTGGGGAGGAAGCCGGAGCACCAAACCTTGTGTTTTTCCGTGTAAAGTGGCTGCAGCCGACGATGAAAGGTACCTCGTCTGTGCGACGGGTGCGGCTGCGGTCGTTTTGTGCGCGAATTGTTCCTCCTATGTGTTTTGCAACGAGTGGTTGTGTCTGTGTGCGTAGTTCTATGCGGTTCTTGAATCTCTGGTTGCAGATTGCATTGGAATCGCTGCTTCATTGTCGTCATTTGATGTTGCCACGTGCGTAGATAGGTGCGGGTTTGCCACGGGATGTTGCGAAACGCATTGTAATGGCTGCATGAATGTTGCATCGGCTATGTTTTGGGGAGGAAGCCGGAGCACCAAACCTTGTGTTTTTCCGTGTAAAGTGGCTGCAGCCGACGATGAAAGGTACCTCGTCTGTGCGACGGGTGCGGCTGCGGTCGTTTTGTCCGCGAATTGTTCCTCCTATGTGTTTTGCAACGAGTGGTTGTGTCTGTGTGCGTAGTTCTATGCGGTTCTTGAATCTCCGGTTGCAGATTGCATTGGAATCGCTGCTTCATTGTCGTTATTTGATGTTGCCACGTGCGTAGATAGGTGCGGGTTTGCCACGGGATGTTGCGAAACGCATTGTAATGGCTGCATGAATGTTGCATGGGCTATGTTTTGGGGAGGAAGCCGGAGCACAAAACCTTGTGTTTTTCCGTGTAAAGTGGCTGCAGCCGACGATGAAAGGTACCTCGTCTGTGCGACGGGTGCGGCTGCGGTCGTTTTGTCCGCGAATTGTTCCTCCATGTTCCTCCTATGTGTTTTGCAACGAGTGGTTGTGTCTGTGTGCGTAGTTCTATGCGGTTCTTGAATCTCTGGTTGCAGATTGCATTGGAATCGCTGCTTCATTGTCGTCATTTGATGTTGCCACGTGCGTAGATAGGTGCGGGTTTGCCACGGGATGTTGCGAAACGCATTGTAATGGCTGCATGAATGTTGCATGGGCTATGTGTTGGGGAGGAAGCCGGAGCACCAAACCTTGTGTTTTTCCGTGTAAAGTGGTTGCAGCCGGCGATGAAAGGTACCTCGTCTGTGCGGCGGTTGCGGCTGCGGTCGTTTTGTGCGCAAATTGTTCCTCCTATATGTTTTGCAACGAGTGGTTGCTCCTGTGTGCGTAGTTGGGTGCGGTTCTTGAATGTTGCATGGGGTATGTTTTGGGGAGGAAGCCGGAGCACCAAACCTTGTGTTTTTCCGTGTAAAGTGGTTGCAGCCGACGATGAAAGGTACCTCGTCTGTGCGACGGGTGCGGCTGCGGTCGTTTTGTCCGCGAATTGTTCCTCCTATGTGTTTTGCAACGAGTGGTTGTGTCTGTGTGCGTAGTTCTATGCGGTTCTTGAATCTCTGGTTGCAGATTGCATTGGAATCGCTGCTTCATTGTCGTCATTTGATGTTGCCACGTGCGTAGATAGGGTGCGGGTTTGCCACGGGATGTTGCGAAACGCATTGTAATGGCTGCATGAATGTTGCATGGGGCTATGTTTTGGGGAGGAAGCCGGAGCACCAAACCTTGTGTTTTTCCGTGTAAAGTGGCTGCAGCCGACGATGAAAGGTACCTCGTCTGTGCGACGGGTGCGGCTGCGGTCGTTTTGTGCGCGAATTGTTCCTCCTATGTGTTTTGCAACGAGTGGTTGTGTCTGTGTGCGTAGTTCCATGCGGTTCTTGAATCTCTAGTTGCAGATTGCATTGGAATGGCTGCTTCATTGTCGTCATTTGATGTTGCCACGTCCGTAGATAGGTGCAGGTTTGCTACGGGATGCTCCGACACGCATTGTAGTGGCTGCGTCAAGGTTGCTCGGTGCTGCGGCTGCATGCGTAATACTATTGTCTTTTGCAGCTGAAGATCGTAAATCGTATTGGAACGGCTGCATCAAGGCTGCGAAAGTGATTTGTCAGCAAATTTTTTAATTTTGGCGCTAAAATTTTTCCTTTTAAAATTGCTTTTAAAAAGTGTTTCAAAATCGTCTTTTTGTCGCTTTGGCGTCGAGATCCATCCGGTTTTGGAGCTGCAATTTCCGACGCCATTGCACGTAGTTCTATTGTGTTTTGCAACTCAGTCTCTGCAGATCGCATTGTAGTGGCTGCGTCAAGGTTGCTTGGTGCAGCGGCTGCATGCGTAATACTATTGTCTTTTGCAGCTGAAGATCGTAAATCGTATTGGAACGGCTGCATCAAGGCTGCGAAAGTGATTTGTCAGCAGATTTTGTCAATTTTGGCGCTAATAATTTTCCTTTTAAAATTGCTTTTAAAAAGTGCTTCAAAATCGTCTTTTTGTCGCTTTGGCGTCGAGATCCGGTTTTGGAGCTGCAATTTCCGACGCCATTGCACGTAGTTCTATTGTGTTTTGCAACTCAGTCTCTGCGGATCGCATTGTAGTGGCTGCGTCAAGGTTGCTTGGTGCAGCGGCTGCATGCGTAATACTATTGTCTTTTGCAGCTGAAGATCGTAAATCGTATTGGAATGGCTGCATCAAGGCTGCGAAAGTGATTTGTCAGCAGATTTTCTCAATTTTGGTGCAATGTGAAGTGTGGGGCGTGAAGAGTGCAGTGTGAAGTGTGAAGTGTGGAGTGTGAAGAAAGCAATGAGAAGTGAGAAGTGTGAAGTGTGGACTGTGAAGTGTGAAGTGTGGAGTGTGAAGTGTGGATTGGGGAGAGTGCAGTGTGAACTGAGAAGTGTGAAGTGTTGACTGCGAAGGGTGCGGTGTGAAGTGTGAAGACTGTCAAGTGTGAAGTGTGACGTGGGGCTTCAAGTGTGACATGTGCAGACATCAGTTTCGCAGAGTGCACGCACGCACGGGCTTGGCTGGCGCACGGCGCATGCAAGTTCTATAGATGAGAAAGGTCTTATATATATCTTTAAGGCAACTTCCGCCCCGCCTCGTGCGGGTACTACTGGTATATCGAAAACAGTTTTATTTCCCAGGAATTTCCATTATTTTTCTCATTATGTTTCCCATTATTTTTCTCATTATGTTTCCCATCATTTCCCATTATTATTCGATTCTTTCCCATTATTTTCCCTATTATTTCTCTATGATTTCCCATGAAATATGGATGATATATCGAAAACGTAATCCTAAGTATAGCATCACCATGATTTCCCATTAATCTGGGTAAATTTCATCACGACCTCACTGCGACCGAACCCTGGAATCATGGTTAGGATTCGGGGAATCATCCCCAAATGGCCGAACTATTCAGGTCAGTGAAATATTATTTCATTTACCCAGATTAATAACTAACCCATTATTGACCCATTAAATATGGATGATCAACAGCCCAGGTGGCCGGTTTGATCATCGCCCCCCTGTGGTTCTTCGCCCAGTGGACCTACAGCGCCGGCGTCGCGGGGACCTCTGTGACGGCCTCCACGGTGATCAGCACCACGTCGGTGGTGTGGACGTTAGTGGGGAGCATCCTCTTTTTGAAGGAGAAGGTCACGGTTCCTTGGTGAAATGAAGGTCTAGGATTTACTCATGTTCATAAGATTTTTCATGAGTGTAGGATTAATCAATCCTGATTCATCCTATAGTTATACTATTATAATTTTTGTTCCTTGGCGAAACTCTAAAACTGTGGTATTAATCCTATAGTTACACTATTATAACTATTGTTAAAATCAACAACTGTGGCGGAGTGAACCTAGTTAACAGTGTTAATAAGATTTAATTGACGGTTATGTAATTGACTGTGGTATATAAATGTATATAACATACTAACTATAGGGTTAACTATAGGATTAATGTTGGCGAAGTGAGCATCGAAATAGGATTTTTCATAAGTATAGGTTAATCAATCCTATTCATCTTACTTGTATTTAGCTGTATTTTTGTATTTTTTTTTGGGGCCTTCAACGAGAAAACACACAAAAAAAAAGGAGGGATAAACGAGGAAAAAAATATCTTTTTCTTTCTGATATCTTTAAAAAACTCACAGAACTCCTATTCAAGAAAAGTAGCTTCTTGGTGAGCAAAATTGAGAGGAATGTTAAAGGCCAAGATAAAGCCAAGCTTGCAACTTAGTCACGACAAATTCTGACAGTGTCTGCAACACCAACTTCCATAAAATATCTCAAGAGCCCTGGCAACGCTTTTTTTCTCCCTGGCACACGAGTTTTGCAAATATCTTCTACATTTAATTAAGCTGAATTAAGATCCGAACAAATCTCTTGTGGCCGAACCAGCCACCAGCCGACAGATCCGAAACAGACCTTGGCCGAAACAGCCATATCAAGCCGACTTCAGCTTGTCTTCTCTTTGGATGAGCCATCTTTCGCCCATTCGACGAATGAGTGCCTTCTTGACATACATCATGAGAGGCTCAGCAGATTCCCATTTGCTGCTTTTCAAAGTGCAGTACTTCTGGAATAATTTTTCGATCGGCAACGTTCTAGCCATTCTTGTTTGGATCAAGCGCAAATCCCTTTCAGCCTGCTTGACTTCACATCTCTGTTTGCGAATTGGATCCTTGGGCACCAGAAACTGCACAGGAGGCTGATTCGTCATGCGCTTGAGCTGAAAGGGCTGCAGGGGGGACATGTTGCCTCAATTGTCATTTATATAGTTTTTCATAGTTTCTTGTCAAGTAGAACTCAAGTACCAAAATGAAGATTTAATTGTGTTAATTTGCAGGGGGTCTATACACTTGCAGCGGCGCGACTTTTGCACTCTTCCAGTGCATGGTCAAAACTGTCACGCCCAACTCAGCAGCAAAAACAGACTATGGGTGCCGAAGCAGCACCTAGCTAGCCGAACCAGCTACTCGTCGTTGAAGGGGCCCCACACATCTTCTTCTTCGTCCTCTTCCTCACCGCCTTGATTCTCGTCGTCGTCATTGTTTTTGTCATCGTCGTCGTCTGCCGGCTCTTTGTCTTTCTCTGCGGCTCGGCTACCCCGCTTTCTTGTCGACTTAGCTTTCGGCTTGGCTTTGGCCTTCTTTTTTGGCACGGGCTTCGGATTTTTCTTTTTCAACTCTTCTTCACCAGGCAAGGCCGAAGCAGTCCTGCAACCGACAGCTTCGCAGTAGGCAGCTGAGAAAAGAGAGCTTCCGCTGTTTCTCATTTCCATCTCCAGGACTTCCAGCAGGCGTTCTTCCAGCAGACTTTGGTGTTCAGGATTGTAGCACACACCGACATACCCCACACGACTTTTTATGGCCGAAACAGCCATTTTGCCGTCTGATGGTGTAAGATCCAAAATGAGCTTGACGTAAAAGTCATGAATCAGCTCTGCGTAAAATTCTTCTGGCGGACTGTGAAAACAGACTGGTTCCTTTCCATTGTTTCTTCGGTCAGCATACGGAGTTTGGTCATCGGCGCCTTCGGTTTTTGAACCCACTGCAATGAGGTGCTTCTTGCCGTAAAGATCCTTTTTCATTTTCCACGGCAATTGCCATTCTTCGTTCCACCCTGGTAGGTGCACGTTGCAAATCAAGTCTCCATTTGTCGACCCTGCGCAATGAAGTCTTTCTTTGACTGGCAGTGAAAGTTTCTTTGTGCTGAGGACATGGCACCATTCGATCTGCTTCAAGTTGAAATTTCCTCGCAACCTCTTCTTGCGGGCGGCCAAAGAACTTTCAGAGTAGGCGATCTGCAACAAGTCGGCGAAAAAGGTTGGTTTGCCATCGTCTTCTTCCATGTCTGCTTCTGCACCGTCTTCTTCAGCGTCATCGTCAGCATTCTTGGAAGCAGTTCCTTCTCGCCATGGATGCAGCAACTTGTTCTTCAGGCCGCGTTTGCCACCATCTAAAATCAATGCAACTTCTCCAGCCTGAAGATTTGAGTTTTGCAATCCTTGCGCGGCGCTGCGTGCTGCCAGGATCGATTTGACCAGGCGGCCGTACAATGCTTCACGGAATGTCGGCACACGAACGTCTGGACGAGTTGTCGGCTCGCCGTACTTCTTCAGATCGAAATGGTAAAGGCACAAACCTGTTTGATCTCCCCGGAGGGAAATGAAAGGTGTGTCTTTGAGAGCTTCTTCAAGTTCAGCGCTGGATTTGTGGTCACAAACAAATCGGACATGCTGCTGCAAAACTTTGCGCATCTGTTGCCGCCACAATGTTTGATCCTCTGTTGAAAGGCGGTCGAAAGGCTTGGCTGGAGCAGATTCAGCCGGAGCAGCGTCAGAAGCCGAAGCAGCTTCAGAGGCCGCAGCAGCCGGTGCAGTAGCCGGAGCAGCTGGCGCCGTCTCCTCCACAGTGACAGGCTCTGCAGACTTTTCCGGTTTCAGTTCTGATCGCACAGCTGCTTCCAATTCTTGCAAGACTGACTTCACCGTCGGATATTCCAACAAATCAGCTACGTCATGTTTCATTTTGATTCCATCTTTGTAGCGGCCGTCGAACTCGTTTCCATAAATGATCTGGTCAAAGAATTCTGCGATCCGAAGCACGCCGACCGGAGCAGCCAGCATCCATGCAGTGTCCACCGGATCTCCTGGAAATGGCGCAAAAAAATTGCGACATGCATCGAAGGAGGTGAAGCTGTTTGACAGTTTCTTCTTCCATTCGTCATTGATGGGCAGCGAGTTGAGCCAGTCACCGAGGAGGTAGTCACGAACTTTTCTTTTCAATTTCAAAACTTCCACATAGCTTGCCCTGCTATCCTTCAGCTTGGCGATCACAAAAACCCCTGGGTCTAAGTTACCCATGCGCCAGCCGTCCACCAACCCCTGGAGGCACCACGAAATCATTTCAGGTGTGTTTGCTCGGTCCACCAGAGCTTGCAGTGCATATATCGATTTCCATGGGCTCTTGTCCAACAGCTGTGCATCGCATTGCTCGAGCACTTTGCAGCATGCATCTTGGCTCAATACACGGTTGTATATAGTCAGCGCGCTGTCCACAAATGACTCTGACATTTTTCCTGATTGCTTGCTAGCTTCACTTGGGCACAGTAGAGGGCTGCGAGTTTTTTACTACCGACAATACCATCCGTGGTTTTTTTGGCTTCAGCAAACCCAGCAATGTCGTAGATGCGCTGTCTCAAGCTCATTTGCACCGCCAAACCTTTTTCAACCTGCTCCTCTCGAATATTTAGACTCCTAAAGTATCGAGCTTCACCCACAGGCACAACTTCATAGACGAAAGTGCATGTCAAGAAGCAAGATTTAAAGGCTTGCAGCACATTGGCGCCCTGTTTCGACTTGATTGCTTCAGCTGCCGCAAACAGCAGCGCATGCACGGGCTCGGCCGGACTCAGCCGTGGCCACCCCGATTGCGGAGGATCGCCAGAGCACTTATGGGAATCCACTGCAACTGTGACAACAAAGGGACACAGCTTGGGAGGCTCGTCATCCTTGGGAAACCAATAGTTTTGAATCTGTTTCACTTGGCCCAAATTGATAGGGATCTTATGGGTCGCAAGCCACAAGAAGTCCTGAGAAAAGAAGTTGGCAGCGCACCGGTAACTTTGTGCAGTTTTCAAGGCCGAAGCAGCCATATTACCGTCCCAAAGTGCTTCGCGTCCTCCTTCCTTTGGTGACAGCGGTGGCTGGCCAGCAATGTTGCTGCACATGTCATGTGTTTGGATGCAGCTGATTGCTTCATGAACTTTGACCAAATATTCTTGGCAGATGGCTTCGGGTAAGGCATCGACAGCCGCAACAGCCACATGTGCCGTTTTTTGCTTTTTCTTTGGCGCCATCTGTTGAACCAGGACTTGTCAAAATCTACCGTCGACCACACTGAGAGCCGAAAATGTGGACCATGCACATGTTTTCAACATGTCAAACAGGTCAAACATGTTTAAGTTTGAATTTTTAAGGGGTCTGGTAAATCATCCCTTGACACTTGCAAATTAATTGTCAAAACTGATTCCCCAAAAACCTTCCAGTGGCCGGCCTGCTTTTTACGCCTTGCAATACAAAAATCACGGCTGAGTCTTCCTAACTCAGCCGAAGCAGCTGATATGGCCGAAACAGCCACATGCGCCTGTACAGCTGCCCGAATCAGCAGCCATGTTGCGCGCAAGACGGATCCTGGCAGCATTGCCTGCACAGGATATGCACGCACCGGCTTCCTGGCTGATTGCGCCCACATTGCTTGCACATCGCGATTGTGACTGTCGGAGGGGGCTTGGTGCGACCTTCCCGCTGTGCTTGCTCATGTGCCTGAGCCCGTGCCAGCTTTTTTTGGCTCCACCCGCTTGTCGGTCGATGCCTGTTTGATGCGGCCGGAGCAGCCGCTGACGACGACGACGACCGGGCCGAAGCAGCCCCTGAGCCAACGCCGAGGCGATCGATGTGGGTCATTACGTCGTTCATGAATTTTTGGAGATCAGCATGGCTCACAGCCCTGTCTTCATTGGGTCGCAGGTCTGCATTGCACTTGTAGGGCCGGAGATCCACACTCTTTCGGCTACCCCTTCTGCTGGGCTCGTCCTCGTCGTCTTGTCCGCGGTGACGACGACGACGACGACGACGCCGGCTTCGGCGCGTCTCCTGGTCGTCATCGTTTTCGTCGTCATCGTCGTGCTTCCGCGGCGTAGCCTGCTTTGCTTCCTGTTGTCGGTCCTGTTCTTCCTGCTTTACAGATGGCCCCAGTGTAAGTCGTGGCTTATTTCGGGGCGGTGCCGCTGAACCAGACGATTCCCTGACCCTTTTTTCATCATGTCTGGCAGGAGCAGTCGATCGCCGCCTCCTCTTCTTGTTTCACCTGTTTGGTCAGCGTCAAAGCTGCAGTGGCCGGAGCAGCCACGTGTGGAGCAGGGGCAGCAGCAGGCGGGGGGGGAAGCGGCCGCAGCAGCCACTGGCGGAGAAGCGTTGGCCGCCGGAGCAGCCGCATGCTTCGGAGGTGGAGCAGAATCGGCCGCAGCAGCCACTGGCGGAGGAGCGTTGGCCGGAGCAGCCGCATGCTTTGGAGGTGGAGCAGCTTCAGAAGCGGCCGCAGCAGCTGGCGGAGAAGCGTTGGCCGGAGCAGCCGCATGCTTCGGAGGTGGTGAAGCGGCCGCAGCAGCCACTGGCAGAGGAGCTTTGGCCGGAGCAGCCGCATGCTTCGGCGGAGGTGCAGCCGCAGCCGCCTTGGCAACTGAAGCACCGGGTGCCTGATCATCCGCGCTGTAGTCGACGCCATGCGCGTCGGCGTCTGCGGCAGATGCAACTTCAGCCTCCCGTGCTTGCACAGCCTGAGGTATGCCACGGACCACTGCCAACGCCGTCTCCAGCCGTTCTTCGGAGTGTGGATGGGTGGGTGGCCCCCATCTAAACAGCGACTGGTACTCCTCCGCTTGTGTCATTGTCCGGGCAATCCCCAAGGCAACCATCAACTCGAGCATGTTACCTGCGAATTCTAACTTGTTTTCCAAAAGCCATGAATCCCACAGACCTTGTTTTGAAAGTGGTTTTCCCTGCTCCTGGAAAAGGACAGCACTCGCCAAAGTCTCCCATGCGCCAGTGCCCATGGCGTAGAGGGCGTCGTAACTATCGTCCACCACAGCTGTTGCACCCAGTTGTGCGCACACAGGTCCTTTTTCTGCTTTTTCTCTGACCAAGTGGATGCATTCATCTGGAATGCCAAAGGTATGCTTGCAGAAGCGCAGCACCCAGTGTTTGTTGCTTGGGAAGTTAACCCTGCTCACCACGTGGGGCCATCTGCCAGATTTGAACTTGTACATCTGGACCAAGCAGTAGGCCCCTTCCATTGCTGCTTTGTAAATTTTGTCGTCGTCATATTTTACATCGTCAGTCTTAGCCGACAAAACACCACCACAGTCTATGGCCAAAATCCTTGCCTTTTCCGGCAAGTCCACCATTTTTTGTCGATACACAGGCATTGTGGCCGAAGCAGCCACCAAAATTAGCCGAAGCGGCTAGTCTTTGTTGGCCGATGCAGCCAGGGGGCGCAGATGGCGTGGCCACACAGAAGCCACTGGTGCTGGAGCCGAAACTCTTCAAACGGGCAAGTGGATGTGAGAGAGGCCCCTAAGGAGAGGACAATCCGTCCTCTCCTTAGGAGGTTCAAGGACGACCCCGAAGCTCCTAAGGAGAGGACAACAATGGGACAAAGGTCCGTAAAAAACTCATACTTAACAGTATTTCAGTTTCGTCCCCTTGTCGTCCTCTCCTTAGGAGGTTCAAGGACGACCCCGAAGCTCGTAAGGAGAGGACATTCCCACCCGTTGATTCGAGGTCCGTTGAAAATCTGGGGATGCTCCTAAGGAGAGGACAAAAAATCTAAATTTCCCTTTTAATATTATAGCGTCATTTGGTGGTATTTATCTGATTCTGCTTACCGTGACACCCGCCCCAGCCCAGTTGCCTTTGCCTTTTGCACCAATTCAGTCCGAGACCGACTGCTGTATATACAAACATCCTAGACTAGCTTAGAAGCCGAAGCAGCTTCAAGTACCTTTTGCAAGACGAGCCCAAGCAGCTTTGACAGGCCGAAGCAGCCTGAAGCTGCAAGGCTGAAGCAGCTTCAGTTGAGGCCGAAACAGCCGTAGCCAGAGATTAAATTAAGAAAGGCATGTTCCATGTTTGAAAGACAGATAGACATCAGATATCTGCGATTAATCCAATCCAACCGCATCATATGTGGATTTGCCTGGGCGGCGATGGCTGTCTCACACATGCTTTCTGTAAAAAGAGACACTGACTGGCAGTCCCAACAATGCGGCAGCTTGCACAGAATGAAATTCTTGGTCAGAATAATAAGAACTTAACGGGCTGGATAGGTTTAAACTGACTCAGAATGAACCAGGAGATGACATTTCCAAGATTGAAGATATCAATCAGCACTCCGACGACGACGCCTTGATAACCATCCGGGTCCTGGCGCAAAAATGCCTGGATCACACTGGGACTGTCGGCTTCTCTCCTCGGCTCACATTAAAAGCCAGAAACCGTCGCATGCATTGCCGCGTCCTTTCAAGCGGCCGAAGCAGCCGTGCTTGCCGAAGCAGCAAGACGTAGAAACAGTGCAGCATTTCAAGCGGCCGAAACAGCCGTGCTTGCCGAAGCAGCAAGACGTATAGAAACAGTGCAGCAGAGAACACACTGGTCGGCCGGGAAGAGCCACCGTGACCCTTTCTTGATTTGAGCCGAGATGTTCGCAACTTGTACCTTGTAAGCTATGACGAAGTCGGGTAAAAGCAAGTATATTTACAGTATATTAATTACGTTATTATATTATTCTAACCTGTTTTACCGGGAAAACGTCCTCATTTTACACTAAAATCTTGATTGAAGCCCTCAATTTACAACATTCCCACCGAGGACAGCGGCACAATTTTGCACACCTGCTGTCATACCATCTCAGGTTCCAACAAAGCCGAAGCAGCCTTGCAGCCGTGGCAGCTGTCAACCAGCGGAAAGAGCTGGACAAGCAGACACCGACGACGACGCAGCGCCGCTGGCGAACTTGAGAAAAGCACCCCTACGCCGGGAAGGGCACCGTGGCAGAAATGAGTCCCGCTGAAAACAAAGCATTTTGCAGAACGTTGCCCATCAATGGCAACGGGACGCAATTTCCAAGCATGCCTTGAAATTTGGACTTTGTAGTCACCTCCTGCCAACCCATCAATTCAGACTCTGGTCGAATGCCCGACACCCGCATAATTTCATTTGTGGTCATCTTCCTTCCACGCGACGAAATCCAGAAGCCGCCGCTTTCGGCCCGAGACTTGGATAGGGTCCGTGCAATGTCCACACCATATGTCAGGAAAGACTTGCTGCAGCCAACATCGATTGCTACAGGTGTCTTTCTTGGATCCACCTTGTGGTCATTGAAAACCTTTTTGTACACAGTCAATGCCAACTCTTTGCTCCTTTTGTTTGCTGGCAATCGACCAGGAACGTCTTCTGAAGTTTCTGGGTCCAAAACTGACGTCAACGACCTTGCGCCCTGCGACTTTGGCCATTTAAATGGTCGTCTGTACGAATCCTCTCTGACTGCGACGATGAAGAGACGCTTGCGGTCCTGAGCAACCTTGTAATTTTTGGAGTTGAGCACACCAAAGAAGGTTTTGTAACCCAGCTCTTGGAGTTTTTCTTTAATTCCTTTCAGCACTGGTTTAAACCTCTTGGCACATAAGCCTTTGACATTTTCGAGCACGAATGCTCGGGGTTTTCGGCGTTTAACATATTTCATTGCCACCGTCATCAGGCCACCACGAGGATCTTTCAGACCACGTTTCTTGCCCTGCGCAGACCATGCCTGGCAAGGGGGCGTGGCAATGTAGAGATCAACCGTCTTTTCGTCTTCTTCTTTGCGGTTGGATACGTCGCCGTATAGTGTCTTCGGATTGTAGAACTTCTGCAAAAGCTTCTGACAGTCTTCGTCGCTATCTGAACAAAATGTGTGCTCGACAGGGATCTGTGGCAACCGCTGCAAAGCCAGCATACCCGTGTCCAACCCGGAAAAATCCGAACCCACCTTCACCAAACGAGGCGTTCGCTGCATCTCGCCGCTGATTCTGGCCGAAGCAGCCAAATCAACTGGCCGAAACAGCCTGGAATCCGAACCGGACCAGCCGAAACAGCCGAGGCAGCCGAAGCAGCTACTCTAACAGCTGAAACAAGCGAAGCCGCTGTGCTGACAGCCTCTCAAACCGAAATGCCTGCACAGGTCTGTGAAGTAAATTAAACTTTGCACGTCCGAAAAATTTGCCACACAGACAGAACTTCTGATGTCTGACAGTCTGGTTGCCATTCTCTTGCTGAACTTTAACTATTTTAATCTTGAGCCTACACCAGGTAATGCAGCCAACACAAAGTGTACAAACGCAGCCTAGGCTCACTTTTCCACCCTGCAAATTTAAGCTTTGTTCAAGCCAGTCAGCGATGCAAGAAGGTCTGCCCTACGAATGCGCTGCATTAAAGTCTCCACAGTGTAAACTTGCTTCGCCCTCGCCAATGCCTCAGGGACAGCTATAGATGCAAGTGTACAAAGAGTCACTGTTCCATCAGACCAAACAACGTAAAAACACGAACCAACTGAGAATAATATAGCCAAGCTGCCACAGCCGAGCGCTCCTCTGGCGACACAACCAAGTAACCAACTCCTTGCGGATAATCTCTTTGTTTGTCGGTCATGTCTTGAAACGATGCGTCGGAAGCCATTTTGTGAAGCGTCCACTTGCAACCAGGCGGCAAAACAGACCATAGCATTTGCCAAAATGGCAAATGTCTCTGAGCACATTCAGCTGACACAATCAAAGCCCGTCGTGCCGAAGCAGCACAATGAAATTTCAAAGCAGCACCCGAACCGCGAAGGAAAAAATCGGGACATGCCTCCAGACGACCCAGCACTCCAGCGACAATGCTAAGCTTGTCCTTCTCACTGCAGTCTCCAGGCCGGTGACAAATCAAAACATCAGCTTCTAACATGTTGTGACAAACCGTCAAGCCAGCATTTGCCAATGCAGCCTGAAGATGCACAGTGGCCGGAACAGCCAAATAAACTTGTCCACCATGCAGCTCTGCCGCAAAGCTTGCCGCCGCCGTTTCTGTTGGTTCAGTTCAAACCTGTCCATTATTCCCATAGACTGCTGCTTCTCTTCTTCTGTAACATATTCCAGAGGCAAACTGTCCTCAGCAATTGCCTGGCTCTTGCGTGCAGCTGTCTTATTCTTCAAAAAAGTGTTTTCCTTGTCATGGTTTGCTGTCCAGAAGTTTTCATTGACATCAACATCCGTCAACTGGTAGTCCTCAGCAGCCGCTGCAGCCGCTCTCCGGCGCCTCTTGATGAAATCAGTTTCAGTAGGGCACTTCTCGTCACTGGCAACGTTGTCCCTATTCCTTTTCAAGCCTTTGTCCACACGTGCTCCTTTCCTCTCACGCGGAGCGCCATACTGGCAGGACCAAGCAACGCGAGCAATTCTACAGATTTCTTCTTGCTCACTCACGGTCTGCTGTGGCAAGTCCACGAACAGTTTTAACACGAGTTCTTCATGACTTGCTAAAGCATGGTGCCGCTGCTTGGTAAAGTTGTAAGCTCCCTTGCTAAAATTTTGCTCCACCCCAGACGTACTTGGCGTGCACACAAAGTAATTTTCCAAGCACGTCCTCAAGACATTCGTTGGATGAGCTTTCTGTGTCGCATGGTGCGCCGCCATGCTGGCAATGGTTTCTTTCCACGCTTCCTTGTTTGCCTGCCTTGCCAAACCTTTGGCGGTGGAGTCCTTCAATTTCCCAACCTGAACCCTGAAAGCCAGCTGAGCTCTAGGGTACATGTCTTTCCACTGCTCTTCCAATTGTCTCTCATCTAGTTTAAACGCATGGGCTAGAATGCGGAGATGTTTTTCCGAATGGTTAGACAAGCCACCCAAATTGAAAATATCATACGCCTGAATGACTTCGAAATCAGGGAATTCTGCCTGAATGGCCGAATCAGCCAATTTAACCCAAGCCTGCATGGCGCCGAAACAGCGATCGACTTTTTCAGAAGCAACCCCATGGCTCGATCCGATTGATTTCAAATCCTTGCCAACTTGAAACACGATCGGTGATTTTAACATGTCCAAGACAGTTGACGTGTATCCGAACTGTTGCAGACACTTCTTTCCAACAAAAAGACTGTGCACCTCTTTCATATAACAATGAAGTTCTTTGTGGACAACCGCTGGGTCAGTGCTTTCCTCGTCGAGCGCACGTGTGAGTGCCAAGCTGGAGTCTGCTGCGTCGGCTAGCATTGCTGCTTGCACGAGCCTTTCTTCTGAAATCCAAAGAAGCCATGCTTTTGCCCGCTTGGCAGCGGAGTCTGTGCGAGTTCGCACCAAGTGAAGTGCTGTTTTCAAGGTAGCATGGAAATATAGAAGTGTCCTACCCAGTGGACGGGCAAAGGACTCAAAGCGATGCCCTGCTGCCCTGAACGAGTTCAAACTCCTTTGCACGGCTGCATTTGAGGTCTTGGCATATTCTGAAAAAATTCTCTTGATTTCCACTGAGTGATGCATAATTTTAGCCATGGAAGCGCCTCTGCACATATAGTCCATGATTTCTTTCAGTTTGGGATCAGCATGCCAGGGCCTGCTGGTCAACCTTCGTGACGCATGGGCTCGATCTCGGAAAACATGCTGAAGGTTTGGTGTCAGCGCTTCAGCGCCATTGACAGACAGAGCTGCCGACCTCATTATCTCAGCGCTGGCCATCTCATCTGCTGCCGAATCAGCACACAGGACAACAACCTTTTCCCTGAGAAGTTTCAACAAAGGTGCTTTCAAATGCCCAGCCAGGTGACCATCAGGTGCCCCATAGAATCTTGAGCAGGCACGCTTCATGATATTCAAAGTTGTTTTTGACAAGTTGTCTGCGCCGGTGCCTTCAAATCTTCCTTGGCCTAAAAAGCCGCTGCGCACAGACAGGTCCGACGAGACTGTTCGAAATCTAACTGCGACCCTTCCATGTCTTTCATCCCGCATCAAAGCAATCAAGGAAGCACTTTGGATAGCTCGCTGGTCCAAAACTTTGACCCCTTCAGCTAAACACCAAGCCATTTTCAACTCCTTTCGCGTCAAGGTTGTTGATTTACCGAATTTTCCAATAAAATCAGAAAATTCTTGGCAGGACGGAGCCAATGTTGACGGGGGGCCGAGACAGCCACCTTCGCTGCTTGGATTTGCTGGGCCGAAGCAGCCCATGCCACTGTGGCCGGACCAGCCACTTTGGCCGGAACAGCCACCAGTTCGATGAAGATAGTCTCTGACAGCTCCAAGGTGCGCCTTTGTCTTCTGGTGCTTCTGGAAGTTGATTTTCTGCATTTGACTCGGCTTTGTGACCTCATAGTTTGCAAAGATGCTGACCAACCGGTTTTGGTTACACACTTTGCAGCCAACACCCCATGGCTTTGCACGTGTGTCCAACCAAGTTCCGAGCTCGGGCTGGAAACTTGAAATGGGGAATTGTGAGCCCCATTTCAACCCCAAGGCAGCCCACTTTGAACTGCCATCTGTCATTGCCGAGGCAGCAATGACAGCTATTGAGCCCAAACACAACGACGAGAAATATAAATAGCCCAGCAAGCATGTCAAATATCTCTTCAGCCTTCCCAACGAGAAAAGACTAAGTTGAAAGAACCAAAGGAAAATAAATAAAACTATCTAAGAAATTGGAAAAGACGAGGGTAAGATAAGAAAACGCAGAGAAACCTCCAAACATTTCTTAGAGCTCAAACTTGAGGTTTTCAAAGAGTAGTTCCAGTCAGTCATTGTTGGTAGCAAACGCATTTTTAAAATAGCTGAGCCAAATAAAAAAATACCAAAAAATATCTCAGGCCCCTCAAAAAAAAAATACAAAAATACAGCTAAATACAAGCAAGTCATTTATCCTATAGTTATACTTATATTTTTTGTTAAAATCAACAACTGTTATTTAATTAACAAGATATGAAGGGTAGGAATTACTATATAGTATGATTATATTATATGGTAAACTACAAGGTGAAATGGACACATATGTTTTAGTGATTCTATTGTGTATCGTAAACTACACACATTTTTTGATAGACTATAATTATAGTTATATTTTGATTGTTGAAGTAGAAGGTCACGGTATGTCACGGTCCTTGGCGAAATCAACAACTGTTATGATAATTGACAAGATATGAACAAAAGGATTAACTGTAATAAATTGTGATAATCTGTGGTATGTAACATGTTAACTATTTTGGATTAAGTATAGGATTAACTATAGGATCAACTATAATTGGGCTCCAAAAAACAACTGTAATAATTGGGTGTCTGGAAATAGGGTATACTGACAACTGTAATGATGTGTGGTATATAACATGCAATGATTGACTGCAATATGTAACATGTCAACTATCCTTGGCGAAGTGAACAACTGTAATCAAGTGTAATAACTGACTATGGTATATAACATGTTAACTATAGGATTAAGTATAGGATTAACTATAGGATTAGCTCTGGGATATAATAGTGATCAAAAGAAGGTCACGGTATCCTGGTTACATGAACAAGGATTTCATCGTGTTTGGTAAACTAATGTCAACCCTGGATTAATACACCCCAAACTGCTGTTTAATTCGGAAGGTACCTGAATGATTAAGTTATATAGTTAATTAGTATGGTAAACTATAGTTAATGCATGAGGATTAATATGATTTTGAAGGAACATCCCCCTTCGAATAATGTTTTTTTGAAGGGTTGATGAATGAATTGTAGCCATCTTGGTCAACAGAGATAAACTACATGAAATGAACAGCATCTTGGTCAGTTGGAAAAATTCACCTGAAGGGGAACTTTTTTTGGGGAAACTATTGTTCACGGATGCGGTTGTCAGTGTTTAACGCAGATTTTCTGCAGGCTTTGGCTGAAGATGTTGTAAGGTTAGATAATGATGAAATCCAGCTTGTTACTTGTGCTTAATACGGAATGAGTCAATGGTCCACTGGCTAGCTATCAATAATAATCCCAGCAACCCCCAGCAACCTATCCATTCCCTACTTTTAGCACCAGTAAATTTTCCATGGTTAAATCGCCAGTCTTGAAGGTTAACTCATGGTTGAATCACCATTTTAAACGGTGAACTCGGCATTTTTTAGGTCCTGAAAGTGCTGGGGATCGTGCTTTGCATGGCTGGCAACGCTGCCACTTTGTTGGGCAACGACTCCCAAGCCAATCAGAAAGGCCACGACAGGGAAGGATGCCTAGCGATTTTGGAGATTTTAGTGGGATAATGATGGGAAAAAACGGGATAATGATGGGAAACTCGATAGGACTTCAATAGGTATTTTTGACGAATTTTAACGAGTTTGCACCTGGATCTTTGATGTTTTTTTCAAGAATTGGGATCATCATGAGATTTTATGGAATTTTATGATCAATAGGGGATATAGGTGATGAACCATTGCTGGATTCGAATGGAATAACAATGGGATACACATGGTGATAAATTATGGTAAACGCCATAGACCACCAAAATCTCCTTTTTTCATGGGTGCTAAAACCATCCCCAAATGGTAGGTTTACTATTGTAGGGAATATCTTGGAGAAAATTCGGAAACAATAGTGTTCGGAAATACAATGTATTTAAATGTATATAATACATAGATATCATAATAGGAGATACTGGCACATATTCCTTTTTCCACATGATTAGCCTGTTACCACTCAATGTCCACGGTTGCACTGCGGCTTCTCCCGAGTTATCCGAAGGTCATATGAAACAACTCAGCAGAGATTGGAAATGCGGGATTTTCCACTACATGTCAAAGGGGCATGATGTGGGTTTGAAAACAGAGAACCCCAAAATCCTAGGGTTCATGATTTTCTCAATGACAATTGTTCTTTGAGGCTATACCCCGTTTTGAGACACGGGAACCTATCATATTAAGTTGGGTAGTGTTATCCCGTTATATCCTTTTATCTACATCCCCATTTAGTTCGACAATTTTCCCATTATTTCCAGTGGTTAACACCCCATATTATATATAATATACATAATTATATATATACACATTTATATGGGGGGGTTCCTTAAATGGGGGCACCCCAAAATGAATGGTTTATAATGGAGAAAATCTTGTTAAAATGGATGATTTGGGGGTACCTCTGTTTTAGAAAACCACCATGTTCTTGAAATGGCCAGGCGGATGACCATATCATTTTTGTTGCCAGGTGAGTTGTCGGGCGACATCCTCTGCCTCATAGCTGCCATGCTGTACGCGGACGCTTGGTTTAAAACGACTCTACAGTGACGCTGGTTGAGGGACCGCTTAAATGAACGGGATGATATTCAGGTGAGACAAGACAAGATTGTGCAAGTCTATATACAGTATATATATATATATGGGTTATATAGATTATTAGCAGTGGTGTAAAGTCTTACTGTTTGTAACTATCCACATGACATTTAGATTCATATACTTACAAGTCATAGGTGGTTTGAAAAAAACAAAAGGATCCCTAGTGGCTCCCTCACAGCCAAGTATTGACCAGCCCGAATCCCCAGACAATCTCAGTTATAATATAATATACTATAATATCATATGCTTAATACAATATATATATATACCTATGTATATATACATATGTATACCAGAAAATACTGCAAGTGGCCAATTATCATGGAGGAGTGACATACCGATGTATCTATAGATTTAGGCAACAAAAAGGTTATCAACCACCTTTTTGGCCACTTGCTGGGTCCCGTCATGCCGTTGTTGTAGGTCTACACCACGGTGTTGAGCAGCTTGGTGCAGCCACAGTTTTCCATGGCGATGCTTTTCGGCGTCATCGGCCTGTGCATTTTGCTGCTGGCCTCGCCCTTTGTCTTCGCGTTCAAACACGAAGCGCTGTCGCAGATGACGCCTGAGGCGTGTGGAATAGCGGTGGTTTAATGGTGGTTTAGTGGTGGATGAGGATTTTCAGCATCAAAAAATACCGGTGTGATGGGGATAGAATGGAATATTAGTGGAATATCAATACACTAACATAACTATTAATATATTAAGATACACTAACATACACTAACTATACATTAACACCGCACCCAAGGTATGTCAGAGTACTGTCAATGGAATATCCCAAGGTGAGGTGTTGTTTATCCCCAAGGATTTGCCAGAAATGGATGGATACTAGCGAAGAAATTGGGGTGGTCATTATTAATGGTGAATCCAATGAGATATCATTAATGATGATCATTTTACATATCCAATGAAATTCATGGTGAATCCAATGGTTGAATAATGGATTAATGATATTAATCCAATATTATTAATATATTAAATACAATATAGGATTAATATTATAATTGGTGAAAATATCATGATTTGTTTATATATTGTATTGATTGAAAAATACCTAGTATAATATTTCCAATACATTCATAAACCATTATATTATAGATTATTCAATAACCATAGATCATAAACCATTATATTGGAATACTATAAAATACCTTGTATAGATCAATAACCATTCCAATCTTATTCATGGTGAATCCTCTAGAGACTTGGGGAGTTGGGGTCGAATTTTCCCTTCTTGCCATGGAGCTCGCGTTGTTTGTTTTTGAGGGTGAAGACATTAAGAAGTTCGTGGAACTTCCACATGAGTTTCTGGCAGGTCTTTGGGCTGTTGATCTTCAATGGCCTGTTCGACAACGTCTTATCTCAGCTGCACGGTCTGCATGGTGTTCATGCGAGGTTTGATCGGTTGGCTTCAACATTACTCTTGTTTTATTCACCAATTTCTGCAACTGGAGGTGATGCCGCAAAATCTCCAAATGAACCACAATGATATATATATATATATATGTACTTAGTATTACTTTGATAAATGATGATTCCAAATGAACTACCATCTGGTGATTTAACATAGCCATGGAAAATCACCATGCTATTAATAGGTAAACCATCTATTTCTATGGGCCATGGTTTAACCATGGCTATGTTAGTCATAACAAGAGGGTTTTCCTATGGTTTTCCTATGGTTTTCCCATTATATGGATGGTAAACATCCATAAATCACCATATGTCGTATATTTTTCCAATAAATCACCATATTTTCCACACATATTTTCCATAACCATGGTATTTTTTGAACTGGTTGGCACCCCGGCCCTTTCTCCAAGCCCTTCAACCCCTTCCCACCGTTCTCCGAGGTTCGCCTGGGCCAAGGCCGTGCAATTGACGTCCCCCACCACCGCCACGGTGGGTCTGTCGCTGACCATCCCGCTGTCGGTGCTGGCGGATGTGCTGCGACAGAAGTACCTGACACCTGGAGCTGACGATGAAACCATGGTTACGGTTTTGTACCATGAAATATAGGGGGTTCGTATCCTTTATGATCCAATCATGGTGGTATATTGAATACATATGAGAATGGAATATAAATCGTATATAAATGAAAATAGGATATTATAAATAGTATATTAATGGAATATGAATGGAATATAATGTTGTTTTTGGATTTACCTGAAAAATATGAAACAATAATGGTGGTTTACTAAAATTATTAGGGATACAATGGAAATATCATTGAATATTCAATTGGATAACAAACAAATTGAGGGCCCGTTGGTGATGTTTTACCATTGGGGAATTCTTGGGGTGTAAGTTTTTTGCGATCCAATTGGGAGGTTGGGATGTGGGTACCATGGATTTGTTGGTCCTTTTTATGGGCAACATTCGGAGATCGGCTGGTTCTTTCGCACATGCCTAATTCATCTAAGATGCTAATCCATCACGGGCAGCTTGTTTTCTCATCTTTCCTCCCTGTTTTTGTAGGTAAAACCCGAATTTTCTGTTGTGATCCCATTGATTTTGATTTTTTTCCCATCTTTGCAGCTAAAAACGTCACCTTTTCCAACAGCCTCCGCGTTTCTCAGGACGCCTTGGACGCTGGTGGCTGCGCTGCTGGTGATCAGCGGCTTCCTTTCGGTGACCTACGCCTCCAAACCCGCCACGGCGGCCGCCACTCCGGAGGTGCGGGTAGAAGGTGGCAGACCGCGGCTGATTTCCTGAGATCACAGGTGAACAAAAAAACTGGGTGTGTCTGAAAATGTCGTGTATCCCCAATTCCAATGGTTTTGCTGATCATTATCCCTATTAAATGGCTATTTCATTGGGAATATAGCCTATTTTCAGACAAACCCAACTGGCGAAGAAAAGAAAGACTTGGATATTGCTGAAGGATGTTGAGTATTTTCTAAACATGAATATTCATCGAGGCTTCTGGGTAATTCTGCCATTTTTCGTGGGCCTGAAGCAATCCGAGAACAGGACGTTTCAAACCCAGGCCCCTTCCAGTTGCGATGTTTCTACGAGAAACAGCTAGATAGGTGCAACAAGTAGTGATACCTGGAAGGGGCCTATCCTCACGCAGGGCTTTTGCCAATGTGCAAGCCGCGCGCAAAGTGCGTTACCGTGCTTTTTGCTGGTGCGATCGTAACTCTGCCTGCAGATGAAAAAATGAGAGTTTCCCCGAGTCTTCTAAGAGATAATATGACAATGTGGTAGACCTGATGCCATAAATCATTTTTTTGGGCCAAATGTTTTGCACATTACTAGGAATCTTCCAGATATTGCGAAATGATGCTAAATGAATATTGAACCACTTTACGGAATTGGTTTATGTAGATTCAATATTCGCCCCAAATGTTTTCACCCCCAAAACCAAATAAATTGAACTAATTGTTTTTACCCCAAGTGTAAGCGTAAATTTGCCGAAAAAAAATGGGGTAAAAACAATGGTTCCCTGTAGATTTCCCTCCAAATCCATCACATTGATGGTCCCCACAATGATTGGTGGTAATACCAGGGTGTCTTCAAAGGCATCCTGTATGGCACAACAACAAACCTGAGGAAATGCACGGAAAATGATGGAACATGGTGGGTGTCTAGAGTATTTTGATCGTGTCTGACAGTTGCAGTATGTGCCCTCTGGTTGTTTAACGTAGCTATCCCCAATTTGTTGGTCAATTCCCTGTTCATCATCATTAAAATTCCATTAAAACAACATAAAATCCATAAAACCAATTACCCTCTGGTAAACTAACATAGCTATGGAAAATCACCATGTTTAATGGGAAAACTCACTATAAATGGTTATTTTCCATAGCTTTTTGTATGTTTACCAGAGGGTAAGTCCATTTAATCCCACTTTTGTTGGCTAAATCCCATGAACTCCCATGAAGAATCACGGGTCTCTGCCCAAATCACTGTTAACCTCAGCCAGAAATGGGTTAAGATACCCAGCTAAAGGACAGGGACGATGCTGGGTCAGATTACGTGTAAGATTGGCATAGAGTAGCAATGGTACTAGTTGATATATATATATATATATGTATATTATATATATATATATGTATGTATATATATTATATATATATACACGTATATATGCATATATATATATATGTATATCTATTTATATTCGAATTTATATGTAACTATATATATATAGATAATTAGATAGTCGTACTTAGTCATCTCCTATTGTCATTCCCAAGTTCTTCGGCGGAGATTGGCAAGATTGGCAAAGCTTGGGTAGCAAATAGCCTTGTGATGAATATGAGCACCACGCTAGCTTTCTTCCTTGTTTATCTCCATAGAGACCGCAGACTGTTGCTCTTATGGATAGACACCATTGATACGTGACATAAGTACAGGATGGGGCCCCAGTCGAGCTCGCGTTCAGTTGCCTTATAAGTGGCTGAATTCTATGGCTTATGGTAGATATTTCACGAACTAGTTATTGCGGTTTATTTCATGTTTCTTTAGCCAACAAACATAACTATGGGGCCCCATCCTGTAGCTAAAACAGATTTGACGATCGAAATGACAGGGTGACAGGGATCGGATTTCCTGCTGATTCCTTGCAGCTGGTTGGCTGTTCGACATTTCACTCGCCCGGCAGTGAAGGTAGTGAACTAGTTATAAGTTAGTACATGTTTGTACTGGATTTTTGCATATACAGTAGACATTACTGAATTATATGTTTCATTCCACTCTGTCTGTGACCGTCTTGCAGTCGCCTGCATGCACCATGGGACACAAAAGCTCTTGGTGAGCGACCCATGTCTGTTGCTCTCAAATTAACAGAGGCTTTTCGTTTCACCCTTTAGGTGACTACTGAGTCCTCTGAAATCTTTCCAAAATTGTAATCCGAGCACATTTTTGTGCCCTTCGCTTCTAGCCAATAAGGGTCATAGGAATTCGCCAGTGCATCCAATGCTTGTTCCAAACCTTCCGGTTCCTGGGTTGTTCCCTCCCCAATTTGCTGCTCAGCGAAGGCAATGTGCTGCTGCGCTAGTATGCGGCACAAAGCTGGTGGATATGCCTTTGCACGGGCCGTTTTCCATTGGGAGCCTTCACGGCCCCCAAGCTTTGTCGTCGGCCGCCATCGCTTGTTGTAGCCTTCATAGATGGCCGCCCCCAACCTTTCCAACCTCGCTGCCAGAAGATTGGTTGGTTTGGCGAATGGTTGTCCCAACGGGCCTTGAAGTATTGCCCAGAGCTTGATGTCCCCTGCCAACATGAGCTGTTTGATAAAGGATGAGTCCCATATGGTCCACTTGTTGTCCTTACCTCCACAGCCCTTTGGGTGTTCCAGGGTGAATGAGCCTCCATATGCGTAGATGGTGAAAAGGAGAAAAAGAGCACGCCACATCAAGATGTTTCCCATCATCCACTGCCGTGTCTCTCTCAGCGTTCTTCCATCCAATCCCCAAGGCTGTTCACAACTCCGCAAAGGTCTTGGATAAATGCTGTCTTCAATTTCCAACCATCTGGCCAAGGAGTATGTCTCGCATGGGGGGCCAGCGTGCCCCCCTGTGACTCGTCTGGCATGAATAAGTGAACGCCACAACCCAATCTCCAGGACATTGCCAAACTCTGGGTGGATGGCAACATCCACACAAATCGGGATTAAATTTGATTGCCACCAAATGTATGAAGCCAGATCCTCGAAACGACGATGTCCTGAAAAAAGGATCAGGAAAAAAACGCCTTCCATCTGCCGGCCCTCTAGGGATCCAATCCGGATTCGGATTCCATCTGGTGGCTCTGTCAAGGAGCTGATGCTCAAATTTGGTTGCTTCTTGTCCCACATTGTGCACCGTCCATTCAGTTGCGTTTCTCAATGTGATTTGTCTGCCTCCTTGCCCTGGAGGTAACATACCCAGAGCTGCCCATTCCGCCAGCTCCTGCTCCGTTGGTGCACCATCTTGCACAGGAGGGTGTTCCTTCAAAGGCAAAATGTGTTTTTTCTCCTGATCTGTGCACCAACGCCAACCTTGATCTAAGGAGTGCTCCACAAGCCCCTTCTGATGAGCAGCCACTCCCCTCTTTCTGTCATGCTCATCAAGCTCGGCTGCTGCCTCTTCAGACATGGGAACATAATTCCGTAAATGAAAAATCCAGCACCCTGACTTCGCCATCTGCAAATGCTTGATCATGCGAGGCCGCGTGTGGTAAAACCGACCACATGCACGACATGCTGCATCACATGCCACCCTCCTCAGAGCAACTCGTTTGTTATGCTTGCGTTGCTCATGGGTGGCCAATGAAGAGGCCTTGTCAAACATCGCCCCACATTCAGTGCATTCATGAAGGCCTGCACCTGTGCCGGATTCCTCTCCTTTCTCACTCTCCTCTTCCAAGGTCCATCCCATTTCTCTGCAGATTTGATCTTGCACCTCCGCATGAGTTTTCAACTCGCAAAATGATTTGACCTTGCACAAGTGAGATTGCTCTGCCTTTTTGATCAAACCCTTGAGTTCATGAGCTCCTGCTTGAAACCAATTCCAAACTTGCGGGTCCATCAGCTGAAAAAGCTCCTCTGGCACCTGCTCTGCGCCAACTTGATTTTTCAACCATTTCAAACTGTGAAAGACCCCTTGAAGCCACGAGTTCTCTTTCTCAATCTCGAAATTCTCCACAATCGCCGCAATCATATACGCATCTCCTGTCTTGAAAAGATGCACCAACAAACGCAGCCTGCAAAGATACATCAGTTCCAAAGGCATAGGTGATTGCATCGCATCAGCTAGCTGATACATAGTGGAGTGCCGCACCTCACCATTTGCCTTTCTTTGATGAAGGGATTGGTAGATTTTGTGAATACCCGCTTGCCAAACTTGATATTCACCTTGGGTAAGAGCAAAAAGTGTGCCAGCGTGTAACGTGAAAACTGACAAGCCCAAACTCTTGATGAGCCGACTTCTCTGCTCCTTTTGGAGACCTTCATGAACAAGAATCCGTCGCAACGGCTTGAGTTTGGATAGGGCACCGACAGTTCTGACCCTCAGCTCCGCGATTCTCGAACCCGATCTTGTGATGAAGCCGCCAAGATGTCGGTAATGCCCCACGATCGGGATGATCACTTTGCCTTTGTGCTCACTCATCAATGCCAATCCTTGACCATGCTTCTGCTCTGCTTCCTGCCGTGCAACAGTCGCTCCCTTTCCATGAAACGAGATCATCACTGCTGTTTTTCCAACCCCGTAAGAAAGGGACAGACCATGCTCCAGCATTGCATCTTGTACTATGCCCAACAAATCCATGGTTCTGCCCACCAAACGATCAGCATCCTCCGTGAGCGAAAAAGCGATGTCATCCACCCAGGTGACCATGTTCGAGACTTGACCAGCTGTCGTTTCACGTGAAAGCTGAATGCCAATCTGCTGTGCTCTTTCTTCAATCACACCTATCACCTTGGATAAGACCAGCGAAAATAGCACATCTGCGCTAGGGTCTCCCGGCCTTGAGCCGGTCATGGGCGCTTGCAGCGACTTGGACTCTGGTATCACAAACCATGCTAAGCCCAGCATTGCCGCTGCACTGTTGGCCATGACAGCTGATCCTGTAGCCTCCTTGATGAGATTGACACCCATCGTCTGCTGCAGAAACTCCTCTTTCATGTCAGTTGGTAAATTCATCTTTGCAAACACTTTTTCCAAGCTCTGCATGCCGGAGGCTGTGCCTGCTACCAACTGTTTCACCACAGAGTAAAACGCTGCTTTGATGTCAAGGAAAATAACTGCATGAGACTTGCGCTGATGTTTCGCATTCCTTTTCCAGAAATGAACATGTAGGTGTAGTGCCTCAATCGAAAGTCCTTGTCTGCCCCCCCACTGCATGGGTCGCGCCACTCTTGCCAATCCTTCCGTGATCAGTGGTCTCCATGCCTTCGAAAAGGCTCTTGATACAACAGATTCCAGAAGTATTGCTCTGTAACCAGCCATATTTTGCGGGTTGCCCCGTCCTTTGAACAATGGCAGCAACCATCCACCTGCGAACTCCATGACGCCTTGGCCTCTGACCGCTGCTTTTAACAAGATCGGGTACAACTTTTTGGCTGCTACAACTGGATCAGCTTGAAGCACTTCCGCTCCTAGGCCATCAAGGCCCGTGGCCTTGGTTGCCTGCAATGCTCTGATTGCTGATTCTAATTGGTAGAGGGAAGGAACTGAAAGGAGATCGAGTGCTTGCCAGCAGTCTTCATGTCTTGAAACTGAACGTTGAAGCAATTCTGTTGCTGTAACCTCCTCAGCGTTTTCAATGGTTCCAAACTGTGTTTGCCATTCCAAAGCGATGGCATCCCTGTTGTTTTTCCATTGTCCATCCTCTCCACATAGTCCGGGAAGCTGACGGATCAGTTTGCCGGTGCTTCTGACAATCATTTGCTTGGGACGCAAGATCTTGAACAACTCCGCTGAACGCACTCCTCTTGCCTTTTCAACTTTGTCAACAAGTTGTTGCTTTATCCACTGCCTCCAATCTCTTCTTTTGATGCATTTGAAGTCATGGTCCACCCTGATGCGCGCTTCTAAGGTGACAGCTTCTTGGCATCTCAGAAAATGCAAAGGCCTGCGAAAGGTTTCCTCTGCTTGAGAGTCCTGCACGTTTCCTTTCCATGCCTTCCAAATGGCACTCAAAATCAAAATTCTTTTCTCACGTTGCAAGGCTCTATATTGCTTGCGGATCTCCTTTCTGGAGCAAAGCACATTCCAAGCCTCTTTGGAGAAATACAATTGACGCTGCTGGCGCTTCTGGCACGGAAAAAGGTCTTTGACCTTTTGCTGCAGGTGGTGTCGCACCCAATTCCAGTGGTCATTAACATCAACAGACCAGTCCACAGATGGACATTTCACCAAAATATCTTGCATAGCAGCCTTTTGCTGCCTTTTCATGGCCTCAGCTCGGTGGTATATTGGGCTCCTGTTGAAACGTCTGACCACTTCTTTCTTGCCAACCTTGATGTCGCATTCCAGACAAAGAGGAAAATGATCTCTGTCACCATTCATGAGATCAAGATCTTGATGTATGAAAGAACGCACCACACTTGCACCAAGTTCTTGTGGCATCAAGATGTAGTCGATTCTGGATCTATCACCATGCGCACTAGTGAATGTGTATGTCTGCCCTTCATGCCAGCACTCAAAAGTGGAGGGAATCATGAGTTTTTGTTCCCTGCAGATTTCACGGAGAAGTTCACCTCCTTCGTCTTCCAAATCAGCAGCATGATGTCCATTTTCATCACCGGAACATGAACCAACACTACAATTGCCATCCCCAAGCATGAAAAGATGAGCTCGTTTGTCTCTTTTCTCCAGGACAGATTTGAAGTGCTTCCACCACTGTTCTTTCTCTTGCGCACTGCGGCCTCTTTGAGGCGCATAGAAAACGACAATCTCCAATGCTGACTTACCCATTTGGCATCGTGCTGCAAGGATGCGTTCCGATGAATGCCACACGCACACATCTTTTTCAGGCTGAAAAACACAATGGAAAATCCTGGCCAATTCCTCGCCATTCAACCACAATTCCACCCCAGCTTGTCCATTGCAGCCTTTGGCAACAAGCCGAGTAAAAGGGCCATTCGTGACCATGCGTGACACCCGGGCTCTGGATTCTTGAATTGCACAAATGTGAATGTGTTCCAATTGGCATTGGCGCAGCAATTCATTTGCTTTGATGCTGCCGCAATCAGAATCACCATTGTACTCCATAGTCTCAACATTTGCCGTCGCAAATCTCAGCCGATGAACCCTACATCCATGATGCTGGTCTTCTTTCATGTCTCTACCCTTTTTTCCTTGCTCCCACTTGTTGGCCTCAAGGGATAGTGTCGGGTCATACCACCCCTCATTGGGATCCGCCTGGCTATTTTTCAACACCATGGCGAGTGAAGGCATCTGGCTGTCCGGCTTTGCTTCAATCCATGCCCATTCCCGTAATGGATGTGACAAAAGCCGTCCTGATCGGAACTCAGTTTGGACCATAGGCTGCCAACCTTGCCTGACCAATCGAGCTATACTTTCAGCGCATTCATTCCATGGGTGACCTTGATGTGCTTTGACATGCAAACCAGTGACTTCACTTGCCCTCTGCTGCAAAATGGACATCATGATGCGAGCAGCATGCTGTCTATCGGAAAAGGGATCCACATGCTGAACAACATTTTGCAATCCACATGCACCATGGCCCACAGCTAAAGCGTCATAGTGGAAGAAGATCTCCGCATGTTGAATTGTGGGGCATGCCAAGAGGTATTCCACCCCAGCAATAATGGCAGTCGCCTCAGCATCGGTTGCTGTCATACGCACTGGTCCAATTGAGTCATCAATCATCCCAGCAGCATAACCAATGCGAACAAAGCGTGAATGCGTTGGCAACCTGCATTCACAGAGAACGACAAAAGCCCATGCCGCATTGTGACGCTTGCAAGATCCATCCGTGAAAATATGGAAGACATTGTGGCACTCAACATCCAATTTCACCTGTTGGCTGGCAATGGCTGCATATGGATGCATATAGGGGATAAGAGCAAAATCACGATTCAGCCCCTTCCATCCTTCTGTGAAGAGGGCTTGCAAATCCGACTTCAAACTCTCCAGCATCACATCGTTGTTTTCTTGAACTGGATTCTGCCATTGTTGTTTGCTCCAGCCATCCGAGAGATCCGAGTTATCCTCTTGGCATGGTCGCAAGAGAGCATCCCCCTCCTGCAAATGCAACTCTGCCCTTGCATCTCTGGTGGCCTCATGTTCATTTGGCTTGCGATAGGAACTGATGGGATCCAAGTTATCCCCATCACGTCCCTGCTGAAAAGACAGTGAATGCTCTTTGCTCGACAGAACATCGCAGGAAATTTTGTCATCTTGGAAATTTTGCTGGTTCATTTCCTGACCACCATGAACTCTTTTATCATCCACATCAAGTTTCTCATGCAGAGCTCTGCAAATTTCCACGAAACCGGTGTCCTGGAGCCCATTAGTGTGCAAGCATTCAAAACTCTGAGGATTTACTTGCTGTTTTGGCTTTCCTTCACTTTTCAATCTCATTCGATGCTGCATCAAGCTTGTCATTTCCACATCTCCATAGTCCTCGCATTCATCATTGCTTAACAGCAAGGTCAAGGCTTGATGTTGCTGCCAAACCACGAATCGGGCTGTCACCAAATCACCTCCCTGCCAGTCTCTTTGAACCTCCCTTGCTTTCTGTCCACCTACAAAAACATGCGGATGGATGTGATGCCGTCTTGCCACACGGAACCAGAAAGGGGACTCTAACGCAATTCCTGGCATAGAGTGCGAAACCACTTGATTCGGCATGTTAACAGCCCAATATTCATTCACCATACCCTCCTGACCTGGCATCTTCTCAGCCACAGTGATTTGCTGATGGATTAGGACTGGACGTCCATCCCCATGACCATAACTGATGACGAAGTGGAAACATGGTCGCTCCATCTCTCGAACATCATTCGTCATATCCGAGACAAAACCAATTTGCACCTGTTGGGCGTCAAAAGGCCAAAGCTGTATCATGAAATCAATCCACTCAAGATTCTTCAACTGATCAGCCCTGCGCGCAATTTCACGCTGACCAAGTGGCCTATTGGCCGGCGAAATCCCATGAACAATAAGCACAATTTCTTCACATTCAGGCTGGAGATTCTGCAAGCTCCTGCACTGGAGGAAGAAGGCCTCCACTTGATTGATCCTTTGGCTGGCTCTTTGCACCTCCTTGCAAATGGGTCCAATCCAAACTAGGCATAACATACCCGGATCGAAATCATAGTGATGTCCATCCTCCAAACTGACCTGCCCCAGCCTCACTCCACATGCTCGTGCTGTCAACGGTGGGCAATGCTGTTGCAGCCCGAGCTGGGAGAAAATTTCAGTCATTGTGGATTCAACATACAGCCTTGATGCATAGTATTGATTCCTGACTGACACCTCTGAAACCGCTCTTTCATGCACCAAAACGGGTTGCAATCGCTCATCATCTGTGCCTTCAATGTCAATCTCAACGATAAGGACTATAGACTTTTCTCCAGCTATGTCCATCGGCTGTGGGCTGACATTGTATGCAATGAGGTCGCCTTGTTGGGCATGGTCATCCCATAAGTCCAACACCACACGCATGAGCTCATTCGGCGCTAGGGGATCAAAACTAGCATCTCTTCTGCCTAGTTCCACGAGCCCCAACCCGAAAGTCACCACCGTCCACCTGTCATTCATCTGACTTGCTGGCAGGTCGACTCGAATAAGCTCAATGTGATCTTGGATGTGATTGAGGTGATGTGGCGCAAACACGATTGAAATGGCCGGTTCCTCTTCCATCAAAGCATGTGCACCGTGCTGGTCTTCATTCTGCCAGTCCTCCGGTATAAACTGGTCAATCTGCATCATGATGGGTCCTCCAGACATCAAGGAAAATTCCTCTGGGTCATCCGTCCATTCATCTTCTGGCAGGTCCGTGGTAGCCTCAGAACTAGCCGAGGAGTCATCTGCTGCAACATTCACTTCATTTTGATCCTCCTCCCCATGAATGACGCGCAGGCCACCCTTGAAAAAAGTGCCAATTTGTGCAAAGACAGCCTCCGAGTCGGTCCTAGTGATTGCCTCATTTTCTTGAAAGAATTGAAGAAAACAGGCAGTTTGAACACGCCTACATGCGTCTTCATGCTGCAAAACCTCGAAGATGTTTCTCACTGACTTGCCATTTTCAAACAGTGCAGCCCTGGTTCTGGTGAACACTGGCATCGACTCACAGTGAAACAAGGCTGCAACCTGACCAGGCATGATTCCCTGAATGACAATCCAAGCACCGATCACACTCGGCAAACGTCTTCGATCAGTCTGCACATAAATGAGTTGGATAGGTCCGCCATCATCAAGGTCAAACCACGTCTGCTTGCATGCTCTTCTGAAAGTTTCAAAATCAGTTTCACGGTCGACCCTAACTGCTCTTGGTCTCACACAAAGGTCGATTCTCTGGGCTGCCAAAAACCAAGTATCAACGAACACTGGACTTCTGCTTGAATCATACAAACTTGAGGCCTTAGTGTTCATATTGTGAAAAGCTGCGATTTGCACCACATCCTCTTGATGCCTAGCAATTGACATGCCTCCCTTCGTGTCAGAACCTTCATCATGCTGACAAAGCCTAGGAGTTTGCTTGACATACGAGTCTAAAGCCGCTTCACATTCTTTGAGCGATGCAATCTGGCCATGCAAATGCCAGAGATTTCTCAAACAATCTTCTCGATCACATTCATTGATCCTGAAACTGCAAGACTCATGGTGGTCAAAACACACAACTTCACACACTTCATCAAACCGTAATTGCGTCTGTCTCTCCACTCTCTGAGCGACTTGCTCCACAAGTCTCTTCCGCAGCTTAATATCGTCAACACCATCAAATGAGGCTCCATTCAAAAAATTTGAAGGCTCAAACTCATTACCAAACGATACTGCAGAAGGAGGAGGGAGATTCAAAGCTTCATCAACACTGTTGTGGCGATCAGTCTTTCTTGTTTCATTGCAGAGTGAGGAGCCTACTATTTCACCAGCGGGTTCAAACTCAAACTCCACATCTAACAAGGTGGTATCGCGGCTTGTGCGACCACAGAGATCCGAGTTACCCTCTGTGCGTCTCATCATACCCTTGTGCAAGCCCTGGCACCATGTGTAAGGAAAGTGAAGCCAATCTGTTGCATCCTTCCAAGAAACTTGTTGCAAATGCCTACCCTCATTCGCATCTTCATCTGGGTGAGCCTGTGTCTGCTCTGAACCCACAGGACGAGCTTCACAGTCGATGCTGGAACCCACAAGACCACAGAGATCCAAGTTAGCCTCTGTGCGCCTGATGGTCCGATTGTTGCCACATGAAAGGACATCCCTTGCTTGGAACTGTCCGCCTGGGTCTATCAGAGGGTTCTCGTGCGAAGACCGATGGCTGTCCAAGGGAAGAACTGTGTTACCCTCTTTCTTGCTTCCCACATGCAAAAAGGGCTTCCCAAAATGTCTCACCATGTCATCTTCACTTTTTGAAATTTCCTTGCCACTCACCACGGGCAACTGGCTTTTCGCAACTTCTCCAAAATTTGTTGCTCCAAAACAAGCACTGTCACCAAGAGAAAGCAATGAGGCTTCATCCTCCTCATTTGTTTCCGGAACATTGGTGATACTCATTTCACCGCCCTGGCAGCCATGAAGATCCATGTTACCCTCCATGCACTCCCGCAAATGGGCCATTCCATCAATTTCACTGTCTGATCTTGCATTTTCCGAACGCAACATCCATGAAAAATGATTCTGCTTCTCATCATCCCAAAAATGACGCAAGGATTCCACTTCAGACAAAAAGGGGACTGACAAGCATGTGTGATTTGAGACAACCCTGTCCGACTGGGCCAACAAGCCACTCACTTGTCTGTCTTCACCTGTTTCATCCGATCTAGTGCATCCACATTCATCTTCATAGTGATTCTGTGCTGAAGGGCCTACTGAGAATAACCCGCAATTCCCAGATGCAGCACTGTCCACACTGCAACTTTCAGCTTTGAGAAAAGAAGAATCACCACAACGAAGATGAGGCAAGCAATCATGTGATGGAACATGGACACGGAACTTTTCGAGCCCATGCTGTGAAACACACTGGGTCAATTCATTGCACGAAGAGGAACCATCCTCCTTGTAAGTAGCTCTCTGCCAAAGACACCATGTCGGCAAAGGTGAATCATCAAAATTGTTGAACAGATGACACTGATCTACATTACCAAGGAAACAGAGCCATGGAAGAACAGTTGAAGAACTCACTGATCCCCTTTCTGCCTGACCTCTTTGTCCTTGTCTTTCTGATGTTTCTCTTGCTTTGCTTTCAAGTGTGTCTTGGCCACTTGCTGCGGAGATGCTGCCGATCTGAATGGTCTCAGCGCAGAAGGGAGATCCTTCTTGGCCTCTTCCTCCCCCTGATCCATGTTTGCTGCAACCAGTTCTTCTTCTTCCAACTGGTCTTCCATTTGATCCTCTGTAAGATCGACTGTCCCATTTTCCGCCAGCGCATTTTGCAGTTTCATCATCTGATCTGCAACTCCTGGCATCTCGTCCATGTCGAAATCCCCAGTGTGTTGATCCACCAGACTCCTGGAGGCAATTGAGACCTCCTCCTTCAAGGTCTGTAGCTCCTTCAGCTTCTGGTTGTATGTTTCCATCATGTCGGCACGACATTTCTGGTACAGGAGACCATGTTCTTTGACACGCTCCATTGTACGATTCATGAAAGCATTCCACTCTGCATCGAGCTCTCGAATGCGTTTGGCTGCCCCAGCCACTTGCCCTTTCACCTTGTGGAACTTGTTGATGTGTCCATGTGTGAGGGCTTTGGCCGTGGCCATTCTTTGTTCCTTGACGGTCAAATCGGCTAACTGCTGTGCCATTTCCTCTGGCAAAGCAATATTCATGCCCTTCAACCCACGTAGGTGTTCTAGCACCTTGATCTCTTCCGTAGTCAAAGCATCGCCTCCTTCCCTTTCCATTGAAGGCATGGGCGGAGGTGGTAAGACTGGCTGTGGCGGCAGCTGCAAGTCTTTGTCCTTGGCATCCGAAGTCACATCGGTTCTGTACGATGTTGCTCTGGCAGGCGTGGACTGTACCCAGGGGACTTTCTCCTGGAACACTTGCCATGTGGCCTGCTGTTCTTGTTCTCCGGTTGCTTCTGCTTTGTTGTACTTCTGAGATTTGCTGCGACTTCGCACCTTGCGCTTGGGCGGTTCCCACACTTCGCTCCAATGCGCTCGGCACTGTCGACATTTGTCTAAATGTTGACTGTTTTGGACTTCGCAACTTCGGCATGGTGACCTTTTGACGGACTCGTAGAGGTATTTCTAAAGGATTCCAGGTATGATGGCACTGTAGTGCCGGTAACAAACTGCGAATCCGCCTCCTCCGCCTTTTGCCAATTGGCTGTGTAAAGATCCTGGCAAACCAAGTCCGCACCGCTTGTCTCTTCCGCCTTTTCAAACGGTGCCACCCAGGTTCCACACGCCGCTGCAACGTCACCAGTGTAAGCCAGCTGCGAAATCAACACGAAAACAGCGAGGCGGCACAAAAACATGCGCAACGCCCCTAAGGCTAGCCTTGACACGTGTGCAGGGGGGCCACTCCTACACACATGAAGAGCCCAAACCTTTGAATTATATGTACGTATATATATATATATATATATATCATGTATATTTGATGGCCTAGAACCCCACTTGCTCACCAGTTTACAAAACCATGGCCCATCAAAGTATCTAGAAAATTGGACCACCATCGGCCATCCGCGCCAGTTGCAGCTTACCAAAGTTAGGCCCTGGGCAGCCTGGGCTGTGGGAAATGGACACGGGACATTATGGGACAAGCTCAAAACCTCGTCTTGGTGAGGTTTTGCCCAAAAAAGGGGCTGAAGAAGTGTCATCTTCGATGATTTTATGTGTCAACTCTGCCACTTTTATATCTGTTATCCTCCCAAGTCATCTTATGGTTTGAGATGTTTGAGCCATATTCAAATCATCATAGTCAAGGCTAACACTTCAACATTCCGATCCATTCACCTTTTATGCAAAATGGACATTCCCATCCCATCCAGTTCAACGCATTTGTCGAACCGCGGTCTGTCGAACCTGTCGCAGTTTGGAAGAAAGGGATCGTGAAGTGGCAAAGTTGGAGAAGGAACTTCTCGAGAAGGAAGGTGAACTGAATGATGTGAGGCGCGTGAGCTGCACGAGCTGTTCATGAAAACTTGCTATGCGGGTAAAAGAATGCCATAAACAATGGAAAGTAATCAACATAAATTTATAGGTGTATGTTTATCATTCCCAGTCATGGATGGTTTATGACATTGTTTTACCCACTGCAAAGTGAACCATCTTGGGGTGGCCAAACGACAATGATCAGGATCCACAACTTTCGCTGCCTTTGGCTCATGCTGCAACGAGCAGCCAGAAACGGCCAAAATGCAGGCTGCCAACATGACCGTGACGGGCATTTTGGTTGCAAACTTTCTGATGCACTGTATCCTTCTATATTGGTCATGGCTGGGAGAATATATAGGACCCAAATGCATATCCCATTACATCCACATTTTCATCCAGGAACCCCTCAGGTACATGTTTTCGAAGTTTCTTTCGCCAAGTGATGGATCACCGCATAAAAAGAATATCCATATGTTTGTTGATCACATCCAAATCCCCTGATTCCCGATGTTTGAGGATCAAACCTTAAATTAACCTTAATCATAAATTTACCTTAAAATTACCATTTTTAAGGTTAAAATTAACCCACATCCAAGCTGCTGATCAAACGATCAAACCTTGGAGATGGCTTTATATTGTGAGTTTTCGAACCACCAACCCATCATAGATTTCAACAGCAGCTTAGAAGTTCTCCATGTTAAGCGCGCCTGCGGCGCCTGTGCTTCGGGCGGCCAACAGGACCAAAGGCGGTGTAACCGAGGTCTGTGATAGGTAATGGCCGATTATATCATCAAAAACTGACTGGTTATAAGCAGTTCTTTTTGGATGATAATAGCTAAATACTTTTGATGACGTACCCAATAAACATCATTAGACTATAACATCACCTGCTTTTTTTGATGACATAGCTACTGGTAATACACAATTTGTCAATATCCACGTGACTGATTTCAAGTCTACTTCCGAAAAATGTGTGGCTACAGACTGGTGAGGTTTTTAGGGTTGAACTTCTCACAGCTGCTCGGCTCAAACAGCCAGCAGCCGGAACCCAACTCATGGTGGTCTCCAGACGTAACGCGTAAATATTCACGTCGGAAGGTAGGGATATCCATGTCCAACTTGGGGGTCAAAATTGCAGCCGTTTTCTGGGTACCCAATGACTAGACAAACAGCCTCAGAGCACACGTACTCATGTATCCACCTCTTTCAAGTGTCTCCAAGCAGCTGAGTTTAGGTTTGTCTATTTTCATCATGAAACAAATGCGATTTTGGGGTAAACATAAACTGGACCCCTACGACGATGAATTGGTCAGTCCTCCATCAAGTTTCCATCAATCCCATCCGGTTGGTGGTGACTGGAACCATGGAATTTTGAATGACTTTCCCATCATATTGGGAATGGAAAATCATCCCAACTGACGAAGTCCATCATTTTTCAGAAGGGTAGGTTGAAACCACCAACCAGATAAGTCATTGATAGTCATTATAATTCTCATTAACTATAGTTATATCTACCATAAACCATAGAATTCAGCCACTTATATACCACCAACCAGCCATAATGGATCCCATTTGTTGGAAGCTCCTGGCACGCAGTTCTGACATCTCCAGCCATGGTGGGCCGCATTGTGGCCACAGCGGGGGCTGTGGCAGCAGCTGCCATGGTTGATGTGGTGCATCCACGCAAAGAAGAAATGGTCAGGCGCCGGGAAAAAACCGTCATCAATATCATGGAATATCATGAGTAAGATATAATGGGAATATCCCGGAAGATTGGAATATCACGGGATATATTGATGGATATAAATGGATCTTATGGATTGTTTGGAAGTTGATTTAAGCCATTTTGATGGTTGAACATAGTGACATGAAACCGAGCTTTGCCAAGTTTGGCGGCGCTGAAAAAGTCCTGGTCAGCAATGAGTGGTTCGCCTGTTTTGGGCGAACCATATGGCTATGGATCCATATAGCCTATAGATACAATTTCTTTGGGGATGAACATAACAACCAGCTATTTTGATGTGAACCGAAGGGGTTTTAAGGGTTTTGACCCATCCCCATATTAGTGTTGTTATGATCTTCCAATGTCGCTCATAAAACTAGCTGGTTCAAGGCATGGCCATCCCACCATGAATAAAGTTCCCTAAGTAGTGGCTATTTTAAAATATGTTAAATCTCTACAGGATGGGGCCCCCAAGATAGCTAAGTTGCCCTATAAGCGGCTCAACTATGGTCTATGGTAGATATTAAACTAGCTAGTTTGCATGGGGTTTATAAATCATGGTTTTTTCTGAGCCAACGTTCACATAACTGTGGCGAAAAACCCTGTATGGATATTTGATAGAAATATACCTGATAATTATATTAATGGAAATTATAGATAGATAGATAGATAGATACCCTCTGGTAAACTAACATAACTATGGAAAATCACCATTTTATAGCTGGGAAAATTCACTATTTCTATGGCGATGTTCAATAGCAAACTGTTAGTCATTACCAGAGGGTAATCATTAATTCCCATTAATATATAATTATCAGATATTTATATATTATATGATATCTATATATTATATATGGTCATATATAGATCATCATAGTCATCCCCAAATAGTTGCACTTTACATCGTCATTCCGGGAATTCTGATGAACTCTGGTGATCAAACATGGGATCCCTTTAGCTACGGCACCGTGGCACAGGCATCATCCGATGTATGGCCGCACTCTGACCCAGGAGGATTGGCCCACTCTGCGCCTTGGAAACATGGCAAATCCCGAGATCCAATGAATACCATAGGAAAACCATAGGAAAACCATAGGAAAACCATAGGAAAATGGTGGTTTAATGGGATTTAATAGGATATACCCTCTGGTAAACTAACATAGCTATTGAACATGGCCATAGAAATAGTGGATTTACCCAGCTAGAAAATGCTGAAGTTCCATAGTTATGTTAAATTACCAGAGGGTAATGATGGTTAATGATGGTTAATGATGGTTAATGATGTTGGTTAATGGTGATTAATGACTGGTTGGTGACTGGAATGTTGCTGAAAATATGCCACAGATTTTTTCAGCTGGTTGGTGGTGACTGGAACCATGGATTTTTGAATGACTTTCCAGAAACAGTTGGGAATGGAAAATCATCCCAACTGACGAAATCCATCATTTTTCAGAGGGGTAGGGCTCAACCACCAACCAGGTAGTGTTTATATCTGTATATGACAAGAAAGACAGCCCCCATTCTGGATGAAAACCTATCTGCGGAATTTTACCCTCTGGTAATTTAACATAGCTATTGAAAATCACCATTTTCAATGGGTGAATCCACTATTTCTATGGCCATTTTCAATAGCTTTTTGTATGTTTACCAGGCCGGGTAGTGTCTAAATCTCCAAACCAGGTGATGTTCCCTGTCTATTTGCGTCAACCAGCTGCACCCCCAAATCCCCCAAACTCACCCAATTGACCCCCCAAAAGTACTTGGTGGCCCATCCCACGGCTCGTAAGTGGTTTATAATCCCAATTATAAGAGTGGATTAACCTTACTTATTCCAAGAACTGGGGTTATAACCCATTTACTAAGTGGGATGAGCCACCAAAAGTACCTGAGCCACTTGGCTTCGCACGGCTCAGGTCCGATATGATCCTTCGCGCGCGCAAGCTACAGCTGGGAGAGCGTATGGTGTGCCTCATAGAAGGCGGCAGGATTCGATGGTCAGATGGGGACCCTTCGGTGTCACCAAACATGGCTAAGATATGCTAAGATCATAGCCATTTCAGTGAGAGAACATGGGAACATTATCAATCAATCGGACTATCCTCTGGTAAACTAACAGTTTGCGAACTGGAAAATGGCCAGTCGAAATAGTTGATTTTCCCATTAATAGCATGGTGATTTTCCATAGTTTTTTGTATGTTTACCAGGCCGGGTATATCATGGGGATAGAATGGGAGAATATTAACCATAGATTAACCATAGATTAACCATAGATTAACCATAGATTAACCATAGATCAACCATAGATTAACCATAGATTAACCATAGATTAACCATAGATTAACCATAGATTAACCATAGATTAACCATTATTGGATACAACGAAGCAACGATCAAAGACTAAGCGAGCTCTGAAATTCGTTCCGAACGGTTCCGATGGTGGGAAAATCATCGAACTACATGGGAGATTTTCAAGCAAGCCATGTTTGATTCAGAGGGGTTTCATGCGCTATCCATTGATGTGGATATGTGGGACACGTGGGATAAAGAGTTGGATACATTTGGATACAAAAAATCTTACATTCCCACATATTCCCACTCTATGTTGGATAGAAATTCCATTAATGTTGTTTATCCATGTGTTGAATCAATCATTCCATCGATGGGATGACCAACAAAGAAACGTTTCAACATCGCCGAATGCTTCGTCATCTTTGTTGGTGAATGACGAAGCTGAATTTTCTTGGAACCAGTGAAGTCCCCATTGGAACCAGTGCATCAAGTGCCCAAGTTTTACCAATTAGGTTAAATCCCCATGTTTTGCTGCTTGGTGGTGACTGGAACCATGGAATTTTGAATGACTTTCCAGAAACAGTTGGGAATGGAAAATCATCCCAACTGACGAAGTCCATCATTTTTCAGAAGGGTAGGTTGAAACCACCAAGCAGTTTGATTGTCAACCCCCATTTTTGTTGTTTCAATCCATATATATATATATGTATATCTAGATATATACACATACATATATATATACATATATATATATACATATATATATATATACATAATATATTTAATATATATATATATATTATAGTATATATGTAGGGGTCAAACCCCCATATTTTCCATTTTTGGACAAGGATCTCTACTAGATCGATTTTTATTTTCGATGATGCCAGGTGAAGAGGATGCCACCTGGCCGGAGCAACCAATTTGACAGTCCCAGCAAAAAAATATGGGTAAACAATGGGAAAACCATAGGAAAACCATAGGAAAATGGTGGTTTAATGGGATTTAATAGGATATACCCTCTGGTAAACTAACAGTTTGCTATGGAAAACCACCATGTTTAGTGGGTAAATCACGGGTAAATCAACTATTTCTATGGCTATTTTCAAGAGCAAAGTAACAAATAACCAGAGGCTACATATAGTGAACAAGCAGAAATGATGAGATAGATTTTTCATGATAAATGGATGTAGAAGGTGGGGATAACAGGGATTCAACATCAAAAGGGGAGTTGGCCGGATGAAGAGAGGGAATTTCACCCATGTTGGCCAGAGTTCACCCATTGGCAAAACTCATCCAGATTGGTGACGTAGGGCAGCAGCCAGATGGAAGCGTCAGAATGTACTGCCACAACCTGTTTCGATGAACAACAAATGGAGGTTTTAATGGGAATATATGGGAAAAATATGGAAACTATTAAACTATAGTGATTTATGGGAAATACATGATGTATGAAAGATACCCTCTGGTAATTCAACAGTTTGCTATTGAACATGGCCTATTGATAATTGATCTACGTATAAACAAATGGTGATTTTCAATAGCTATGTTAGTTTACCAGAGGGTAATCAGGAAAACAGGAATGCAATCATCAGTAATCATGAGGGTATTTTGCCACGGTGTTGGACCCAGCGAACATGTTTGGACCACCATTTTTGCTACGGAGGACAAACCAAATGATTTGCTGGTTGATATATACCGTCCAGCAGTTGATTGATCATGTTGATTGATCACATGTATATCTGTGTAAGTACGCGTAGAGATTGACAGATACATATTGTATAGATGTAGGCATAAGTATAGACGATATTGATACCCCCAGATATAATTAGAACTTAGATGCATACAGAATATAGATGGTGCAATATCTATAGATATACATCTATCTACAATATATTATATTATATTATACATATATTAAACATATGATCAAACATCTACATATATCATCATATATGGGTATGGATCAATACCTATTAATACCATTTTTAGGGGGATGAACATCCATTTACCATCTATTTTGATGTTCACCAGGTGTACCAGGGTTTTGACACACTGCTATATATCTATGTAGATGTGCAATTTTTTATAGAAACTGACCTAATAAGATGGAACAGCCGCTGATGCGCTGCTGAGATTCGCGCCAAAGAATCCGCCTTTTGGGATCTCGGTGGGGATGTCTTCCAGTTAACTTTCCGGTGCCTCGGCGGTTCACGGAACGGGTGGAACGGGTGGAACGGGTGGTCCTTTTCCAATCTTCCATTTTTTTCATAGGAAAACCATAGGAAAACCATAGGAAAATGGTGGTTCAATGGGATTTAATGGGGTCCTTTTCCAATCTTCCATGGCTGCCGGTAGCGGACTGGGAATTGAAGCAAAAATGGCGGTTTTTATGGGAAGATTTCTGGGAAATAGCTATGGTTTTACTATGGTGATTTATGGGGAAATATATGATGTATGAAAGATACCCTCTGGTAATTTCACAGTTAGCTATTGGAAATGGCCATAGAAATAGTTGATTTACCCAGCGATAAAATGGTGATTTTCCATAGCTATGTAAACGTTTACCAGAGGGTAGCGGACTGGACATTTCGAATCTCCTTTTCAAGTTGCCATTGGTGCATGCCAGTGGCTGTGCCAATGTTGCAGCCTTTTGCAGGCTTTGGTCCAAATGAAAGGCTCAAATATTTTAGAGTAGAGGTGATTTGGCTGGGTATGTTTGATCACGACCGAACCCTGTCCTCCCGAACCCTGGAATCATGGTTTATTTTAGGGAAATCATCCCCAGCCGAACTATTCAGATTAGTGAAATATTATCATTTACCCAGATATATGGTACCAATAGTTACTATCGATGGCTATATATATGGTATATATGGTATATATGGTATATATAGTATATATGGTATATATATGGTATGTATATGGTATATAGATATGGCAACTATAATCTACCCAGATTTGGGTCTGAACAGGATTCATCAGATTCCAAGGACAAAGCGCCGGGATGCACTGTACTTCCCCAAGTCGCTGCTGGCCGAAGGTGCGACTTGACGGTCGCGAGGTAAGGTCGCGCTGAACAATGGCGAGTCTATAGGTTTCTGACTTGAATAACCATAGGAAAATGGTGGTTTAATGGGATTTAATGGGATTCAATAGGATATACCCTCTGGTAAACTAACATAACTATGGAAAATCACCATGTTTAATGGGTAAATCCACTATAAATGGCAATTTGCAATAGCAAACTGTTAGTTTACCAGAGGGTAGTATTTATGGGGCATAGAACTATAACTATAGATCCACCATTCTATGGTGTTTTGATGTTTTTGAATACATTTAAGTGATGTTTCACGTGGTCAACCGAACACACTGAGCATTTGATGCCCATTTTCATAGGGAAGACGATTGAACCCATGGGACTTGGGGTCTGCCAGTGTCCCCGGCATCCAGGGCGAAACTATTTGTTTGCTGCAGCGGCTGTATGGGAGCTTCAGCTAGGACAGCGATATCTTTACTACATCTTGATGGACGCTGATGCCGAGGTCGCGAAAAGAAATTGGGTTCTCGCAGTGTCTGCTGTCCCCTGTGAAAAATAGGCTTTGAATGGGATTTAAGCATCAAAATTGTTTTGCTTTTTTTCAAAAAATAGGGTTTGGGACTTGGATTTCAGTGAAATTTGATGGGGTTGAAAGTTGGGTTTCCAGTCTATGAAATATAATGGGGATGGTCAGAACCCATCTGGGAAACCCGTGCTTAACCAACCATGATTTCATGAAGATTTACACACCACAAATAACCAACAGTAGGGGATTTGTTGACGGGGATAATGGATATATGACCTACATGGACAGGCAACACAAATAAGATGTAAAAAGTATAATTTATGATACATGCCCAACAAGAATGGGAAGAATAACAAAACAACTATAACATTTGGCCGGCATTTTCGAGTTTCCATCCTACATCACAGGTTGACTTTGGTATTTATGTGATCAAACCATCAACAAGTTAACACGTTGTTCAAAGGTTGGCTTGGACTAGCGTAACATAATACCCTCTGGTAAACGTTTACATAACTATGGAAAATCACCATGTTTAATGGGTAAATCCACTATTGCTATGGCAATTTTCAATAGCTTTTTGTATGTTTACCAGAGGGTAACATATGACTGGAAAATTCTCGCCTGTTGGCTTCATTGGCTGTTGATAGATCCCAAACCTGTCCTACTTTGGCCTCCCGAAGGTGGATGATTGGTCCATCGGCTGGCGGGACTTTCGCAATTTTCTCCTCGACTGGCAACCGGCGGTGGGTCTGCCGGAGCTCTTTGATTATCACCAGATCCCTGGTTCGAATGGTCAGGCTAGTGAGGGGAACTATCCCAAAATGGCCAGGCATGGCCAGGCCATTCTTTTCCAGGTTGGTGAATTGTAGCTTATCCAGGTTATCCAGTTGATTTGCTGAATGAGGTGTTGATTTTTCTCTATTCTCAAAGTGGAATCTGTATCATGTGGGTAAAACAATTTCATAAAGCATCCCCCAGTCATCACCATTTTTATTGGCGGTATGTTTACCATTTCCAGTCATGGGTGGTTCATGGCATTGTTTTTCCCACATTACTATGGTTAGTGGGTATTATAAATTATAAACCATAAATTGTTGATCATAAACCATCGATCCTACAGTGGTATAATGAACCATTAATTACCATTAAAGCCATTAATATCTATAGTTAGTGTGCCAACATTGATAGATATTATAGTTATATACCATGTATTGATACATATATATATGCTATCTATAGTTATATACCATTAATATTGATTATAACACCCCAACCATAAAACGATGACACCTTTCCGGAAACTTCAACATGGGATGGGCAACGCCACCGTCCGGGAACAAAAAAACACAGTTTGCTACCGAAAATAGCCCATGTATAGATGAGTTATCTAAATTTCACATTTGAACATGGTTATATCTTCCATAGCACGCTGCTAAATTATATGACCAGAGTGTAGTACCAAAAAAAACAAGCTGTACCATCTGTTTTTTTTGACATAGCCATGGAAAATTGCCCATTTATAGATGGTTTACCTATAGATATTATAGTTATATACCATTATAGTTATATATTAATGTTTCCATTGGTGCAGCATCACCACCATGTGCCTTTTTTTTTCGAAGCCAAGGATCTTGTACGAATATCAGGTGACGGACGAATCCGAAGTGCGGACGGTGCTGAATTTCGACCATACTGTTGCTCGTTGATGGTAGGGTTTTGTGTTTCCCTCAAATCCTGGGACTGGTCGGAAAATTCTGCAGGAACACCTATGTTTGATTGGAAAGCGAATGGTTTCCTGATATGCTTCCTTTCACACATAATGAAATCCACTGATATACCCTCTGGTAAACTAACATAGCTATGGAAAATCACTATTTTTCATAGATAAATCAACGAACTAAATGGCCAGTTTCAATAGCAAACTGTTAAATTACCAGAGGGTATCTTTCATACATTATATATTTCCCCATAAATCACCATAGTAAAACCATTTATTTCCCAGAAATATTCCCATAAAAACCTCCATTTTTGCTTCAATTCCCAGAGGCTAATTTTAGATGATGATCTCTTTCCCATAAATCACCATAGTTGAATAGTTTCCATATTTAATATTTCCCATTTATTTCCCATATGGCAGTGTGTCAAAACCTTGTACCCCTGGTGAACATCAAAATAGCTGGTAAATGGATGGTCATTCCCCTAAAAATGGTATTAATAGGTATTGATCCATACCCATATATTCCCATTCAAACCTCCATTTTTTGTTCATCGAAACAGGTTGTGGCAGTACATTCTGACGCTTCCATCTGGCTGCTGCCCTACGTCACCAATCTGGATGAGTTTTGCCAATGGGTCTCCCAATGGAGCCCCGGGCAGCTGAAATTGAGATGTTCAATATATTTATGTTCAATTAATTAGATAATTATATAATCCCATATGGCATATATGGGCTGATAGGTATTTTCCCCTATCAATATGGGATGGAAAAATAATCAGCCATGGTAAATCAGTTTGGGTTAGATCAGGGAGTTTGATTTTTATTTTCGCATAAGCAAGTCCTAAGTTTGTAATTGTAATTACCCTGGCAAAGAAATTTGGCAACGGAAAGCCTCATTACAGCCAAACGCGGAACAGGTTTCATTTGGTTGTCTTTCTTCCCTCCACGGCAATTAGCTTCAAATCCTAATCAGCACCCTACTTATTCTGGGTGGTTATCCATCACCCATGTTTACCCTCCGGTAAACTAACAGTTTGCTATGGAAAATCACTATTTTTCATGGGTAAATCCACTATTTCTATGGCCATTTTCCAGTTCGCAAACTGTAAGTAAACGTTTTCCAGAGGGTATCTTTCATACATCATATATTTCCCATAAATCACCATAGTTTCCATATATTTCTATATATTTCTTATATAGATATATATATATATTATATTCCAATTAAAACCCATGAACCCAGCCAGTTTACCAGAGTGGGTCAGATGTTTCGCTGGTTTTTTTGGTAGATCTCAGGAGATTTTCCTCCCTGGCCAACGCCTTGTTTCCTCAACACACGGTGCTCACACACCGACTCTCCGTGAAAAATCCACACCATGCGTCCTACAGCAAGTCCAGGCCGCAGGGGCTGGGATGGAGCACTTTTGGTGAACTGTGGGGCCCCTAAAAGGTGATGTGAACGTTGGTTAACAAAAACCCCATGAATACTAGTTCGTTATAGGTACCATAAACCAGTTCGTGAAATTGGAGTTATGTGCACCAACTTAGCTATTTTGGTAGAGTTGCCCTGGAACCCCTCGATTTTTCCATATATGGGATAATCCTTCCCATTGACTTTCATATTTTTCAAGATGGTTAAAACAACCAAATCCAGGATGATGGTTTGTCCTCAACAAGTTGTTGCCGGCGAGGTGCTTAGATCTCATGCTGAATGTCACAGAGGAACTGCGCGCGGCGGAGCCCGTAGAGTTTCACAGCTGCTTCGTGGAACCTTCCAATCAGGTGATCTGCAGTTCTTTTTTTTTGCGGTTAAAGTATTACAATGTGGTACCCCCCAGCTACAAGTTGGTTTATAACCCCATCAACTATAGATATATCTACTGTACCATAAGTCCTGGTTATTGGAGATGTTCAATATATTGATGTTCAATTAATTTACCCTCTGGTTATTTGTTACATAGCCATGGTATATATGGTCGTATAGCTGAAAATATGTAGCCCGCCTTGGATCCGAGCCCCTGAAATTCTTATACAGTGAATTCTTGTACAATACTCAAGCTGTATTGCATGTCTGTACAATATATGCACATATCAACGCTGAGACCATGCCTGCAATCAAGAAGTGATTAGTAAGTGAATTCTACCCCAACATATTCCATACATATCCCATGTATCTTTGAGCTTACAATCTCCTTCACTATCCATGTACTTGGTACAAAGTGAGCATCCCCCCAGTTCTAACTTGGTCTATAAACCTCATTTACTATAGTTACAACTATCATAAGACATGCTTATTGGAGTTCTGTTTACCAACTTAGCCATCATAAATCAGATATAGATCCCATTAAATCATCATGTTTGCTCGGTGAAATTAGCATTTTTCCTATGTGTTTCAATAATTTTCATGTGGTTTTCCTGCGGTTTTCCTGTGGTTTTCTTATGGTTTTCGTATGGTTTGATCGTTTGGGACACCCTGTCCAGGCCCTGATCGTGGATGGCCTGCCACGTCTCACAGCATATCTGCCCTGGTTCTCGCCCTTGAAACGACGACCCAAGCAGAACTACAGCCATCGGCCGCGGCTCCAAAGTTGCGACAACCAACAGGTGGTTCAGGTCTGAAGATGTAGAAAAATCAACAGATACCCTCTGGTAATTTAACATAGCTGTTGAAAATCACCATTTTTATCCATTTTTAGTGGGTAAATCAACTATTAAATGGCCATTTTCAATAGCTATGTTAAATTACCAGAGGGTATTCTGTAAAGACCTTTTGACAACCCCAGTTGTTTGTGAATGGTCAGTCTTTCGTGGGCAGATCATTTGCGAATTTGGCTCCTCAAGTTTGTCTCTCTTCCTGCCTGTTGTGGCTCAAATTCCCCATTTTGATGGGTGGACATTCCTTTTTGTCTGGCTTCACCTGCATATTTCCTATGTATTCCAATGTATTTCCAAAGTATTTCCTATGGCTAAAGTCATGTTATCCCTGAACTCCCCATTTTTCCCAGTCAAACTCCAGCGCCCCAGGCCTTGGCGCAGAGTTCCAAGGAGGACGACGACAGTCACAGCTACTCCTGGTGTCGCGGCTGTCATATCTCGGTAGCCTTTGCGGTGCTTCAGACCATTGTGGTTACCAGGTGCGGAGTTCAGAAGGATCCGGGAGGTGCAATTTGATGGTGAGTGAAGTAACTATAATTACCATCTATATGGATGGTCATTTTACATAATTTTACTTCATTGGTGGATTTTCTGTTAATAGATGGCATCTATTAACACAAAATCCATGAATGAACTATTAACACAAAGTCCAGCAATTAAATATAAAATCACCATCCATTGATAATATTTGGTCATAACCATGAAACAAACCATATGAAACTCAACCATTTTCCATCACCATCCCCAACAGCTATAGGCCCTTTCTTTGTCTTCACTTCATAGGATATCCATGAATATCCATGAACCACAATTAAGCTTTAAAAAAACGCACCAGAATTTCCATCACCAGACTCCCAGGCCCTTTGTCTTCCATTAACATTGATTAAAATCTATCAATTAAATATTAAAAACCACCATTTTCCATCATCCGAAAAACAACATTGGTTAAAATTTATCAATTAAATATTCAAAACCACCATTTTGCATCATCCGAAAAACAGCTACAGGCCCTTTGTCTTCACTTCATAGGATATCCATGAATATCCATTAACCACAATTAAGACTCATTGGAAATCCATGAATATCCATTAACTTCATGAATATCCATTAATTGCCATTGGACCATCAGACTCCCAGGCCCTTTGTCTTCACTGGTTGGTTAAAGTTATCCAACATCCTGGCGCTGGCCGCGGCGCAGCGGGAAGACCTGGTGGTGTCGCACGTGGCCTTCGTGGTGGCCTCGCGCCTGTTGTGGTGCGCTGAGGGCATCCGAGGCGCTGAGATTAACGTGGAGGTGCCCGGGGCCTGGGAAATTCCCGAAAAAACACGGGGAAAACGTGGGAAAATGTGGGAAAATGTGGGAAAATGGTGATTTCACCAAGGAAAATGGGGATTTGGAGGGATTTAAACTTCAAACATGGTGATTTAACTATGATTTAATGGGTATTAAATGGAGATTTTGTATGATTTAGTGTGCTTTATAGCCGATTTAGGTGAGTGAGGAGGTGGATAATATAGGTCATGTTGTGTCATGGGAGTGGGTAAGAAGCAAAAAATGATAGTATGGAATCTGGCGAAAAATCATGTCTGCTCAGGAATTGTACTAGTAAGTGGCTAAGTTTGGCGCACATGATAATATCTCATAATATCTGTTATCGTCTATTCTCGGTGAAATAACTCATCTATGAGTGAACTGGGCTGAATCCCATTTTGTGTTGGCCAAGTCCGGTTTTGGTAGCTGAAATCACAACGGTTTTTTGTTGGTTTAATCCCCATCCTCGTTGATTGCAAAACACATGAAACTGTGTTTTATCATCCTCTGTCTTCGCCATTTTTGTTGGATGTGAATCCCCAACTGGTTGGTGGTTTGGAACATGACTTTTATTTTTCCATTCAGTTGGGAATTTCATAATCCCAACTGACTTTCATATTTTTCAGAGGGGTAGGCTCAACAACCAAACAGAAAACAGTTTGATATCGAGTTTTGATGAGTGGCTTCCCAATTTGTTCATGACTCCTCTAGTTTGGATAGTGAGAATTCATGCAACATCATCATTTGAGCTGGTGATTTCACTTTTGGTACTGAAAATGCCCTTCAAATGTTGTTTGATCAAGTGATGTCTCAATTCTTCTTGGTAGTTTCCTCAATTTTTGAGGCTTGACATACAATTTTTGTTGATTTCTCGTTGGTTTCCCCAATTTTCAGGCCGAAAATTCCCCATTTTTCCCGCTCCGCGCCTCGTGTCCCAGGAGTTAATGCAGTTCTGGGAGGGTCACGAACAGCACGGCATTCTGCTGGCGCGCAGCTCGGACACACTGCAGGAGATCGAAGACTCGGTGCTCCGTTTGGGCAATCGCCGGGGTCCTCGGGGGTTGGGGGATCTTGGGGAGATGGGGGTCAAAAGTTGGAAAGGTTGGGGGTTGGGGGTTGGATGATACTTCTTGGTAAATGGAGCATTTCACCAACAACCATGGGATATCATGGATATTTAAGGGGATATGATGAGAATATTTCATGGGTTTATGACCAAGAACATTTGCTGAGTCGATTATTTTTGAGGATTTTGGGGAATCTTGGGATGGAGGTCAGTTGGGTGGACAGATGGTCTTCTTGTATCCCCATTGATTACTACTGTTGATTCTTTTCCATAAGATCGTCGAAAAAACTCCCCCGAGTTGATGACAGTCCCAGCTGGGCTTGGCCAATGCCATTAGAAAAACACCGATTTTCCAAAAACAGATCCTGAAAATGTCCAGAAGTTCGGCTGAGGTGTGATCTACAACGCAGTGCGGGCTGCACTCTCTCCATTTGAAGGTGGCCCTGGGGATCCCAATGGGTCAGGATTTTCCACATGCAATGAGCCAATGATTTCACAGTACTCAGAATGTCGTAAACCCCCAATAATAAACCCGGAAAACTCGGCGGTTTATACCAACCAAGTCTAGTGATCTTGGGGATGGAAATTTGGTTTTTGTGTCTGTTTTTAGTTTACCACATTCTCATTTACCTGACAGATTTCCAAATCTTTGGTCATCACGCCGCGGGCAAAGAATATCCTCTGGTAAACTTTCACATAACTAGAATCTTGAATAGGTAAATCAACTATTTCTATGGGTCATGGCTTCCAGTTCGCAAATTGTCAACGTTTACCAGAGGGTATCTTTCATACATCATATATTTCCCATAAATCACCATAGTAAAACCATATATATATATAATTTTCCCATATATATTTCCCATTAAAAGCCATCAACCCAGCCGGAACGAAGAGGGTCCAGTTTTAGTATCTGCCAGAACGAGTCCCAGCCGGACAAGCATCCATGATCTCGGATGAGACTGTGGAGAGACTTGGTTTTCGCTTTTCTTTGCATTTCACTGGCAGAAACAGCTGAAATTTGAACAAGAAAACGAGTGAGTTTACCAACACCCGGGGAAAAAGAAAACACTGCGACTGGAACATGATTTGACCAACAAACCATTGAGATTTAAGCAGCAAAAATGGTGAATTCTATGGAATTCTTATGATTTCACCAGTTTGAAGCAGAACATGTTCTTGCAATTGGATAAAAAATAATGTTTACCCACGTTTGGCTTGAAATATTTGTGGGGTTTGCCATCTTTGCTAACAAGATATCCTGTATGACTTGTTGATCCCAATAGATGTCCGTTTCCCACTGGTTGCCTATGTTTCAATGGCACGGTCATCTACTAACTATGTTCATTGGTGATCTCCCCATTTCGGTTGGGTGAAAAAATCAATTCTTTAGTTATATAGGATAGGACCAACAGATGTTAAGTGATTTTTTTTATCAAAAATCACTAGACACAACTACTGACTATTCAATAGCTGTTTGCGGGAATTGCCTGGGATTGGTTGTCACTATATAGCTCATGCACTAGCTATTAATCAGACTATATGTCATAATTTAAAACATTGTTTCATGCATTTCACACTATTCAATCTTCTCCATCTTGGTGGAGGATATGTTTATGCACTACTTAAATTTTCATGGCGCACTATTCAGAATGACCATGTGTGGGATTGAAATTTATCATATCAAAAACAAAGACTCATCATCAAAACCACTTGCTGACCATTTGCTAAATTCAAATCCGCGATAAGATTTGGTGATGGTCATCAGCTTTATAAGTATTTCTGGTCACCAAAATGCCACAACATTCCCAGTAGCTACTATTCAAACTAGTCATTAACTACTATTTCCATCTATTTTCGAGGAAAACAATTGAATTTCCAGGACATTACTACCATTTAATGTGGGACACCCAATGCCATAAACCTACCATTTGGGGTTGGTAAACATAGCACCCAGAAAAATGATTTTGCGAATTATGGCATTGAGTTTGCCACATGAAATCATCATGAATATCCCATGGTTTATCCATGTTTGTCCCATGGTTTCATCAATGTTTCATCCCCAATCCCCATGGTTGATAACGTTCATATCCCCTACTCAAATCCCCTACTCAAAACCTGATGAAATTCCATCGGGCTTAATGGGGATTAAAAAAAGCCCATCATATCCCTATCAAACCCCCACCGAAAACAATGGGGATTAATATCATATCCCCATCATGAAATCAGCTCAGGAATATTTCATCATGGAATATGATATTAATCACCAATTTGTATTCATATGATTTCATAATGGGATATGATAATAATGGGCTTAATCCTGGGCTGAGAAATCATAGAATTGGATGGGAAAATTCACAGGAAAGCCCTCAGAATTTGATGGTAAAAACCCATGGGTTTCCGGTTAAGATTTTCCCAACAAAACCAATCCATTGAGTAAATCAGTGCCATTAGATCCCATTAGATCCCATTAAATCCGATTAAACCACCATTTTCCTATGGTTTTCCTATGGTTTTCCTATGGTTTTCCTATGGTTTTCCTATGGTTTTCGGTGTGAGGATGCCCGGATGTTGGAGATAACTCTCCCATCCCATCCCAGGATGTTGGTGAACATCATGAGACACTGCGAGGAGCCGGGGAAGTATTTCGTGCTCCTCAAGGACGACGCCTGACGTCACCCACAGGAGGGCCTTGGTGAAACAACGAAGCGGCCGGCCAAATGGCAGGGATGAATGGCAGCAACACATGAAGGGGGTCAACAAATGGGATTTTTCGTGATTTTATCAATTTTATCCAGAGGAAATGGTGATTTGAAAGATGTTCAAGCAAAAATGGTGATCAAGAAATCAAAGAATATGATTTCATGTAGAAATGACACTGCAGAACCGGCTCCTTTCTATGGAGATGTACATGTTTGATGTACAGTTTCAGGCCTTGCAGGTGAGGGCCCTCGATTCGGCTGTCCAAAGTTGGCATCTTTCCAAAGAAAGGGTCCGCCTGGGGCGCGTCGGCAGGACCAGTTGTCCCTTGACGTCGGTTGATGAAAAAGCGCTTGAAATTGAAGGGGGTGCACGAGTTATGAGACAATAAGAATTTTACAACGTGAATTGATGATGGTATATGAATCATATACCATCAATTCACGTTTCCTGCAGGTAAAATTCTTATTGTTGTCTTATATGATGGTTATCCGGAGTACCGACTGGTTTGATTTCTTTTTCTCCACCGGAATCACAGCTTCAAGCGTCCCCAGGGTCCAAGTTTTCTCGGTGTCACAGTGTCACCATCTACATCCCTATCCCCCTACGGCCCTATTTTTTTGTTTCTCATATCAAGACTAATCACTTGAACTTGCAGGCGTAATTGAAGGGGAAATTCGGATGTCCGATCGGAAAGAATGCTGAATTTCTATTCTTCTTGGTTCTATCGCTGTTCTTTGACAGTGACATCAATAAACTGTGGCCCATGCTCGGACCAAATCCCATGCGAACGATAACCAACAGCAGCATCAATTCTATGCCTTCATTTGCTGGATAATCCAGCGATTTTCCTCAGCGAATAACCTCCATATCCTCCATCGTCGCCAGGCTCCCCACGAGTTGCGTTGAGCGCGACTGGCGGCCGGGTGAATGTAGCAGCTTCCTGAGCTTCTCCTTGGTAGTGAACATCAAATCAGCCAGAAATTGGAGAAAGGTTATTTTGTGCACATTTTGTAGTTATCCTATTTTGGATTTTTGTAGTTATCCTATGTTGGATCATTTTTGATCCATCCTTGTTTTTGCTGCGGAGAAAACGATCTGCAGTGATTCAACTCTGTCGCAGCGCAGCCAGAGGTGGATTGAAAAATAGGCTGCAAGCGCGGTGAAAAGCGCAGCAAAAATCTGATTTTGTGTCTGACTAAGTCTGATTACCCTCTGGTTATTTAACATAGCCATGGTATGTATGGCCCATAGAAATAGATGGTTTACCTATTAATAGCATGGTGATGTTCCATGGCTATGTTAAATAACCAGTAATCAAAATTAATGGATATTAATCAATATCGTATTCCCACGGAAATGCATTTTGTTTTGTCTTTTTGGGTGGAAAACCACCCGATGTTTCAGACGCAGCCGCTTGGAGAAGACCCAAGATATTCAAAATGGATCCTATGATCTACTGGAAAAGATCCTAGACGTTCATTCTTATTACCCTCTGGTAAACTAACATAGCTATGGGAAATCACCATTTTTAATGGGAAAATCCACTATGTATGGTCATTTTCAATAGCTATTTTGACATAACCAGAGGGTAGTTTTAGGACCGACCATTGCTTTCATGCACGAAGCTAAACTCAACACCATTTCTTGCAGGCAAAGAAGTGATGAGCAGGCGTGGCGAAGAGCGCAGCGTCTCTAGGGTCCAAAGATGTTCACTGGGGAAACTTCCTTATGCTTACTTGTGCTTAGTAGGGAATGAGGGAATGATCCACTGGCAAACTATCAATAATAATCCCAGCAATCCCCAGAAACCCATCCATTCCCTACGTAAAACGCACCCAGTATGGCTCAGATCTGAACCGCAATTGATCTCTTTGTTGATTCGGACATCTGGTATTTGGGCCGTTTGAGATTTCGGCCGGCAGTTTGGGTCTTGGATAGTCATGTCCATTTCCAATGCAACTTGCTCTTGGTGGCCCTAAGTACCAGTGTGAAATCTTCACATTGAGTTCATTCTTGAGATGTGGGTTTGTCTGAAAATAGTGTACCCCATTGCGTCCATTGGATTAAAACCATTTAAATTTCATTTTCTCCACATAAAACGGCTATTTCATTGGGGGATATAGCCGATATAGCCTATTCCCAGACAAACCCATGTTTGAAATGCTGATCCAGACAGCGACTTCGCAGAGAAATATCCAGCTTTTTTGGGGGTTCGGTTGCTCCTTCCCTTCAGGCTGGCCGAAGAGAGGAGGATATTGCTGATCGGGACAAGACCATTCTGTGTGAGCCTCAACTTGCGGTTGTAATGATGATTGGAATCTCTGTATGATTGGATATATATATTATATATATAATTGAAATTGGAGATTCCAATATACATATATATATATCTATCTATGATTGGAGATATATATTTGTAATCTCCAATTATATATCCAACATATAACAGAGATCAGATATATATATCATTGGAGATCTGCAAACAAAAAAAACCCTGCAATGAAGCCCCTGTGATTCCAACCATTCCAAACATTCCAAGACATCATCGGGTCCAGCTGTTCCCCAAGGCACTTGCAGGCGAAGGTCGAATATTTAGAGCACGAGAATGCCAGCAAGGACGCGCCCATGGAGGGCAGCGCAGCTGAAAAATTGGGGTCCACTGTCAAGGTGGAGAAACACGTGATGAACGTATGATAATGTTGATGATGATTGATTGAATGATTGATTGATTGATTGCTTGGTTGGTTGATTTGATTGATTGACTGACTGATTGATTGGTTGATTGATTGATTGACTGATTGACTGATTGACTGATTGACTGATTGGCTGATTGACTGATTGACTGACTGACTGATTTTCTGATTGACTGATGATTGATGATTGATGATTGTTGATTGATGATGATGATGATGATGATGATGATGATGATGATGATGATGATGATGATGATGATGATGATGATGATGATGATTGATGATGATGATGATGATTGATGATTGTTGATTGATGATGATGATGATGATGATGATGATGATGATGATGATGATGATGATGCTGATGGTGATGGGGATGACGATGACGATGACGATGACGATGACGATGACGATCAAGAAACTGTTTGCTCAATGAGCTATTCCAAATTGGGGGACATTGAATGCACCAGTTAAGGTGAAAACTTGAGTTTTGATGGTCACCAAGTAGCAGATGCGAAGCAGCACTTTGGTGGATGCCTTTGACATCCTGTTGACCATTTGTTCCAATCACCTAAAAACAATTAAAAACAGGGGAATCCATTAGTTAATGTCAATAACACATCTAAACACCAAACACCCATAGAGTACCATACATAATCATAGACATTCCAGAAGATCTTGGGGCTTGATGGTGTTTTTTATGAGGTATACCAGCTGGGTAGCAGCCCTGGTAAAGGGTCTCCAGTCGCCCAAGTCACTCATTGACCTGGAGGATGATTGGTGTCGAAAACGAGACGAGGACGCCATGGCGACATGGGGTCCACATCTGTTGGCTGATTGAAGCTGGTTATGGAAAATATGTGGAAAATATGGTGATTTATGGGAAATATATGGGACATATGGTGATTTATGGATGTTTACCATCTGGTAATTTAACAATTTGCTATTGAAGCCATGGACCATGGAAATAGTTGATTTTTTAACTATAAACAATGGTGGTTTTCCTGTTCGCAAAGTGTTACTTTACCAGTGGCTACTTCTTTGTTTCATGGGGAATCAATGGGAATTATACTTGTTAATCTCAACGTTGAATGTCTGGTCATTTAGAAAGGTCAACTGTCGCGGGGTCGTCGTAGGCCGCGCGGAAGTTGGAGGGAACGCTGCGCACGAAGGAAAGTAGCTTTGAGGTGCCGATGGGGGAAAGCGGCATGCAGCCAAATGAATTTCATGGTCATTTCATGGTCATTTCATGGTAAAAAACCATAGTAAATAGCCAATATCATGAATTTCAGAGGGTTTTCGGTGAATGTTCACCACTAAAGCAATGCAGAGAAGGTTATTAGCAGGATGGGATGATCCACTGCTTGGCTAGGCCCAGCTGGCCAGAAAAGACCAGGACTGCGACCCCGGTGGTTTTGATGAAAGTATGCGAAGCTGCACATTATCCAAGTGCTATAAATATATAGTTATATAATGTTATATAATATCTTGGAATTAGAATTATTCATATACATATATATATATTTATTTATTTATTACATTACATTACTATTGCTATTTCTATCTATCTATCACTATCATCATGTATCTAGCATCAAGGTGAGAGGGTCACAGTGTCCATGACACAAGAAGCCGGCTAGGGGCAACCATCACTTTCTCAAGACACTTCATATTTATATGTTTCAAAGTGGAGATCATGTTTTTTAGGTTATTTTTTTAGAAATGATCGTTTCAAAGTTCCACTTTCGCGTAATCTTCGAGTCATAGGAACAAGTGCTTGGCACTGGCACGAAGTTGCACTGAGCACTCCAGATACAGGTCAAACTTGCCTCACAAAACCACCAGCTTTTGGTCAAGTTGGGCATGGGTAAAAATCGAAATCCTTGTGAAACACAGAGATTTTTGGTGAATTTTCAGGGCTGCACCATCCATTTTTTGAATGATGCGACATGACATCGACACGGTGGCAGGAGCTGGAAGCCAAAATCCAGGACATCAGAGGTCTGGAAGCGAAGGCCGCACTAGGGGATGGGTGAAAGAATTCGTGGCCGCGAAATCGCTTGGTGCAAATACCATCTGGTTATGGCTAACCCCATGGGTAAACCATAGGAAAACCATCGGAAAGGTGGTTTAATGGGATTCAATGGGATTTAATGGGATATACCCTCTGGTTATTTAACAGTTCGCCATGGTATAGATGGCCCATTTATCGATGGTTTACCTGGGTTTACCTATTAATAGCATGGTGATTTTCCATGGCAAACTGTTAGTCATAACCAGATGGTAACTGTAATAACCATGGCGATTTCCAGGAAAGATGGTCCAATTTAATGGGATTTAGTTTGCTGATTTATGATAGCTAAGTTGGTGAAAATAACTATAACATACTATAACAACTATGGTTTATGGTGGAGATAGCTGTAGTTAATGGGTTTATAGAAGCAACAAACATCGCATTTTGGATGCCTCACCTTGAATTAAAAAGAACTTGGAAGTTAAAGACATTGGTTAACCTACCTTTGAAGCCTTTGATCAACATGATTATTGGATGCATACATAGTGGTGCCCCATAGTTAGCTTTATAACTACAATAAGTAGGACTTATGGTAGGTATATCTATAGTTGATGGGGGTTATAAGCTAACAAACATCACTGGGGGGGCACCACCTTGTATGGGCTTCAAACTGGAGCCCGAAGTTCTGAGATCTTGGTTAACCTACTCGGTGCCTCGGCGCAGGTCAGAAACCTGGAGGATCAGGTGCAGCTGGGGGTTGGCCCTGCAGCCTGGTCATGCCATCGCTGAGTCAAGTGAATCTGGAACTTCACAACATAAGATGTGAGAAGATTGGTTGCAGCAACCGACAACTCCCAGTGATATTAGAGAAAAACATACATTTCTTTTAAAAATTCTACCCTCTGGTTATTTAACAGTTCGCCATGGCATAGATGGCCCATAGAAATAGATGGTTTACCTATTGAAAGCATGGTGATTTTCCATGGCAAACTGTTAAATAACCAGATGGTAGATACTGCTAGTTATGACCTGCCAAGCTACTAGGAATTGGATAGTGACCTTGGGAGTACAATACTTCTTTTTGATCTTCTAAGAACTGCTACAATGGGAAATATATGGGAAATATGGTGATTTATGGGATATATATGGGAAATATATGGGACATATGATGATTTAGTAATTAATTTAAGTATCATACAAGGTGGTGCCCCCCCCCAGTGATGTGAACGTTAGTTTATAACCCCCATCAACTAGTTCGATATATCTACCATAAGTCCTAGTGAAATTGGAGATATGTGCACCAACTTAGCTAACGAACTGGGGCACCACGAAATGTAGCTAGCAGCTGCGTTTGCTAGTTGACAGGTCCTCTTCGATCGGCGGCAGGTCGAGGTGTGGGTCGATGCATCCAAACGGAACGGTTTTTACGCGCATCTCTAACCCCTTGGTTGACTGTTTGGTGTTTTGGAACATGGCTTCTATTTTTCAATATGTTGGGAATTTCATCATCCCAACTGACTAACTCCATCATTTTTCAGAGGGGTAGGTATACCACTAACCAGTTGATGCTTTAAGAAACACTTTTAGTGACAAAACAGAGTTATGAACATATTGGAGATTTACCCATGGGATTGGGATATAGATACAATTACCCTCTGGTTATTTAACATAGCCATGGTATAGATGGCCCATAGAAATAGATGATTTTCCCAGCTAGAAACCTCCATTTATTTCAGGGACTTTCCATGGCTATGTTAGTCATAACCAGATGGTACTCACAAAGTTGGGGACATTTTCAGATTCTCAATACCCTCTGGTAAACTAACAGTTTGCTATTGAAAATTGCCATAGAAATAGTGGATTTACCCATTAAAAATTGTGATTTTCCATAGCTATGTTAGTTTACCAGAGGGTATTTCTGGCCAGCTCCCAGCTCTACCATATATATATTCTACCACTGAGGACCCAGAATATATCCTTATCGCCGTCCAGGAGATCAAGAGTGCTCACCACGCCCTCTACCAGGTAACGCACGCGACGCACCCAACCGTTTGTGATCTAACATGGTGATGATCATGGTGATTGTAACATCTTGGAACTGAAACTGTTCCTCGTAGATACCTATATTGTACTCAACTGCAAATTGATACTTATAACTTGCACTCAAGTTCAATCTACTGCATGCAAGCGAAAATATGAGGCCCCTGTAGACAGCTTTTCATATTTGCAAACATTTAGATACTGCAATTATCGACATTCTATACCCACACTTCGGTTGCCACTCCCCATTAAGGATCGACTTCCACCGTCCCTGGCTGGTTGGAGGCTTCTCTTGGAATGGTAATTTCATATAACTTCTGGTAATCAAACATGGCTAGCTGGGAAATCCACGAACTAAATGGAGCTTCTTAGTGGGGATGTTATCTATCAATGGTGAATTTTCTATTACCATGTTTGATTACCGCAGGGTAATGCTAGTATATGATAATCATAGTAAGAAGAACAGTAAAACAAGATGATGACACACCCACGCAGACACCCTAATACTCTAATAGCATAAATATGCATATATGGGGTAGTCATTATGATAATAGTGTCACACTAAGGATGAACATAAATACACCAAGAATCATAATAACAATAATAACACACCATGTTTAATCATGATGATCACAGTTTTTACCATTCACATCATTGTATCATTATAATTTTAATGATATTCCCATTAATAATGACATTCCCATTATAACATTATAATGATGTTATATGTATCACAGTTTTTACCATTCACAGTTTTTTAATTGCTTCATTCTTATCACACGCCATGTTTAATCATGAGGATCACAGTTTTTACCATTCACACCATTGTACCATTATAATTCTTATAATCATATTCCCATTAATCAATTAATTATAGCATTAATATGATTCATATCACTCTTGATCTTTGTTATTAATGGCAATCATGTATATCATATTACTACAATGTTGGAATATATATATATATACCATATTACTACCATATATTGTTATTCAATATTACTCTCATTGTTTCATGCTATATATATATACATATATATACATATATATATATACATATATATATACATATATATATACATATATACATATATACATATATATATATATATACATATATATGCATATATATACATATATATATATACATATATATATACTGTATATATATATGTATATCAATACTCATATCACCATTCTCGGTGACCCCAATTCGATCCATGCGATTCGGCTCACCCCAAAAAGGAGAAGGCCACGAGAGAACGGGAGCTCCAGGTCTGGGATGGCCGGCTGGCGATCGGGAGCTCGAAGGCCAACATGGCCATAGTGGATGCATGTGATACCTATAACTATATGTGGGTATATTTAATATGTAGGTATACATATATAATATACATATCTATATATATCTAAATATCCAATAATTAATGTGGGTATATATCCAATAATGTAGGTATAACTATATGGTTATTGGATGTTAATGGAGTTTATAAACCAACTTTCTCATATAATTGTGGGGTATATAAACCAACTATGGAGATCGGGAGCCATGATAAATATAAACATGTGGCCATGATAAATATTTCCTTAACATATTTCTTGAAATATGGCCATGATCAATGGATTGGTTTAAGGGAAATTTCAGAGGAAAGCTCCATATTTCATGCGAAAATCTATGGTTTCCGGTTTACATGTTCCCTTACACCAATCCACTGACATGAAGAAGTTGTACCCAACGTTTGGGTTAAGAACTAGGGACTGATAGTAGTTAATTTATTGGTTTTAATGGCTCATAGGACCTTAATGGGGGTATAACATCTCCAGGAAATGGCTCATGGCAAGTCAGCCATGGCTACTCCAGTGGCAATTATCATGGTAAGATCATCGAAGTGAATGGAGAAACCATGGGAATCTGTTTTTGGGATATGTCATGGGATATACCCTCTGGTAAATTAAAATAGACCCTGAAAATAGCCTAGTTTTGGATATCCATCAAAAAAAATACGCATTGGTTCAATGGACGATACATCAGCTATGACGAGCTCCGGCGGGACCACATGTTTTTTGGGCCAAAAATTGTCGCGTCGTTAAAAATGCGACATGTGTTTAAATCTATGTCTAACATGTTTAAATCTTTGCTAACTATGTCTATCAGTATTTAATCTAGTTTATAATTGTGTTTATATCATGTTATATCTATGTCTAACATTCTACAGCGTCGAGGCTGCAGAATCAAATCCGTGGACATGGCTTGGGGTCCAAATTTCAGACCGAGACCAGAAATCTTCTGGCCATGTCTGGCTATTTTTGTTGACCCAGAAAGTTCGTGAAAATTCGTGACCCAGAAAGAGCTGAGCCTTTGGGATCCAGCAATCCAGCATTTAAACCATTGTGTTCTTTTGCCCTAAACCTACCATTGTGACCATCACACATGGTTTTGGTTTAGGTTTAATGTGAGCCAGGATTTTCTGAGCATCGTTGATCACAGGAGAAATCAGAGGAGCTGACCAAATTCCTGCTGGAACTTGACGCCAGCGCCCCAGGGCTGGTCAAAATTTGAGCCCCTGTGAAGCACCGTTTTTTGGGGGTCAAACTTCAGGTTTAAAGACTTGTTGAGTCCATTTTATTGGGGACATTGTAGTTATCAATTGGCATATGTGTATATCTAAATGTATATTATATATATAATACATACGATACATATATAATATATAATATTATATATATACAATATAATTATATATATATTATAAATATATTATATATATACACACACCTTTATGTAAGGTTCAACCTTCCATTTTTTCACACCCGACAAGATGGCCTCCTCAGGCGAAGTCAGCGGGAGACGTGCCCTCCGCGATCAAAGGATCCTGCGAGGCTTGGAAGTTATGGCACGTCATGGGAAGATCATGGGAACAACCAACCAGATCATGGCTTTTATTTTTCCATCTATTGGGAAGAATAATCCCAATTGACTAATATTTTTCAGAGGGGTTGAAACCACCAACCAGATGTATATATTATATATGTATATATATATATATGGGTAAATTTCATCACGACCTCACTGTCCTCCCTCACTGGAATCATGGTTAGTAAGGGAAATAATTCACAAATGGCCTTAATTCGGGGTAGTGAAATATTATAATTTACCCAGATCTATAAAACATGATCAATGGCCATTTCAGGAACCGATTGATTGGAGGTACCTACCATATATAAGGCCTAAATTTCAGGGAATATCCCCACAAAATATAGCCTTATATGGTACTAACGTACCTCCATCAATTGGATCCTGAAATTACCATTGATAAAACATGATCAAAATCATCTATCAATGGGAAATCATGGTTGTCATTTATAGAAAAAATGATTGATTTATGGGAAAATGATCTATAAATGATCTATCAAAGGGAAAATCATTATAAAGTTTACTTTATCTGTAGTGGGAATGGGAATATCATGGGAAAATGATCAAACATTGTAAAACCCGGCTATAAATGCTTAGGGGTGCACTTCCAGTGAGCTCCGTGGATATTTACAATAGTTTTAGGGCTTATATCCCAACTTATGGAGGTTAGAATCCCATACCTTATACCATGGCTTTCACCCCTACCGCACCCCTAAGTACCATATCCTCTTGTCAAACTTGGAATGCAAACTTGAAGGCTGTAGAGACTCCCAACCTTTCAGCAAAGGCTCCCAGCTCTCTCGAAACTCACCCCACTGATCGGCCGCACTGATCGGATCGGTGAATTTTTCATCCAAAAAAACATAGTTCATCCCACATATAAGGGATATTCCATATATAACAGGGGGGGCCCGCACCCCCAAGTTTGGGGAATGATATCGACCACTCTCCCTGGGCGAGGCTTTCGAAGATGCCGAGAACTCGCGGCTCAAGGCGGCTGGAACTTCACTCATGTCAAGCAATAGGATTCAGCATCCCTTAGATTTTGGACCATACAATGGGTGGTACCCTCTGGTACACATACAAAAAAACTATAGAAAATCACCATTTTGAATAGGTAAATCAACCATATATTAGGTATTTCCAGTAGCTATAGTTAAATTACCAGAGGGTATACACCATATGGACCCATAAGGGTGGTTTCTGACTGTTTGTGACATTGCAAACATTAGCATGACTTGTCATTTTGTGAATTTTGGATATTTTGGACGACGCTGACATTACGTTTCTCATGATCCAAGATTTCGATCCAGGAGCAGTTGGCCAAGTCTGAGCTTCTCGGAAGGAATGGCTGGAGACAAATTGCTTGGTTGAGAGGATAAACAATTCTTGACATCTGTAAAATCGAACATGGAGCCGATGTCGGAAACAATGATTTTTCACAGGGCCCCATTTTGTTGAGGTCTCGTAAGCTGTCCAGGCGGTAAATCAACGAAGGTGGATCTAGAACTGTGTGTTTCTTGGTTTCGGCATTCGTTGCTTTCTCCGTATTTTCATGTGCAAAGTATATTTAAGTCTTGATATGTATCTATCGCCACATAGCACAGTGTACCATCTGGTTATTTAACATAGCCATGGAAAGATCCACCATGCTATTAAGTTCGGTAAACCATCTATTTCGATTAGGGCCATTTATACCATGGCGAACTGTTAGATAACCAGAGGGTATCCCCATTATATTTCCATGAAATATCCCATTAAATATTCCATTAAATCCCAATAAACCACTATATTCCAATAAATCACCCTATTTTCCACATATTTTCCACAACCAGATGGTATAACCAGATGGTATTTGTTTTGTAGCTCAATTTTTTTTTTTCGAAGCAAGAGTTGGATTCCGAGGGCCGACTTGCTGATGTTGCAGCAGTGGCATGCGCAGATGGCCTAGGTGCAACGTTTCGAAACACGGTTGGATTCAACGAAAGCCATGGTGCCCACTGGAGGTTTCCATAGTCATGGTGGTACCCTCTGGTAAACATACAAAAAACTATGGAAAATCACCATTTTCTATGGGTAAATCCACTAAAAATGGCCATTTTCAATAGCTTTTTGTATGTTTACCAGAGGGTACCCCAATTTATGGATGGTTTATATTGGAAAATCCCCATCTAAAATGGATCTGGGGGTACCTCCATTTCAGGAAACCACACAAATTAGTACAAAATTGGGACCATTATAAAATCAAACCTATGAACTATGGGAAAAAGGGACCATTATAAAATCCCAAAGACTTTTTGCTGGGAGATCACTTACTGAGTAAGGCAAGGGGGATAAAAATAGTGCAAAGTCAGGAACCATTATAAAATCAAAGCTATGAGTTATGGGAAAAAATGTGTGCTACAAGATCAAGGGGCACGACCTAGGGAACAGCAAAATGAGCACAGAATTTGAACCCAGTACAAGATGAACGAGTGTGTGTTTCGTGCTAGTTTGATAGATTTTGAAACTGTTACAATTTTTTTGGGGCTAAATTTCCCACATTAATGCGCTGACCAACTGCATTGTGCAGGATTGATTTTGTAGTGAAGGACGTGCTTAAAAAGATCGTGCCCTTTGATGTTGTAATGAAGGACGCCTATCTTGAGGTCCAGGCAGACCCCGTTTCAGGTCCTTAGGATATCGCAGCGCAGGCAGTGCAGAAGGGGTATCTTCGCCATGGAAGCTCTTCGCCATGGAAGCTTGCGGTGCTGTTGCAGTGGTTGTCAGGACATACCTGGGTGCACTTCTGGTCCGCATTGCTACATAATCAGTACTCTAATTCAAAAAAAAACACGTGCTCACATCTTCTAGTGTCTGGGGTTCAAGCTGTCTGCAAAATATTTCGGAATATATTTGGTTCTGTGGACGCCATGTCAATCAAGTGTACAGAAACGACCAGTTTCAGAATGAGCATTTGTTTGGATTGCACAAATGGTTTCTGGAAGGGATTGGGATTTTGTCCCAAAACTGATTTCCAAAACATGCCTGAGACTCTAAGACCCCTCCTTCCGACACTTCTGAGAGGTATCAGGGTGACGGTGTACTAAATCGTGTACTGCAATATCAAAGTTCGTGGGCTGGAATTTGCCCAATTTTCACAAAAAAAATACTACCGAAAGAGATTAGTCTGCAAGAAAACATATGCAGTGGTCCCACATCCTTGTCAGGTGTTGGAGGCTACCATCATCTGTGATCATTGAACTGGCCCCAAACCCGCAGCGTCGCGCAGGACAAGGGGACAAATTGGCAGCCAGAAAAAAAAAGAAACTGGCGGATCCCAGCCATCCAAGTGGACGATTTTTGGTAGACTTCTGTTGGAAGAGAACCAAACTGGATCTGGTTGGTGGTTTGGAACATGGATGGATTATGAGGTTCCATTCAGTTGGGAATTTCATAATCCCAACTGACGAACTCATATTTTTCAGAGGGGTTGGTTGAAACCACCAACCAGGGATGGTTTGCCTATTTTTTTTTACCTCAAGCTGATGGTTTTTAGTGATGAAACATATGATGAAAAATAGGGATTGGTTTGGCCATATTTTTCACCAAACGCTGACGGTTTGATATTTCCAAAGGGATCTGAAATACGCATTTCAATCCCAAACAAAAATCCTCAACGCGGAAGGCTCAGATGTTTTTGCCACGATAATTCAAGAAAGGTTGTTGCAACATGTTGCAATTTTAGGTCCACAGATCTGGAGCCATCTAAAATCAGTTTCAAAGGATCCCAGGGTGAGGAAACTCATGGAAACTCAGATCCTGAGACACCCAGTTGTTGGATGTACATCGAACTGGCTCAAGCTTTGAATGTAGGTTTCCCTGAGATTTTTGGCAGACGTTGGAGTCAAACCTCACAGGCACTGCAACATCATGCTATGCAAGGTGTTTTGAATATGCCAAGTACAGCTGAGCTAACTCCGAAATGTACATGTTCAAACACACGGACGTCGTCTTCAACAAGCCATGCGTGGCATAGTCATGCGTGGCCCTTCCTGCCAACTGTCGATCCAGGTGCCATGGTTTACCATATGGGGGTTTCCATCATGGGGGTACCCCAATTTATGGATGCTTCATAATGGACAATCCCAATCCAAACTGGATGATCTGGGGGTACCCCCTATTTTAGGAAAGCACCCGACCTTGGTTCCGTGGTTAGCTTCAGCTGCATTGAGGTCGTTCCAGATGAGCAAGCGCAAACAGTTTCTTTCGAAATTTTCAACCAGGCGAGTTTGTTTAACTTTGGTTTGTCAATAGCAGTTCATAGCAATTCCAGCCAATCCTCATTATATGATTATCCTGAGTGTCATTAATTTAGCACATGTGCAACAATCAGTGTAGCGGCCAATCACTGTAAGAGTAAGCACAGAAAAGCATAAAAACACCAGAAATCAACTGGAAAAATGAATACCCTCGCTGAAAAACTCCAAGTGCACTCGGCCCAATGATACTTTGATGGCTCTTCAAATATCCAGAGTGTGCAAAAGTCCATGATACTTCCGCGAATCTACCCTGAAAAGAGTGAAAAGACTGTGACAAACTTGGAACCATGAACAACTTGGGCACTAACTTGTGGTGACTTTCAATAATTGCATGTGCCATAACCCAGGGAGAAGCGTTTTGGTGTTGGAATGATCAGATCCGAGAAATGCCATTGCTAAAACATTGTCTTTCAGTATGTTTACTACTGTAGCGACGAGTCCAACTATGCCTTTGGAAGGCAACATAGATACATCTAGTGATATGGTATTTTCGCACACCGTTGCAAATAGTCATCACTTTTGCAGTACCCCCCCTGCATCACTCAACTAGATGTATTACCTCTTGGATGTTCATAGCACAATTGCCCTGCAGCCCGGAGCTCAAGTTTCACCGCGTCTGCCTCCAACCCGCGGTGGCTGTGTGCCACTGTGTGCCCTGCCCCGAAACCCACGGCAAAGCCATGATGTCTGCGGCAGCCAAAGCAATGGCGGGAGATGAGCTGAGGTCGGGGGCGTTGACGTAGCAATGTCCTCTTGGTCCATAGAAAACTAATCATCGATTTCCCAGTTACAATCACTTTCTGGATCAGAAGTGAGTCACTCGATCAGTTCAGATCGTAGGTCAAGATCCCAAGAGAAACAGTTTCGATCACGTCATCCGAGTTGAGCTCTCGTTGGTGCAGGAACCTCAGCCGTGAGGCAGGAAGTGGGGTCTCAGTGTCAAATAGTTTGGCATGGAAAGTGGCTGGGACGCAGAAACGCAGCGTGTCCTAATGTCCCCGAGGATTTGAAACAGAATTCGAAAGACACATCGTCTTTTCTTGGGCTACAACTGACTGGATTTGGTTCCTCACCCAGTTCTATCCCATTGCAATGGCTCCACACCTGGCGTTGCCCGGTGAGGACGTCATTTCCCGGACCATCGAGAGCCTGAGGAGAGTTGCAGCACAGGTCACAGAAGACGAGGCGCCCTGGAAAGGATCATAGGATGCCTGACGTCACAGGGCTGACGTTTTCAGGGGATCAACACATCGGATAACCTCAATGACTCTGGCTAGCATTTTTCATGTGGTATGCGCCCTCCAAACAACGATCATCATTTCTTAACTCTGTTTCCCGAATCATTCTTTATGCGAAAAACATCGAAAAACCTTCACGACCAAGATGAAATCTTTGCCATGAAATCAGGCGTTGAGCAGTTCCATGTTCCGTCTGAAGGTCACTGCCATTGTGGACGGCTTCGAGATCACTTCCGGCACTTACGAAATGGATGCCATTCACCGTGCTGTGGAGGAGCACGGCTGTCATGCAGTGAATTTGAGCAAGAATTCAGAACGGCGCTTTGGTGAACAGTATGCCGGGAGTAGGTTTGACGAGGCCTTCCTCCGTCAGATTGATTTCTAACCTGACTTGACCCAAAAATGCTTGAATATCTGAGCTCCGATTTCAGGTCAAAAAAAGGGCATTGGGGATAGTGTTCAAAATCATCCAACTTTGATACTTTGTTTCTAGCCAACTGAAGCTGTTCTGATGAGTTGCAGACCAGCCAGACCAGCTTGGATTGAGGAGTCGTTGCGTCTGTGGGCCAGCCGGGATCAGGTGCGCTGTTGTGGCTGTTGCAAATTGAAGTGCAATATGAGAAGCAGGATGGAGCAAAGGTAATGATCCACTCTGGATCACATATGGGTAGCCATATATCATCATATATATCATCATATATCCTGTATTGTGGATCTACCACTCATACTACATATATATATATTAAATATATATGTACCTGACATGGCAGAGTGATGTGTATAATTGCGAAGCATGCTTGTGTTTGGAAAATCGTGAAGTTGGTTTAGCAACAACAATTTCGTTGTGCTCACCTTGCCCCCTGAGATGTTCACATGTGTTGTTTATCCATTTCTTGCTGTTTGATCCCCTTTCACCTTATGGTGACCACGCCTGAAGTGTTGGGGTTGTCGGATCATCATCCGCTGCCGCATCCCAGGTGGGGCTCACATGCACGCTCAAACTGAGCCAGGAACACACGATTGAGGAACAGAACTCCATGAAGGAGGTGCTCCAGCGGGAAATGTGGATCAGGCTTTGATCGTGCTTGGGGGATGATGGGCCCATATGGGCCCCACCCCAACTTTTTGAAGCGGTCCTAATCAACTCCTTGGTAGGCTGGGCAGTTGTAGTCTCACCTATATGTGGTAGAGGCCCATGGATGTGGCAGGATTCTGCACAGTCGATTCGTCGGGTGTTGTTTGGGTTTGAGCTCTTTGAGTCCTGGAGGAGTTTGGCGACCTGAAGTCCAGACTGGAGGCGGGTGCGGTGCCACGTTGCCTGACAGTAACATGAACCATGCTGGAACAGTTTGCAGCAGCCGAGAAGCTGTTTGATTTGCAGCCTCTCATTTCTTCGTAGGTCTTCACGTCAGAATAATGCTGCCAATGACACATGGGTCAGAATTTCTTCACCTAGTCCTTGATGCCAGATTGCAAATCCTTTGCCTGCTGAATTCAAACATGCTGGGTGCACCTTTTTCTTTGAAGCCGTTCATCCACGTTTTTTCAAAAACCTCTGGAGCCTTGGTGTTGTGAGATCATTTGCACAGGTGGAGACGGTCACCACCAGACTGGCCCAGCAAGTCATCCTGGAGGATCAGGAGTCCTTGAAGGAGGTGCGTGCGTGGAACGGAAATGATGGGTTGATCTTGGCGTTGGCATCCACTGGTTGAAGGATGTTGAAGGTATAGTTGCAATCAATTTCTTGGCAAATCCGTTCCAGCCAACCCGAAAAGGATTCGCGGAGATGTTCAAGCCAATCTTCATGGTAAGCTGGTAAGCTTGGAGCTGAATAGCCTAGCTGAATAGCTCAGTGTACTTTGAGAACATCAGATCCTTGTCCCTTGTTTCACCTGGGGCAGGAACTTCGCCAGCTGAAGTCCAACATGGAGGCACCATGGGCTGTTGGAAACATGGGCAGCCACTGGAACAGACAGCTGAAAAAGCGTTCCCAAGAGAACATGAGCTGTTTGATTTGCGGATATTTGCAGATTTTCAGTGAATCTGGAGCTGCCTGTGAGCTGGTCATAAAATGTGTATGATGCTTACATGATGATCGATGTTATATGTATAGTTTTGTTCTAAACCGATTGAAGAACAAAGTTGCTGCCGCCATTTGCAGATGGGTGCAATGGATTGATCGATATTGGCATTGGTTTGGCGCAACAAATCTAACCTCTGCAGCCCAGATCCAGGAGAAGCTGGCTGATTTGGAAGCTAAAATGAAGGCGATGGCCGAGGCATAGTTTTGACTTCTGAGAGGGAAAACTGATGCTGAAAGGGAAGAAAAATTGGGGGTCACATTGTTTATCCCACTTATCCCATGTGTTTTTCCTTGGAGCGGTTTCTCTTCGATGTTGTTTCGGTCCACCATGTCTGAACGCACACTCTGGACACGCCAGGAAAAGCCTCAAGCGACACAAAGTGCAGAGGAGCCAACCATCACTCCATCACTGGGTTTGTGCTTTGACCCAGTACTTACATTATCTTTCCGGTTGGTAAACGATTGATAGTCACTGATAACCATCATGGGAGATATCCTTTTCGGGAACTTCTACCGTATTTCCAATCATTTACTACAATGTGGTACCCCCCAGTTATAAGTTAGTTTATAACCCCCATCAACTATAGATATACCTACCATAAGTCCTACTTATTGTAGTTATAAACCAACTTAGCTATCGAACTGGGGCACCACTATGTAGGTGATCAGTGATCAGTGATCATCCAAAATGAGCAAAACATGAAGCTCTTAAAGCTCTGAAATGCGCCGTCGTGCCACTCATCTCCACATGATTTGTCACAGCCTTTGATATCCGAGAATATTTAAGAAATTACAGGAATGATGGAACATATTCTCAAATATCATGATGAATATTTGATATTTGATATTTGTGCCTCTCATTTTCAAACATGATGGATACTCCAATCAGAATGGTTTCCAATAAAGACGGTCAATAAGTGGATTTCGGGGGCCCTCATTTTGGGGCCCCAAATTTTGGGAAACGGCTACATAAAACTGGATGAATGACAATGACCTCATTGTGATGTCACTGGAATGATCGTTCGTAATTAAAGGAATCATCCCCAGATGGCCTTATCTCAGCTATTTTCAAGTTGTTGAATTATAATTTAGCCAGATGTTTTTACTCAATTGGGATCAAGTTGGTTTATCTTCAAGTTCGCGAAAATTCACCTCCTTCCTGCAGTTTCTTGGAATTCTGGTGCTTGGAACTCCACTGGCATCCTACTGCCGCACTGACGTCAGCCTGTGTTTTACGCCTCGAGGATCTCTTGAAAAGGCTTGCAGACTTGGAGGAAAAAATCACGAAAGTCATGCCCAAGGCCATGTGGAAAAGGGGCGATATGCGTTTTTTGGATGGGAAGCATTTGCATATTTGCGATCACCTTTTCTTTGTGGGGCGGCTTCGATACCTATAGGCTCAAGCATCAATGTTTTATTCAAAGATAGAGAGGAAAGGTAGATGCGGGAGCTACTTCCACAAGCTAAAAGAATCAACTGTACCTTGGAAACAGAGATGGGGCTAAATTGGCATCAATATCGAACATCAAGCAACATCAGAGATATAGATACAGTATTTTGTGCTGCAATTTAATTCAATTCCAACCCTTCGATATCCTGCGGAATGATGTCCCTGAACCCACCAAGCAAGAGCCAGAGAGCTAGAGACATCAGCAGCCAGGAGACTGAAGCATCAAAGCAGAAGGCGATGGGTTTGGGTTTCACGTTTTGTCTATCCAACCACTATGCGTTGATCATTTATCACGAGCTATATTGAGCCTAATTCACTTAACATTTGAGGATTTTGCAGTGGGATTACTGTATGTGGGATTTCCATTTGCACCCATGTTCTTGCTGGGCGTGCCTTCAGAATTTCTGCCGCGCCGATTTTGGACATTCGTAGGTTTCAAGGGTTGACCACTGTCGATGGCAAAGGTCCAAGGCTCAACAGGTTTAGTGATTCCAACACACTCCAGCAAGTCTACAGTCTACACAGTCTACACGATTGAGACCACAGTTGCGTTTGGGATGTGACAGGTTGCGTGACCATCTAATCAGCATGTCCGTGGGAGCCTGACATCGATGTCCAGGACGCAAAGACCGGCGCTGCAAAGGAACTGACCGAGGTTGGGAACATGACTTGCCCGGAGGGAATAAAAGAGGGGTCTGGGACAAAATGAAAGGCCCGCAGGCTTCAGATTTTGTTCATTTTTCGGACCGCCAGCTAATTATAGAGTTTTAAGGTTGATCCACACAACCTGCCCCATTATGCCATGTGCGATTTTGCTTTGCGCCGCCTACAAACATGATTTCCCAAAGATATGGGCTATAGGGCTTTGATGCAAACGACAACATTTGCAAGTTTAAAATTATGCAAGTCGTAGCTGCAGAAATGGTTTGATAATGCACTGATTGCTTTTGCTCCCAAACTGATGTATTCAATGAAACCATTTCATGAGCATCTTGATGGGAGCTTGGAAACCAATTTTTCATCCTTCCGTTCCGTTGCTTTTGAGAAGGAAGAGAAAAAGGAAAAGAAGAAGGAAGACGATGCCAGAGCCTGAAATCTTTGACCCGGTGCCAGTCACGGTGAAGCTCTGGGGACGTTTCTGTGAAATTCTGTAAGAGAGGCAGCACTTTCGGAACTCTTGTCATGACACCGGTTATCGAATTATCATCCAACGTCATAATTCACAGTATCATCACTTGGCCCATCCAAAGCCGGGTGATTAACATTATCAACAACAAGAGCAGCTCACTCTCACCATGAACTGCTCTGCTCTGATTTGGAGCATTTGCTGAACTGAGGCATGGGGAGATTTGAAGAGCTATGACGAAGCGTTTGAGGATCAAACAGCATCAGGGTGAAGGGTCGTGGCGTGTCATGGGCTGTGAGGAACTCCCCTTCATTGGACAGGAAAATCATTGGTTGAATGGTCTCAGCGGTTCCCGTTCCTTATTCGCCATAGTCGTTTGAGGCAAGGCACTTTCAGGCCCATAATTCCGGCTATATGGTTGCTGCTTTTGGCCACAAGTCCAATTTTTCCATCCCCCCAAGCTGTCATGATTATATACCAATAACTCGGAACTATATCTTGTTTTTGGTGTGGCTTGCCAGTTGAGAGAGGCGGCCATCGGGAGCTTGTCGACCCACTTGACGGCTTTAGGGTTCGTGGTTGTATGGTTTCTTCCAACAAGTTTTCAGCGACAATTCAAAGTGCAGGAACTCCAGAAGGATAAAGAGAACAACGACCTGGCGCTGTTTTCAAAGCTCAGACCCTTGTCTGGAGGTTACTTTGGGGGTACTTAGATAGTTGCGGATGTTCGTCCTAGGAATGGCAAGTGCTTAATCGCCATCCTCATGATCGGTTTCCTGATGGCATTCATATGATATGGCCATATATATCATCCCTGATTGACCAACATGCTCATCGATTTATTCTCAGCACTTCTTTCACATATTGATTGCTTGGCCGCAACTGCCTGCCTGGGTTGATCGACCAAATTGTCATGGCTCAACCAAGACCCAGTCATCTGTTGAGATATGGTTTGGGTGCCAAAGTGACGTTGCGTCACAATGGTCAAAAGGGCTTGCAGGCGTCATGAAAGTTTGGGGTAGGTGGCTTTACCGGTGGAAATTACGACTATTGTCAACAAAAAAGGAGGAGTTGAACAACAAGTTCGGGATACGCCCGCAACATTTGTTGCTCATTGGTCTCTTTCCGAAATGTTGGGGTCCACACCTCGAAATGGGATAATGATCCTCGATCGCCAAACAATAAAGTGACATTGAGTCATTGTTTTTTGGAAGAAGTGTTCCAAAGACTCCCAGACATTTGGGCATGGGGTACTCCTTGAAAAGGAACGGTTGAAGAGTAAAGCCCCATGCATCCATGGCTCTATGTGACCCCAATCCTTGCTGCGTTCCCGAGGTGAAGAAATCAGAGAGAAGCACGGTGTTTGGGAGGAGGCCTCCTGTTTCAAGATGTTGCCATACAGTTGTCTGTCTTGTTTAAACCGACTTCTGAATTTTCAGATTCACGTGTTGTTTCTTTGTGGTTGGGAAGAGGATCATTTGAGACAAGCCATTAAAAGAATGAACCTGTTTAAGGCCTGTTTGAAAGGGGCTGCTTCTAAGATCAGGAATGTTTTCCTACACTTCCAGCTTAACTTTTGACGATCTGTAGGCTGACAGCTTCAGTGCCACCAGTTTGATTTCAGAAGGGCAATGGTGACCGGTTGATTCGCCAAGATTGTACATTTGCTTATTCAAACATCAAATGACCACCATTGATCACCCATAACAACATGCCTATGGTATCCTGTGATTTCTGGGCTCGTTTTGCTACAGCAAAAGCAGGCGACTTCAACGATCTGAGACATCGCATAATGGCCAGCATCACAACTGGCAAAACCTTCCAAGGTTACCTTTTGCCGCCCTTTTGGCCCAGGCCTGAAGCTTGATGCCAGCCTTCTATTCCAACTCTTTGGCACGGCTCGGGTCTTCTGTCAAGGCACCCGTGGATTATCGTTGAGTGGTACTCACCGCGATAGCTCCAGATATGAATGATTGCTATGTATCAGAAATTATCAGAATGTTGATGATGAGAATTCAAGTCTTCCCATTCAGTGGCTCCTGTAAGATCTTTTCAAGGTTGATTCCGTTTCACCTTTCATGCGCCACTTGACAAAGCTCCCAGCGTTTGAGAATCCCAGTTCGGGGTGCATCCGACTGCCAACAGAAACCACCTGAGTCTTGCCCACGAACTTTTGGTCGGCAGTTGAACTACCAGCCGTTTTTCAAAGACATCAACGAACTCTTCGAATTTCATAAAGAGAAAAAGCCACTGTTTGATGCTCGGATTGAAACCGCGTTAGTCCAGGATCAATGCTGACCTATCGTTGTTTGTCTCTTGGGAAAAATCCGAATGGTGATTTTGCATGTTTTCATACCCACCAACAAGTTATCCCCTGATCCGTTTTATTTCATAGCTTCAAAGGTTAAGCAAAAGCTGAGGCTGTGGTCAAGAATACTTTTTTGCATTGACGCAAAAATCATTCTAAGGATGAACAAGTGAAATACGTGGCCCACGAAACCAAGGGCAAGGCTGAGCCCTCAGTGAAGCAGACACATCAAAGTTCATTGACTGTTTGGAGCGAAACTTTCGCAAAGAAACTTGGAGAAGAGTCTATGGCAAAGCCACTGATAATAAAACTATGTTTGCTGTGTTTGTGATGTGGGACAGGGGTTGATCTAAGAGAAAGGATATAATCTCTTCCAAATGATTCTATTGACCTGCATTCATCATGAGCAATATCAGTTAGCGCTTCCGAGCTTATAATGCCCTGCAAAATCAAGGCACTAATTCCTGGCATGAAGGGCCAACCAAGACGCTTGGTTTTTGATAAAAGGCTTTGGGAGCATGCGTGGCACGTCACATGTTTTCAAGCTGCTTTGAAACGGTCACACTCACAGTCTCAGGATTCTCACCATAAAAACACTATCAGATCCGTGGTTACACACCACTGTGTCTTCCAAGACTGGAGCTCTTGCAACCGAGGATGTGAAGCGAAAGCAGCGTTCAAATATACGGACGCAACCGGAACCTCATGGCCACTTGGCGTCAAACCAAGTTTTAAACGCAAAGCTGATTTCATGAAGTTTTTCAAGAATCTAAAGAATGTGAACAGAGATTAAACAGAGTAGAAACATGACATAATACAGGAAGTTGAGTTTGCAAGAGTCTCTCTGCTGCCATTCACTGACGAGGCATCGGTGCACGGACATTGTCCGAGCTACGATATTATACCACGACATCCGGAGCATGTACGAGGGCCTCAAACTCTTGGACCAACTCCACAAGGACATTTGCATTGCATGCACAGCTTTTTTTGCACAGCAAGAAGATAGAAGTGGAGCAGTGGGATGAGTTCGCTACCGCACCATGTGTTTGTCACTTGCAGGAGGGAAAGATGGAGATCGTTGAATTCAACGATCGGTGCCGCAGACACATTGACAAGACATGACAAGACAACAAACCCCCATTCTGGACAAGGGGTGGTGGACATCAATGACTCGGTTGTTTCTGATCAATCCTGATGTGACTGCCCCAATTGGCTTGAAGATTCCAGAAGCGGAAGGTACCTGACGCCGATGCCCGGAAACTATCGAGACCTCCAGCTCTCAGTTACTTTGCTTGATAAATTTGATGGGTTTTGTGACTTCGCTTGCAAACAGTGAAGGTTGGATTGTTTTGTTTTGAGTCATTCTCACACAATTCAGGACGTTTGCATCCACAATGTATCATGTATTCCTCCCCAAGTGCCTCCTGCACTCCCAGCAACTTTCACATTGGGCTGCATACAGCAGAGACTGTGCCAAGGTGAAAATTGATGGCATGATTTCCGAGCTCCAGTTGAACACTCGGATCATGGCGTACGTGAAGGCCTCGCCCAAAGATTGCAGCGCACAGCGGACTTGCGTTTAATCAGACTTGGCTCGGTGTAGGCAACATCAATTTCAGGTCCTATTGATTCTGATTCTAGCCTCCTGAAAGGATTTCAAAGGTGGTTTTCTAGAAGAGGTGGTGAAAAACACAAGCAGGTCATGCTGCTCTATGTTGAGATCATGCGATGGTGGCATACGATAGAAAGATATGGAAAGATGTCTTGCCCTAGTCCTTCCAGCTGCAGGAACATGCCGGTCACAGGAGCTTTCTCGAGAACTGGTTGCAGCCGTGAAGGAGTCAGATTCCAAACGTTGCGATGATATCCTGTTGCTCGGCACAGCTTGACAGAGGTAGATGAGACGGGTCACTGATGCCACATCCACTTGAATGGGTTCAGCAGCTTGTGATGAGTGACATCTAGGAGTGACTCTGTTGTAATTTCACGCGAGCATTGGCAACCGAGGGAAACCATAGTATTTTTATTTTTTGTGACATACCTAAGTTTGATCCGTAACAAACTCATTCATTCGGGAAGTCTCCAAGACCAAACGAATCGATCACCTGTGACTTCCTGTCCAGCATTTAGAGGTGTACATTGTATCATCAAGACTCGCGCCATGCAGACGTGACCCCAAACTTTCCAAGGTCTTGGGGACAAGACCTATTGGACGACAAGTCAGTGGAGGCAACGGCGGTTGATTTAATCACGAAACGCCCCACGGCTTGCCCGTTTCGCAATTTCACATGTTGAGAGAGGCGTTTTGATGCTGACACACGAAGGTTCTCTGAATGTACAGTCGTGCAGATTCCAGTTAGGGATGGTATTTGTGTGATATGCTGAGGGAAATCTGCCTGATTACAGTAGTTGGCATATCGCGCTGAGTGTGACAGGAAATTGTCAATGGCAAGGAGAAACCGGTGTTGCACGAGGCAAGCCAAACAAGCCACACGTTGCACATGTTTTGAACTCCGAGCCGCCTCTACAAACTGAAAGAAGTTGTGGCCGGGTTGTCCAAGCTCGTGGCACAGTCAATTTCAGAGCCACTCAGGCAGTTGAGAGTCAATTTTCCACAGCTGTTGGTACATTCATACCTTTGAACAGACAAGCGGAGTCAGGCAGCCCGTCAAGGCAATGCCGATCTCGTGTACCTTGGCAGTACTCAGAATCTGCAAAGTAAGTTGTTGTGGCTGTTGCGTTGATATGCAGTAAAAACATGTAAAAACAAACAATCCGAAACTGTGGAGAAACATGAAAACCACATGTTCAAGTGGATCGTGGCTGCCGCCTGTTGAATGGCCTGCCTAGTCAGAACGGTGGCCAAGGAGGGTGTTCCTGCACTATAAAGCAGACGTCAATTTAAAAGACAACGAGGGGCAATCCGCGCTTCACAAGGCCTGAGAATTGACTGGGGTTTGTACGGAAGGAGAGTTCCACGAAAACTGCGCGCTGTTTTTTCATGTTTTTTTCGTTCGCTGCACCAAGAAGACCTATTGAATTCATCCTGGCGTCATTCATGAAATAAGCCAGGAGTCTCTGAAAGCAGGAGCACATAATCAATGGTAAGTTAAGAGTTAGTTGATTCGATTGAAGCCTCCTGGAGTAGTCTCTGGTGGAATGAAAGGCTGCACAGATCGACCTTTTTTGGGCTCCTGAATACAAGTGACGATCCACAGGCCATGGCTGGAGGATATGAGCGAGCTGCCTGGCCCTCAGTGCAGGATTCAGGATGAAAAACAGCCTTTCTGTGGTAGGGGAACAACTCAACATGGGACCAGCCCCGTTGGAAATACTTAACTCTCTAAGCCGAGGGGCGGCTGATCGACGGTTGAAAAAATCGATCCATGACTCGTGAGATGTGTGCGTGGGGGCTTCAAAACTCAGTTGATGAAACCATGCTGAGACCTGGGCCCTGATTTGTTCTGGAGCCAAATTTGACGCTGACCAGAAGGGCATGACTCCGTTGATGGAGGGTCTCTTGAGCAATCAGCGCAAGTAGCCAAGGGGCTTGAGTGAATCAATGAATTTGAAGAATCATTTGATGTGGGGAGTCAGCCTCAATTCCTTCCAGCATTTCAAAGATTAGAATTGCTTGGGGCTTCATCCCACTCAGTAGGATAAAAACCAGGATTAGCTTCCCCATTTGTCATTTTGATATTCCCTCCTAAAGTGGGGAACTCAAAAACCAGAGATTCTTGGGATGCTCCTTATTCTTGTGTTGGGCCCTCAAGCCGTGGTGGACCTCCATGCTCCGTGAAGGATCGTTTCGTATAGGCATGAAGCAACTTGATGGAAAGAGACGCAGACATTAAGAATCCTTTTTGTCGCTGAACCTAGGCTTGCTCAAGCTGCGCGTGAATCCTGCAAACGAAGCAGTCGCGCGATGCGTCTCGACTCTTGCACAGACAATGGTTGCGCAGGGATGTTTCAAACGAGAATTGGAAGGCCTGAGTGCAAGGCTGGAGGCACGGTCGGGAGCTGCTCATCCCTGGCAATCACTGACAACCAGACGAAATCTCACGTTTTACCCCCAGAAAGCCATTGGCGCCGCAGAATTGCAGATGCCCCTGGAAATTTCAATTTCACATGCAAACGCTCCAGCAAAATTGAGGTTGAAATATTGGCGTTGACTAGTTGATGACCCAGCTAGGCATTGAACAATTCACCATTGCAGATATTTTTCAGCTTGGCTCGGCATCTTAAGTGACTAGTGCAGCCGTGCGATTGTACACCACTGGCAGGTCTTTGTCCAAGAGCGGTTGAAGCAGAGCTCTGATCTTATTGCAGCTTGCAAAGATTGCGATCTGCAGAAACTGGACCGTCTCTTGAGAGAAGCTTGTCACAAGTGTTGCTTTTGGGTCAGCTTTGCTTCAGTTTCAGCCAGGGCAAAGTTCAAAGATGTTTCTTCGCGAAAACAAACATCCTCCTTACTTTTGACAGATCTAGACAACAGGCTGGCCTCCTGCTGCGCAGATCAGCAAATGCCAGTACTTTCGTGCTGGCACATGGGGCCATCCCGAGGCCATCCCCAGGCCACCCATATATCCCCCAGTCCAAGAAAACTGTGGGATTCACAGGTGACTCAATGTCTAGGTTGAGCAGAAAACATCAAAAATCTGGAGTACTTGGTTTTAATTTGATTGAAATGGATTTGAGGATTTGTTCCTGCAGAAAAGGTCAACAGGTCAACTAGACTTTGTTTTCGAACATCCTTTCAAAACAGACCAAGTATGGATTCATCTTGGGATGCACCATACCAATGGCCAGTGATGGTCAGTCAGGACTGGGCAGACCCCAATAGTCGAGACATCGCCGGAGATGGACTGCATGCAGTGCACGTTGCTTTACATGGTGGGCGGATGGACTTCAGCGCGGAGAGGGCTGAAGTCCTTCGGAGGCTCTTGGAGCCTTGAAATTGCTAGTGCTAGGCTGTTCTGGATGTCCCTTTGCTTCCGATGGATGATTTGGCATACCCAACAAATTTCCGCTAACTTTTCTCCTTCAAGGAAAGATGAGAGGAACTTGACAACAATGTGGACCTCTTCCAAATAATTTGCAGATTTTGGTGGGCTTGCTCTGGATTCTATGTCATTTGGGCAGATTGTGACAGCCATGATTCTTCTAGATTGTCTGGGTGCAGATGTTCCGGGGATAGACATGTCAACCAAAGCTTTGTCCTGTTTCCGCAATATCTGGGCCAATGGGTGTTCATTGTGATGCATTTATCTTCTGTGTTTTGACAAAGGGAACCAAATCTATGTGAATCCAAGGAGTTTCGTGCCTATCCAGACGCTACGGCAAAAATGCCAGAGGGTCAGGAGTCGACAGCTCTCGAAGTAGCGTTGAAGAACTCCAACAGGAAAGCGCACATAGGCGTGGCAGTGCTGATCCAGCATGGGGCACGCCACGAGAAGAAGCGCGTCATGGACTGCTTGCAGTGGACAGCAAAGGATGCACAAGAAGCTGAGCCACTGGCTGCTTGGTTGGTTTACTCAGCCTAATGTGGTTGCAATATGTAAAGGTGTTTGTAACTGTTTCTTGTTTCTCCTTGTTTTTGCATGTGCATTGTAGAGGACCTCTGCAGAGGCTGCAAACAGAGTGCCGGCGGCAGTTTTTCACAAAGTTAATGGTTTCACGGTGTTTCGCAGTTTCACTATACAGAATAAAACATAGACGCCCCAAGCAGCTTCCTTTCTCTGGGACATATCCTTTTCTAATCCGGCTCTGAATGTTTGCAGAATCGTCACCATTAGATAGGATGGCATGCCCAACAATTGTTTACCCAAGCGCAACTTTGTGGAATCCAGGCAGTAGTGCGGCGATTCCTGGCGACCTGGCGTTTTGTGGTGGACTTAGACCAGTCGTTGATGCTAAAGGCGCGGAAAAGATCCACACCTACTGTTTCATCTGTTTTCTGAGCGCTGCCGTGTTGATTCCAAGGGTTTTATGTCGAATAAGAATCTTACCAGTGATATAGAGCTTTTGATTTTGCAATATTTCTTGATATTTTGCGTGACAGTGAGTTTCATAGAGAGCACACCGCAAGTGAATCTGCTTTCTGTGCAGGCATGTCCTTTGGAACTCTTACTCTTTCGCGGCTATGAAGCTGCAAAACGTTGTAAAGTTGAGGAGGACCTGGCAACCGCGGAGCCAACATTGCAGGTTTAAAGCACATTTGACCTTGACTTGAAAAGTCACAACGATCAAAGGACGTCGAATCATTCGTCCATCTCTACTTAAAGGATATCAAAGGTGGGGAAACTCTGTTCAATCAAAGTTGCAGTGGGTGCCCATGCGGCTTGGCATTCTTGGTTGCACGTTTGCCACTACGCACGAAAGCGGCAATGCCTTGCGGCGTGCCAGGATGTAAAGCGTCAGGCAGCGCTTCATGTAGCCAGCATTCTTTACTCTCATGGGCATTTTTTTGAACTTGAAGCGCTCCTTGGGGCAGATTGCAACCTCCAGGACAGCCAATGGATCACAGCAGTTTGCAGTTAAATCAAAAAAGACGCGGGGCGAAATTCAGAAAGAAAAAGTATGAACAGATGTGGTGTAAGCTTTCGGCTTGTATATGCTTGTATTGATTCGATTGATATGCAGACTATCCTTGAAAACTTGCTGGGACTGCGGTCACTGAAGGGCTGCGGAATGGTTGTGCAGGGTTCTATTCGCCGAAGGGATGCCGAAGATACAATATTGATCCTGTATCCCGTGTATTGCATTCTAATAACTCTAATATATTCATGTATATTCTAATTGAGGATTGCGGAGGTCAACTTTTGAATTGCAGAAGTAACATTCAAACTCTTTGGTGGAAGCTCATGAAAGCAAAAGCAACAAAGAAAACTATCGCGGAAGCTTTCTTCTGTGTCACGGTAGCAAAGCTGGGTCATCCCGGGAAACACGATTCATATATGCAGGCAGACTCATCCCCACCCTCAAGCAAGTACGCAGAAGCAAGCATGCTACGCGCCGGGAAACTTGCACCGTGACCAGAGTACCAGCATTCCAGAGGATATAATGACACAAAAAGTGTAGGGGTCAGGGCTGATGCAGAAGTTGGCTGGTCTACTGCTAATGTCAGTAGCCTGGGGCCTTAGCTACAGTTCCCACACAGCAGGTCTTGAACCCGGCTGTTCCTAGCCTTGAATCCAGAATCCAACACGAAAACCCACTGAAACCATCACAACTTGCTACACTTGGTACAGAAAGAGCAGTGTGATCATGCAGCATCAGTAAAACATCAATGCACTTACGCTTATCAGAAATTATCAAGTGAAACCCTAGTTGACCCTCGTTAGGCAAGTTGGTTTACAGGCTTATTTTGGCAAAGACCTGGGCAGTTACTTGCCGAGTTAAAATTCTGGACAGAAATGCGCTGACAAGCAACAAGTAAAACATGACCTCCACATATGTCCGATTTAAAATCGCCGTGAGTGAGCACAGTGCACATGTTTCTTTTTCCGTATCAGATCCGTTTAGCGCAACAGGACTTTCGTGTCTTCGTGGTCTCTGGTGCTGGCGGTGATGGCACAGATTGCAACGGCGAATACCGCCAAGTGAGAGAGCACAACGGCAAGCGATTGCAGCCGGGCCTGGTTCAGTTTGATGCAGGCAAGCAACCCTGTATTGTGTCGATAGCTGGTCGTTGGTTTTGACTCGACATCCTGGAGAGATTTTCTGGAAATGCTGACCACTCAGCAATGTGAAGGCACCCTAGCCAAGGGCAAACTCCACAGGGACAAATTGGGACAAATGTGTCCAGGGATTTATGTACTGAAGCCATCTGGGGCCAACGTAACATCTTTAGTAAATTGTGCGGGCGACTGTTCAGAGGAACCTTTACGTCATGATACTGCCTTCTGCCTTCTGGTGGTTGCCCTTATTGAAACTGTAATTCACATCAGTTTTACAAGATTTTACAAGTCTAGAGCATCCAGCTATGGAGGGCTAGGCTAAACATATTTTCTGCTGAAGGATTTGTAGATGTACAGTTGTGAGCACATGTCATGTTTGAAGGTGTGTACGCATCAAAGTGGCCGCCGCCTGCTTTGTAACCATGTGGGGTGGCAAAAGTGTTCAATATCTATTGAATGTCTTATGTCTACATAGGCAGGCTTACTTCAATCATCTTTACATCGATTGTGTATTTGCCACAGTAATCCTCGGTGTGCCTACATGTTCGTGCTTGTGCGCTGCTTGCAATGCCAACAAAAGTGGAAAGCTCAACGACTTTTACAGAACACAAGCGCACAGTATGATGGAGACCGAAGAATTTTGTCAGGAACTCCCAGCAAACAACAGGGTGTGGAGTTGGTCAGCCGGCTTTAGGTCTACTGTAGATGCTGCCCTGCTGCCTCTGTACAACGCCAGCATAGAGGTGTTTTTGGCATATCTTCAGCAGTATTCGCTACTTTGCGATGTCCTGTTCCACTTCCTCTAGGGGCCCTGACCCGTTCGTTTTCCAGCTGATGACCTCCCAAGGTACAAGATGACTGGAGGTGATGCCATCATCTACTTCCACAGTGGGTGCGGGTGTCAAGCTGTGGGTAGCAGCGCTGTGTGAAGTCATGACTCGTCAAGCGTTCTCCTCACCTCAGCATCAATCTGGATTTGGCAATGCAAGAGAGTGGAAGCGCACACGTGTTTTGGGGTGGGGCGCTACAGAACATAGCAATGCTCTGAATGAGATTTCCCCATCATCTACTGGGTTTGGAAGCAAGTGGATAGCCTAGCCTTACCTTGTTTGAAGCGCGGCCATCAAAGACCGCTTGCTTCAAGATCTTCAAGTAGGGGCATGCGCGCTCATGTTTCTCCAGTTCTAGTCTTGTTTGGTATCCACATTGAGGTTTCATGAGTTTTCCGAAGACCAACCCTTCTCTTCTTTTTTTCCAGAAATAGGACAACCTTCTGCTCGCAACATCTCACAAAGCTATGAGTGGTCTGTAGCTGCAGACCCGTACTGGCGAGGCGGTGGAACATGAAGAGCTACGAAGGTGCGGAGTATACGTGGTTCCAGTCCGATTGCATGCCAGCAGAAACTCCGCCTGAAGGCCGGCTCCGACATCGCAGGGCGTGAATCAGGAAATCGCTGTTCAACAAGTCGAAGTACCCCATTTACGGGGAGATACAGTAGAGATGTGGGATTAATTTCACTAACCTGCTATAGTTTCTGAAATGCCCAGTGAATCATTTTGAGCCAGCAGCTGACAACCGGAATGTTGGGTTGAACCCTGGCTGTGCGATCAGGGTCAACCCAATCCTTGGCCGCGCCCTATGGCCCAGGGCAATGGTTCGCAACACGCCGTGAGGCCTCACCTCCCCCCGTGGTATCCTCCCGGAAGGCGCTGCAGGGACGGTTGGGCAAAGTGGCGCGGCACACTGCCTAGAATCAACAGCTAGCTGACCTTTTACATGCCAGGTTTCGGTGGTTGTCGCATTTTGATAACTGCTTTGTGAGAAATTAGTTGGTAAAACTTTTTTCCTGGGTTTGCTTCTCGCCTCTTGTTTGGTGATACCACAACCCCCAAATGATATCAAATTATTACCTATCCATACTGCAACGCATCCCTGTCCCCCGCCACGGAAGCCTTGATGCCGCAAAGTCTAAATGCAACAACGCATGTTGCTTTGCTGGACGGCTCACTTGAGTGATCCGGCTCACTTGAGTGATCCGGCTCTTAAACATTCACAGCATTGTCTGAAAACTTCCCTTGTCACTTGATTTTGCCCGCTTTTGAAAATGTTTGCGTATCGGTGGCATGGTGAGGGTCACTGTTCCTGTCGTCCCATTTCGCTTCCAGAAAGCTCCGATGTGTAAAACTAACACAGCCAGACACAGCCACAGTTTCAGCAAACTAGTGACCATGTGCATGTGAAACTGCAAAGGGTTGTTCCAGTTGCGCCTGTTTGTGAAAAGTTGATTTGTCCTTGAAGCTTCGTTTCAAGTACCAAAAAGCCACCATTGACCCTCACACAGCCTTCATATGTGGTTTGGCCTGGTGTGGTCGTGCGCAGCATAGTATAGAAACTGATGTGAAGATGTTACTGTAATTGATGTGTGCTTGAAAGCCGCGTGCAAGATGTGTGGCTTCATCCCATGGTCGGTGGCTGTTTCGAAAGCTTTGAACAGAAAATGCGTAATTAGCCCATCCTTGTGAGCTCAACAAGACGGTTTGAGGATCCAAAACCGATCGTAGAATCTGGTGAGTCATGATGAGTCTTTGGGAAACTGATAGCAGGACCAAGAGCACCTTCTTGACCACGTCCAGCAGATGGAGTACTGGGTGAGCCTAGCTGTTGCTGCTGAAAGCAGCGAAGGCAAACATGCTGTACTCCACGCAGCTGTCAGTTGTCAGGCGCTGCAGGAGATCCCAGAGAATGACACCCGGATTCTCTTCATGTCAGACATGTCAATGCAAGATGCCATGGTGTTGCCAGTTTAAAGGCTAGTTGTTTGGATATCATCACGTTAGTTTATGTTTTTTTATTGAATGTGTATGTTGTATCTATACTACAGACTTAATCGGAGGACTAAAAGAAGCGCCAGTGCGGGCTTTCAGGACACTGCCGAAGCTGCGTCTGTGCAGCGGGCAGCCGTCACCGTGGCAGGCATGCTTCGAGGGCAGCAACAGGCTGAGGCTGCAGAAGAACTCTTGCAACACTATGCTGTGGAGGACCTTGCTTAATTAAACTACTGCATTTGAATATTGGAAGTACCTGGCTTTCGTTGTCTTCCGACATATTATGCATTGTTGCTGACAGTCAGCAGTTGCGCACCTTGCCGCTGTCTTTCAGGTCATGGTAGCAAGGTTGGACACGGTATTTCCTTTCTGGGAAAGCAGTTTATTAAACCCCATTGGCACAGGGACAAACTCCCCCGCTCTGGTGTGCCCAAAATGCCCATCCCCCAAATCAAAGCCGGATAGAATCCGCTGAACTAAGATGTCTTGTGAGTTGTGGTTTTGCTGTCTTAAACTGCTGGTCTCCGCAGTGGGCTTTCCTAGTCCTAGCGACTCTAGTGGCGATCAGCGACTCCCAGCCGGACTTGTCACCAGGTTAAAACATGTCAAGATATGTCCGCACAAGGCTTTGCAATCTTTTTTAGCCTAAAGGCAGCAATACAACCAACTGTTTAGGGTATACGTAGAAAGTTGCAGATGCTTTTGACCAAGTTTTCTGCACATGCTCTCCAGAGCAATCAGTTTTATGATACTACAAGCCATACCGCCCCAGTGGGATCGGTTTCCATCTTTTGGCAAATTCTAAATTCATGGCGGCCTCCTCTGATGATGGCAGGATTTCCAATTGACCAAGAGACTTTTTTCCGGGGGAGAAATCCGGTCAGTTGTCTGGCGCGGTGACTTCCTGGCAACAAGTCGTAAGACACGGAGAGGAAGCGTGGTAGAAATCTACAATGGCGCGAAGGACCTGGGTTTGGAGCGCCCAGGTTGGTGGGATCAATGGACAGGAGCAGTTGCCAATGAGATCGTATTTTCATGTAACAATTTTGAAACATTTTGGAGTCCAGAGTCCAGATCCTATAGGGCCTATAGGAATGGAATTTCTTTGTGATGATAAGCTCCCCTTGACGCGCGTTCCACTTTGGCACTGTCTGTTTGAAGCCATCTTCCTGCTTGGTTGTTGTGCTGCATTCCAAAGAAATTTGCAATGCTTGCAAATACCTAGGTGTAGTGAGCCCAACTACTTTCAGGAAATGTGTGTTTCAAGCTGATGTGGCCGCAGGACTTCATCTCGTTGAAGACACTGGACGAACGATGTGGCATCGAGTCAGTTGCCTTGTGCCAGGACTTGCTTGCCATTGGCGCCGGTCACAAGGTAAAAATCTATGATTCGGCACAGGACCTGTGAGCCAAAACCGAAGGATCACCTGCACATTCGTTGCTATGCGTAGCAGCCGTACTGATGGGATTTTCGTAGTGCCGCGGATTCCTATTCCACTGTAGGCAACGTGGCGGCCAAGAGTACATGTCGTTGTCTTGGAAAAGGGCTTTGATTACAGCGGGCAAATTTGTAGCACAACTGCAAAAGTATGTGAGCAGTTGTGGAGCGCACTTTTTTGTAAGACTCGTGCTGCTCCAAGATCAGAACTCAGTGCCCGTGAACACGGGCGCTTTGACCTCGAAGTTCCTGCTTTCTCGTTTTCAGGAAGTTCCTGTTTTCTTAACCCAAGGTTCTTGGCCCAAGACAGTTCCATTTTGTTTGAACCTTAGCATGGGGAATGTTTTGGCTTGGTGCAGCACTGTGCAACCTCGCAGGATTTCCTCCTGCTGAAGACACTCGATGCAACCAGCGAGATCTTCTCTCTGGCTTTCGCCGGACAACTACTCGCCGCAGGCTGCGATGACAACAGAGTGCGGGTCTACGACCGGGCGCAGGACTTGGGTTGTAGGGGCGAGGCCAAGCTTGGGCTGCCAGGTCGAGGTGCTGGATTTGATGTTTTTTCTGGAGACTTCTTCAGAAGACTTGCAGTATCCAGCCGTTGTGGATCAGAATTCAGATCAAGTTTTCATCCCTGTATTGTTTTGGAACATGTCATGTGTCTCATGAAGATTCATGTGCTGGAACTGCTGACTTTGGTTGCGCCATCCCAATAGGGCTCTAATGAACATGTGAACAAGGTACTTCATGTAATGGATTAAACAAGATGCAGCCCACGAACCCGAATGCTCACACGTTTGTTAACGGTACAGATGTCAAAACACATGGGGGGACGATCTAGTACAGTGATGCTGGCTGGATCATGTACAGGATGAGGTACTGAACTCCCCGGCGACACCTGCGTCCAGGTTGACATGCACAGTACAGGTCGAGGGGGCTGTGCATGCAGTACCTTGATTTTGATTCCTTGTAGGACATCTTTGCGTAATTGCTGCCTGGTACGGCATCTTGCTGCGGTATGCGGTACCGTACCGAGCCGCTGCGGCATGGCATTGCCAGGTGGATCATGATAGATTCTCTGCCCGCTTCATTGCATTCATTTTACTCGGCCTGTGCCGGAGACGAACACCAGGTGGTTGCCCTGGGGTAGGCTTGTTCTTGTTGCTTATTCGCAACTTTTTCCGGTTGCTGGTATGCAACCTTTCCATTAACTCTATGACACTTGTCTGTTGCTCGTATGCAACTTTTGTGTTGCTTGTATGCAACGTGCCACAGCCTGATGGGTTTTTCAGCAGCCTTGATAGTTACTAGTTATTCTTTGCAATCTTGGCTGACTAGATTTTTGAATGCCAAGATGCCCGCACAGTATGTATCGAAAACCGCGTTATCCTCATGTGTTGAGTAAGGGTGGCATATGGTGGTATAGATATATAGTGCTTGCTTGGAGGCGATCCTTGCGGGGACTTCGCTATATGTGCGCCGGCGGCTATATATATATATATATATATTTGGCATGTATATAATTGCTAGTATTTGTCGCCCTCTTGCGATTGGTGCGTGTTTGGTCTTTGAGTTGCATGAGCATGGCTGTAGACTTGGAGCATTTGTCGAATTATTGCTTGCGTGCATGTCTTGTATCATGTGGGTTGTGCTTGTGAAATCCTTGGCTTGATCTTGACACACATGTCTTGTATCATTTGAGTTGTGCTTGTGTAATGTTTGGCTTTATCTTGACATGTTGTTGCATGTTGGGAGATCGGCCTGGGCATGTTTGTTGGACTTGAAATTATTGGCATGGTAATGTATTTGCAGCATGGGTATGATTGTGGCTTGAGGCATGTGGGCATTTTCGGGTATTGGTAAAGTGCTCTCTTCTTTATATCGATTACCTTGCAGAGAAGCTTGGAGATATGCAGAGTTGTCATATTTCATCTTGAATGCTATGGATGGATGCGCCTTAGAGGTTATGACTTGCAGATTTTGGCTTTGGCACTTGCATAACCTTCGAACTTGTAGCCATGTCGTGGGCATGTTCGCAGTATGGCCAATATGCGCCGGGTGGTGCCCATCATGGATGGGGTGGTGCTGGGCATTCGCACTTGGCTGTGCATCATCATCCGTACTCTGCACATGTCCCGGGGCCACCACCGTCTGGAGTTACACCTGGTGATTTGCATGGCAGGCCAAGGAGGGGACGATCCAGATCGAAATCATCGAGGGCCCGGTCCAGATCCAGATCGCCTCGGCGTGTGAAGTCCTCAGTCAAGACTGTACGGGCCAGCGACTTGAAGATGGACTTGGGCAAAGAGGCCTTTAGCAAGTTGGTTTTGGAGTGCTTGCTGATACTTTCTCCTGAGGAGTTTGGTGACATTTGGGTCGGTATTCCACGTCAACTTCGGGCCGTTGCATGGCGCCCGCCACCTGGAGTTGTTGTAGACATTGACTCACTGAAAGGCGCGGAGCGCATCCAGATGTGTGCCAAGCTCAATGCACTGAGAAGGGAGAGGTGTGTCCAGCTGGCTTCTCCGAAGCAGCAGCCACATTTTGAGGATGAGAACTGTGGACAATTACTCCCATTTCTCGGCTTTGTTGTTCACGATTTTGGGAGCGTTTCCGCCTGCTTCCTTTGACTACGACAAATTAATCCAAGTGGAAGAACACAGTCAAGTACTTGAGCAAGTGTCCGGAGAAACCTGACTCAGCAGACACAGGTCGCCATATTGATGCCAGCACCCGTGTTGCCGATCCCGGTAACCGAGATGTAAGCCCTGACCGGCAGGCGGCAAGAACTTCTGCCCAGACTCCCAAGAAAGGATTGGCTGGATTGTCGGCTTTGGCCAGTGCGACTCCATGTAAAGCAGGTGTTGGCCCTCCCCCGGGTGATCGCAACGGTGAAGAATTTGCAACTTGGGTCACTGCCAGGATTCAAGCTGATGTGGAAGGTTTGTCTATGGATTCTTTGGAGGTCAAGAATACGAACCGCTTTCCATGCAAATTGAAGCCCAGTGCGGCTTTGAAGACCCTTCCTCCGTTGGACGTGATGAGCCCCATTTACCAGCACACCTTTCAGTTCTACTTGCGCAAGTTCAAATCGTTGATTGGTGATGTGAGTCTTGGATCGTCTCCTGCAAAGTCTTTGAAGCGTTTGTGTGATGCTTTGAACTTGGATGTGAGAGGCAAGGATGCACAGGTCCCGGAAGTCCTTGCTCGCTTGCGGGCGACGGACATGGTCCAATCTCCTCCTTGATGGGAGGACCCGGGACGCATAGCTTCAGCTTGTGGCGTGGCTTTATGCTTGCTTGCGTTGTTGCGATTTTGGTTCCTGGGCCTCGCCAGAAAGATCATGGAGGCTGATGAGACTTTGCTTCGCATCTGTGCCAGCGTTTGGCTATGCATGCTACAGGCACGGTCATCGCGGAGATCTTTGGGCTTGCTTGAATCTTTGGGTGGCTTGCCTTGGAGTTTTCCTTGGGGTACTTTGTGGCATGGATCCATCATCTACGTTTGTGTGCCGATGTTCCCACAATACTCTTCTTTCGGCCCTCTTGCCTATGTCGGTGAGACGGACAACTTTGCCAGACGTATCAATGAGCATTCTTGTCGACTGCTCAGTCCGACTGGCTCTGTACAGCAACCTTTTTTTCCATTTTGTGAGGGGAGATGAGAGGTCTTCCCACCTTATGCGATTGTCCATATGTGAATGGATTTTCTTTCCTGTTGCCCATGCGCCTGGTGACAGCAGTGCCCGGAAAGTTCTTGAGATGGAATGGATCCAAAGGCTTGGTGTGCTTAATCCTCCTATGGTGCACCGTTTGCTTCGTTATTTTCATGCTAAAAGAACATTCCCCAGTATTCGCCTATTTCGGTCTTTGTGCAGACTTCGAGATAAGACCCCGGGCGGTTCACAGCGGAGGCATGAAGACAAAGCTGCACAGGAGGCTTGGAAACTTGGCTTGCAGAAGATCGTTGCAGCGCTGGCAGGGCATCGTTTTGGCTGTGGGCCTTCTTCCGTGGCTGCATGGAGGTTGTCGCGGGCTGCTTGGGTGTATGTTGTGCAACGGGCAGTGAATCACGAGGCAGGCTGGCATAGGGCGAGGGCATTGCGGATGCTGCGTCGGATTGCTCGTGTTCGGAAAGATTTGCCTTCGCCTATTGCTGTGATATCCTGTGATGTCCCTTGGGTTGGTTCCCAGCGGGCGCAGAGCTTAGTTACCAATGCTGTGAGAGATTTGGTGGCTTCTTGGCGACATGCTGGGCACTGGCCGCCTATTCTCCGGCATGCGAAGGTACGGTTCAAGTGGGCGTCTACGCCTTTGCTAGGTGATGTGCTTCGCTGCCACGATTTCTTTGAGTATTTTTCTCTCCAAGGCCCTCCTTGTATTTGTGATGAGTTTCTGTTTCAGGATCCCACTGGGCCAACGGTGACCTTTGACGGTAAGGCCCATATTGCCGCCTCTCAAGCGCAAGTTCCGTGGCCATGCCACCTAGAGAAGTTCCGTGCTCTACCAGCTAATTTGCGCTTGCCACCGAAGAGACAGCAAATTTGTATAGCTGTGAGGAATGTGATGCGTAGGCTACGGGATAGGTGCAGTGTAGTAGATGAGGCTTGCTGGGTGGAATCTTGCGTGGCTACTCTGGCTGGGGCATTGGAGGACTTGGCCTTGCGGCATTCGCATTGTTTCCCTGTTTCTTGGATGGATGTTGCCTTGGCTAGGGATTTCCTTGCACCCTTTTTCAGCCAGATCTTTGATCACAACTTGTCTCGAATTGGTGTCTTTTGTCCTTTTTTGGTGCATGCGCATGCTTGTGCAGCTTTGGATTTGAGCGGAGCATCCACGGGGCTCGACTTTGCTTGGGAATCTGATGTGCGGAGATGCGTGGTGTTGGGTGTCATGGCCAAGGTTGATGGATCGCCTTCGCATTTGCAACCTGCCAAAGTTTCCTCAGTGCCTGTTAGGTCATGGTCTATAGGGAACCCTGTGTTTCTTCCCAAGTGGCCAAGTGGGAGGGTCCTGGTGTCAAGTGGCGGCTTGTGATCAACAAGCACAGAGCTCCAGCGACTGGCCTCCATTCCGCTATGTCAAGGGCCATTGACGTTGCTTTAGACCATATGCCCCGAGATCACTGGTCGGACTTTCCTTCGGCCAATGCCTTTTTGGACATGGTGGCTGAGTTCAACGAGTCAGGAACATGTTTGCAGCGCGGTGTGGTTGGATTGCAGCGATGGACATGGTTGATTGCTTTCATCACCTTCCCTGCTCTGAAGCACCTGTGATTTGGGACAGGGTGGCGGCCTTCTGGACTGCACGACATGTTTCAGAGATTAGCGTGCCTCTCCGAAAGGGTGGTGGTGCTGGCAAGCTTGGTCGTTATTGTGAAATGGGTTGGCAATGTTTTCCTTTACCCAGATTATTAGCAAGGCTTGCGCACTTCAGCTTGACCAACTTTGTCGCATTGCCCGGACTTCTTGGTCCGGAACTGCGCGGTGCCCCCATGGGCGATGCCTTGAGCGGTGCAGTATTGAGATTGTTCAAATGGGAGTGGGATTCCTCTCAGCGCCCCATGGAGTATAAGGACACTGTCTCAATGCGCAGTTCTTGTTCCAAGTTGGTGCACTTGAATGGCAGTAACATGTTGGTCCTGGACGTGAGCTTTCGTGATGATTTGCGGACGTTTTGCATTTGGGATGGAACATCATCAGGCATTGATAAAAGGAGAGCGTCACAGTGGGCCACTGCGCGCCTACGGGCGCGATACTGTTCTGGTACCATGGCCTTGGAGGAAACAGGTTTCCAGACCTTCATTGGCTTCCATATTAGGTTTGGTGTTGATGGCTTGTTGGTTGCTCCAGCTTTCCCTGACCCAATTGGTGCATCCTTATATCACACTGTTGACCTCCGTATCTTGCAGCCTTGGTCATCTTGGAATCCCCGCTCCCAGAAAGTGGCTATCATCAAAGGATGGCTTTGCCGCATTTTCTATTTGTCCAGCTGCTCTCAAGGGAGATCGCTAGCATTTGAGGAGGCATTTGCATCACTATGCTGTCTAGCTGGATTTCCGCGAGATTTTGTAGCTCGTGTAGCTCGGCAATGGGTAATTCAATAGGTATCCAAAAGGGATGCTGGATTATTGCAAGCGGTGACAGAAGAGTTTGAGGAGGCGCTCCGTAGGCCCTCGTAGAGAAATAGTGCTGGTCTGATGCTTTCCTGCTTTTGCTGTCGAGTTGTTGACGTGATTTTTATTTGAGCAGTGGTTTTGGGATGCAGAGATTTAGATGAGCACTGAGCCCTAGAGTTTTTGGTGCGAGACACGCTTCCCGTGCGGTGTGAGCTTTGCGCAATGACGGGTTTATGGAATCGAGGCTGCGATAGGCTGCGTGTGATATACCATGTGTGACGTAGCATGCGTAGGTTAGGAGCAGAGGCCAGAAGAGTGCTCGTGCATAGATACCCTTCTAGCGAGAGTTTCAGCGTAGGCGAGACGTAGGCATTGGCAAGGGCCTTTCGCATGTAACTAGCGTAGTGGACCCGGGCACCCAGTAGCGTGCACCCAGTGGGTGCTATGGGGGGACGATCTAGTACAGTGATGCTTGCTGGATCATTTACAGGATGAGGTACTGAACTCCCCGGTGACACCTGCGTCCAGGTTGACATGCACAGTACAGGTCGAGGGGGCTGTGCATGCAGTACCTTGATTTTGATTCCTTGTAGGACATCTTTGCGTAATTGCTGCCTGGTACGGCATCTTGCTGGATATACCCTTAGTATTTATTGGTTCGGTATGCGGTACCGTACCGAGCCGCTGCGGCATGGCATTGCCAGGTGGATCATGATAGATTCTCTGCCCGCTTCATTGCACTCATAGTTTATTTGAACAGTCTTGTACATATTTCCCCTGTTACCAGTCTGCAGTGTGGAGTGTAGAGTGTAGCGTGTGGAGTGTAAAGTGTAGAGTGTGGAGTGCAAAGTGTGGGGTGTGGAGTGTAAAGTGTGGAGTGCGGAGTGTGGAGTGAGGAGTGTAAAGTGTAAAGTGTGGAGCGTGGAGTGGAAAGTGTAGATAGAGTGTGGAGTATGGAGTGTAAAGTGTGGAGCAAGGAGTGCGGAGTGTGTAAAGTGTAGCTTGTTTAGTGTGGAATGGAGAGTGTAAAGTGTAGAGTGTAAAGTGTAGAGCGTGGAGTGTAGAGTCGTGTAAAGTGTAAAGTGTAGAGTACGGAGTGTGGAGTGAGGAGTGTAAAGTGTAAAGTGTGGAGTGTGGAGTGTGGAGTGGAAAGTGTAGAGTGTGGAGTGTGGAGTGTAAAGTGAGGAGTGAGGAGTGTAAAGTGTGGAGTGAGGAGTGTAAAGTGTAAAGTGCAAAGTGTAAAGTGTGGAGTGTAAAGTTTGGAGTGTGGAGTGAGGAGTCTGAAGTGTAAATTGTGGAGTGTGGAATGTGGAGTGTGGAGTGTGGAGTGGAAAGTGTATAGTGTGGAGTGCGGAGTGTAAAGTGAGAAGTGTGGAGCGTAGAGTGTAAAGTGAGGAGTGTGGAGTGTAAAGTGAGGAGTGTGGAGTGTAAAGTGTGGAGTGAAAAGTGTAAAGTTTAAAGTCTGGAGTGTAAAATGTCAAGTGCGGAGTGTAGAGTGTAAAGTGTAGAGTGTAAAGTTTAGAGTGTAAAGTGTGGAGTGTAAAGTGTAGAGTGAGGAGTGTGGAGTGTAAAGTGTGGAGTGTGGAGTGTAAAGTCTTGAGTGAGGAGTGAGGAGTGTAAAGTGCAAAGTGTAAAGTGTAGAGTCAGTGTAGAGTCAGTGTAGAGTGTGGAGTGTGGAGCTTCCCCCATAGACACGCTATAGACACGGCGACGCCACAGGAAAACCAGAAACTCGAGACGAGACACGTGGATGCAGAAAAACGAGCATTTTGTGCGAGACGTCCTCCAGCTTTGACATTTTCGACACGTTATCAAGCAGGTTGGAATGTCACAAAGTGCCACGCCTGCCACGCAAAACGACATGACAACCTGCTTGGAAACCTTCGAGAAGGAGAGGTTTTGTGGCTTCCCCCATAGAGACGGCGAAGCCACAGGAAAATGAGAAACTCGAGACGAGACGCGTGAGAGCACCAAAACGAGCATTTCGTGCGAGACCTCCTCCAATTTTCACACTTTGTAGCTTCAAAATCGACGTTTTCCGGTGAGTTTTCCTAGGAACCTCCAAATTTGCTACCTCAAAATCGATGTTTCGTGCGAGGGTTCCGTCAATTTTCAGCACATCTCACAAAATGCCACACAATAGCTTTTTTTAGTTGCCGGCCATCCCGGCCACGGCCACAGCCCCGGCCACTGCCACCCGGCCACGCGGCCACGGCCACCCGACCACGGCCACACGGTCACACGGTCACACGGCCACACGGCCACACGGCCACACGGCCACACGGCCACACGGCCACACGGCCACACGGCCACACGGCCACACGGCCACACGGCCACACGGCCACACCCGGCCACCCGGCCATCCGGCCAGCCGGCCAGCCGGCCACCTGTTTCCTGCGTTTTTGATGGAATCAATTGTTTTGAGCTTCTTAACTTTTTTCGAACAACTTGCGACACGCTCCTGCATGGTGCCTGGTGCTATGGTCTTTTCTTTCCCGGGCAGCTTTGCAACGCGCTCTTGATGCTATGCGCTGAACCTTTTCAAGCAACTGGCAACGCACTCTTCCTGCTACTCTTTGAACTTCTCAGGCGACTGGCAACACACTCTTGATCCCACACTTTCAACTTTCTCCAGCAACTTACAGCACGCTCTTGGTGCTAACCTTTTCGGGCCCCCAACTTTCTGAAACAATTCAAAAGAGGTTCCTTGGCACTATGTTCCCAAATTTCTCAAGCAACTTGCAGGCTCTTGGTGCTACGCGCTTAACTATCTCAAGCAGCATGTCACACGCTCTTGATGCTACGCCCTTGTTCTCAAGCAACCACGCAACACGCTTACAACACGCTCTCAAGCAACCACGCAAGTGAATGCACCTCCAAGATCTTCACTTTCAGCTGAATTTCCCATGTTTCCACGGTAATGCTACTGGTAGTGATGATGATGATGATGATGGTGGTGGTGGTGATGATGATGGTGATGTCGATGAGAGATAATAATTATTCAGATGTGTGGGGGCGCAGGGGGGTGGGGTGGGGTGGGGTGCAGGGGGGTGGGGTTGGGTGGGGTGGGACAATAACGTCGCATGCACTTCCACACATATGTGATGCAACATATCTGTACGCTCTCTTGCATTTCATTCACATCCACACGTACGTCATGCTACGCTTCTGCAAACTCTTTGGCACTTCCACACATGCGTCACGCTACGCTGTAGGTACTCTTGCACTTCTACACATGCGTCATGCTACGCTGCCGGTTCTTTTGCACTTCCACACATGCGTCACGCTACGCTGTAGGTACTCTTGCACTTCTACACATGCGTCATGCTACGCTGCTGTAGGTTCTTTTGCACTTCCACACATACGTCATGCTACGCTGTAGGTACTCTTGCACTTCCATTCATGTGTCATGCTGCGCTGCTGTAGATTCTCTTGCACTTCCACACATACCTCATGCTACGCTGTAGGTGCTCTTGCACTTCCACACATGTGTCATGTTACGCTGTAGGTCCTCTTGCGCTTCCACACATGTGTCACGCTACGCTGTTGTAGATTCTCTTGCACTTCCACACATACCTCATACTACGCTGTAGGTACTCTTGCAATTCCACACATGTGTCATGCTATGCTGCTGTAGGTTCTCTTGCACTTCCACACATGTGTCATGCTACGCTGTAGGTACTCTTGCACTTCCATACATGTGTCATGCTGCGCTGCTGTAGATTCTCTTGCACTTCCACACATACATCATGCTACGCTGTAGGTAGTCTTAGACTTCCATACATGTGTCATGCTTTGCTGCTGTATATTCTCTTGCACTTCCACACATACCTCATGCTACGCTGTAGGTACTCTTGCACTTCCACACTACGTGATGTTACGCTGCTGTAGATTCTCTTGCACTTCCACACATGTGTCAGGCTACGCTGTAGATTCTCTTGAACTTCCACACATATGTCATGCTCCGCTGTAGGTACTCTTGCGCTTCTACACATGCGTCATGCTACGCTGTAGATTCTCTTCCGCTTCTACACATGCGTCATGCTACGCTGTAGGTTCTTTTGCACTTCCACACATACGTCATGCTACGCTGTAGGTAGTCTTGCACTTCCATACATGTGTCATGCTACGCTGCTGTAGATTCTCCTGCACTTCCACACATACCTCATGCTACGCTGTAGGTACTCTTGCACTTCACCACATGTGAAATGTTACGCTGTATAGGTCCTCTTGCATTTCCACACATGTGTCATGTTACGCTGTCGGTCCTCTTGCACTTCCACACATGTGTCATGCTACGCTGTGGGTACTCTTGCACTTCTACACATGCGTCATTCTACGCTGCTGTAGGTTCTCTTGCACTTCCACACATGTGTCAGGCTACGCTGTAGGTACTCTTGCACTTCTACGCATGCGTCATGCTACGCTGTAGGTTCTGTTGCACTTCCACACATACGTCATGCTACGCTGTAGGTACTCTTGCACTTCTACACATGCGTCATGCTACGCTGTAGGTTCTCTTGCACTTCCACACATATGTCATACTACGCTGTAGGTTCTCTTGCATTTCTTCACATGTGTCATGCTACGCTGTAGGTTCTCTTGCACTTCCACACATACGTCATGCTACGCTGTAGGTACTCTCTTGCGCTTCTACACATGCGTCATGCTACGCTGTAGGTTCTCTTGCGCTTCCACACATACGTCATGCTATGCTGTAGGTGCTCTTGCACTCCTACACATGTGTCATGCTACGCTGTAGATTCTCCTGCACTTCCACACAGACGTCATGCTACGTTGTAGGCACTCTTGCATTTCTACACATGCGATATTTTACGCTGTTGTATGTTCTCACCGTATGATGATGGTGATGATGGTGATGATGATGATGATGATGATGATCATTTTGCTGACGATACTAAAGTTTCGCTTTTGAGCCTTTTCAATTCCCCCCTAGAAAATGTTTGAAAAGTGACGACAATCGCGAGCCTCTCAGATGCCCGGCACCTTGTTTAACAAGTTGATTTTTATTCGATGATGCATCTCGAGTCAAGTGCTTGTCTTCGCCGTCATATGCTGGTGTACACCTTTTGTTCACTTCATCCATCTCCTCCCGTGAAAGACATGCTACTGGTGCTGGCTTCCTGTGGCTATTCCATGTGATAATGAAGGCGATTGTCAAATAGATCTTTGACAAAAGAGGCAAGAACTGAACTGCTGAACTGCATGGAGTGATCGTGTTGTCTTAAAGGGGAATGAGTTTTTACATGTGTGTAGGAATTAGCACACAAATCGATGTTTCTGGTTGGGACATATATGGTAAATTTGTTCAAGCAATCTTGCGCCACATACAGGACAGAAAAACGCTGCTTGATATATTGTTGAAATTAGATGAAATTAGCAGTAAGCAAATTACAATCAACTTCTAAATCCGCCCCCCCCCCCCCACCGCCACTCACCCACTAATCCCGGCCAACCGGCCAACCGGCCATCCGGCCATCCGGCCGTCCGGCCACGGCCAAGGCCACCCGGCCACACCCGCCCACCCGCCCACCCGGCCATCCGGCCATCCGGCCATCCGGCCACCCGGCCATCCGGCCAGCCGGCCACAGCCACTTCCCCCATCGCCCCGGCCACAGCCACGGCCACCCGGCCACGGCCACCCGGCCACCCGGCCACGGCCACCCGGCCACCCGGCCACGGCCACGGCCATGCACGAAAAAAATCTATCCTCAAATGCCATTTGCACCTTGTCGCCACTTGACGCAGCCCTGCCAATGCGATTTGCAAAAAAACCCGCAACACGACACGTCTAAAGTGCTGCGCCTGCCACGCAAAATGACGATGGACACGTCCAAAGTGCTGCGCCTGCCACGAAAACTGCAACGCATCTTCTGAAAACGTCGCAAAAGTATTGCGCCTGCCACACAAAACCATTTTCGACGCGTTACAAAACACGTCTGAATGTCACAAAGTGCCACGCTTGCCACGCGAAATGAAGCAACAAGACGTTTGAAACCTACAAAAAATGACCACCTCTGCAGAACTTACCATAGGCACGGCCATATAGCAATCGCGCGGACGGTTGCGAACGGTTGCGGACGGTTGCGGACGGTTGCGAACGGTTGCGAACGGTTGCGAACACAAACGCAACGTCCAGCGAACACACCCTCAGCCCCCAGACCCGCAGAGTGAAACGGGAACCCTTGCTACGCATTCGGGAAAAAATCAAGCAGGCACAAGATGCGGAGGTGTTGGTGGGGTAGCTGTTATATATTTCCCGAATGTTGGGTTGCATGCTCGCTTTTTCCGAGTCTTACCATGTAGTGTTATCATGATTTATCATCTGTTGGTTGTAAGACACATCAAGCCTAGCAACAGCGGGATGGTGCAGCCACCAAACTTCTCCCAAGCTGGCTGTCCGCAATCCTGCAGGAGTTCGTGCTGGTGAAAACCTTACAAAAAGCGAGCAGCCGCATCCTGTCTGTGGCGTGGTCTCAGCATTTACTCGCTGCTGGCGGAGGTGACAAAATTGTGCGCATCTATGACGCATTGCAGGACCTGAGTCGGCGCATTGCTGGCTGTGAAGTGAAGATCAGTTTTGCAGTTCTGTGAGGTGATGCTGATATGGCAGGGTGGTACCTGTAATTGAAACAGCCGTGCGGCTGCGACTGTTTTTTCCTGTGAAAAGCTGTTTCAAGTCGGATGCTGAAGTGAGTATGAACGCCACTACAGGAGGATACCGCACAGGGATATTTGGTTTCACAAGCCTTGCCATGTTTCAAGTTTGTTTTGACCTTTGCCCAGCTCCACAGGACTTCACCTTGGTGAAGAGCTTGGGGGAAGCCTCTGGCGTGATCACTGCTGTCACCTGGTCCGGTGGCCTCCTTGCAGCTGGTGGCCTGGACACCAAGGTGCGCATCTATGACTCCTCTCAGGACCTGATTTTTGACGCCAGGGTGTGGGTTGTAGTGGCGATTCGTTGTGATGTTGAAGCATGAAGAATGGTTGTACAGGGTTCACATGCTTAGCATTCCATGGTGGGGCCAGGGGAGTGGTGTCTTGAGCCTCAACACGTCTATTGGTGAACTTCTGGAGATTTTTTTGCTAGTTTCCTACTGGAGCCCCCTTTCCTGCTGGAATGCTTTGAAAGCAAAGAGCAGTCTGCGAAGTCTCCAGGACTATGTCCTGGTGAGGACTCTTGACCGCGCACGAGAAGGCATTTTGTCACTGTCTTGTTGCGGAAACTTCCTGGCAACTGGCAGCCTTGATTGCCGGGTGCGGATCTATGACACCAGCCAGGACATGATGGATACAGTGGGATCCAACACGTTTCACATTGACATGTCTTTCATCCCGTAGAGGCGGGCCCCGACATGAAAGGAAAAAGGTGACGCAACAGAAGCATCACTTGATGTTGGCCGCGGCAAGGCGAAGAACATGTAGAGCCTGTAGAGCCCTGCGCCATCCTGCGCCTTTTTGAGCCTTAAAGGTGGCCAACCGATGCCAACCTGAACTAGTTTTTGTCAACAAAACAGACACAATTCAGTACCACAACATGAAGTATTGCCTTTCAACCAACAGGCAGTCTCAATTGACGGGAAGCCTGCAGACCTTCTTGCCTTGAATGTTATATTGTTATATTATAAGTTATATGACAGATTGGAATTTGCTTGCGAAGTGGATAATGCTACTCGAATGACTCTAATGTAGAGGTCGCCGGTATTCTGGACGCACCCTCAGGCTTGCGTTGAGGTTTGATGATTCATTCTGTTTCGTTTACACTTTCAAGACTTACAATTCCAAGCTTTTGCGCATCCCGGGAGATGAGACAATAGCAGGTGTCGCGGTCAAGGGGTGCGGTGCAAGTGCGCCCAAAGATTCGGGAACTCCCAAAGATATTGTTTTGACTTCTTCATCAAAGTTATAAGTTGTCTTCTGGACAAGCAGTACAGTTACCTGCTTTTAATGGATGCTGACGTGGCAGGATTTCATCATTGTCAAGGTCCTGGAGATCCCGAGTGACGTGCGATCAAGTGTGCGATCACTTGATTTCCGCGGATCGTGTCTTGCAGTCGGGTACTATCGAGGTCGCATCTCAATTTTTGATGCGGAGAATCTGCGCTGGGGTGCTTTCGAGGTGGAGTGACTCGTCTCCCTGAGGGTGTTCGGTTTTTGCCGTTGTTTCTCCGAATATCACGATCCAAAGATGGAACCACGCAGCTCTACTTGAGTCGGCTCTATACTGTCACTTGTAGGTGCACTACAGATAGATGATTCATATTACACTTAATTATATATATATATATATTTATACAGATAATTCATGATAGCTGTAGAATTTGGTAGCCAAACCGCCTTCCCGGGGATGGTGGTCCAGAGAAGATTACCGTTTCCATCAGTGAGAATACGTTCTTTTTGAGTGCAAAGAAGGTGAAACAACCCCAAAATTCGATACCATTGTTTGATTTACCATTTGATGCATTTGTTACTGCACATGTCTATCCGAATCCCTACAGCTAAGACCGTTCACCACAAACGACCCTGGCCCTCCTTCCACCTTGGCATTCCACACTGAGTCGCCTCTGGGACTTTGCCAAGCGTCCGGAACAGCAAGAGGAGCAGTCGCCTTCCAAGCGTAGTGCAGTGGAAGATGCTGCGTAGTGCAGTGGAAGATGCTGATTGTGTATGGACACAGATCAAAGCTCTGGGCTCTGGGATCCGAAAATTAGGGATTTTCAGTAGTCAAGAGGTTTTTAATACTTGTAGCAACAAACTTGGACCTGTACCCACGCGGAGCTCCATACAAGTTTCAAACTCTACAGAAGAACTCAGCCAATGTAAAGGTCACTGGTCCAGAGAAAAGGGTTGCTGCTTGCCTGGTTTGCCCTCGGCTGACAGATTTGTATTTCATGCTGATCTTGGGAAGTGGGTATGGATTCAAGCACGCATTCTAGGTAGAGGTGGCGGCTGCACTTTGTGTTTGTCATTCTTGGATCCATTCGGAGGTCAGATAAATTATGATCCCCGTGTCCCTCCCTTGAGATCTGACCCTGTTGAAAATTTCTGGAATCAGTTCTTTCACAGAATCATCTTCGCGCTGTGCACACGACATGCCGTTTGTTTTCTGCTGGGATGGTTCAGGGAAGATCTTCGTGGAAACCTTAGGAACCTCTGACCCCCTGCCATGGCAGATTTTTTCTGTGTGCAAGTGCAGCATAATCGCAGTAAGCCAGTCACACAATTGCTGGGCCAGTTAGAAGTGGGATCCACAGAAACGCAGGACTTTCTGAACATTATTCCCAGAAGCCACGTACATGAACAGGATTTTGTATATGTATTGCATTTGGCAAGATCTGATCTTTACCGTCGTAGATGCTGTTTGAGGCCCTTGGGTCCATTCAACATCGTGCAGGCAGTGTTGTTGCAATGGTTGTCAGGACATACGGAGAGGCTTTCACAACAAAATGCGGGGGCTGGCAGACTGCCAGGTTCACAATGAGCATTTGACTGGGTTGCACAAATTGTTTCTGAAAGAGAGGCGGATTCTGTCCCAAAACGGATATTCTAAACATGCCTAAGTCCTCGTCTTCTGATGCTTCTGAGAGGTATCAAGGTCACGTTTAAAGTTTATTCAATGGCGCACTGCAATTTCAAGCTCCTGATTTGAAATTTCCCCAGTTTGCAACATTTACTACCGAACCCACATCCCTGTCTGGTGTTGGATGTTACCTTAATCGAATTGACATTGTGAATTTGAAAAAAAAAGAACCTCTACATTGAATTAGTTTCATCACTTTCCACAGCTTTAGCCGCTGGGAAGGACAGCGGACCCATTGCCAGCCGCGCGTTGGAAAAAAACATTGGCGGATCCCAGCTGTCCAGGTGGACAATTCGTCAAGTCGAATGGGCAATGCTGTGGGATGCCACAGGGCGGTTTCACCAGCAAGGAAACCTCCAAAATCATGGGCATCATGGAATTTCCGCTTGTCAGAACCAGTTTTGAGTGGATTTTGGGGGCAGATAAGTTGAGAAACAACGAAACTGATGGTCTACATGTGTGAACATAGGCTTTGTGAATCTTCGCATGTCAAAAAGAAATCTTTGACACTGAAACCTCAGGTGTTTCCCAAGGTTGTTCCCAAACGCAAGAGACCGTTGCAATGGTGAATGCTTAACACCCTGCTGTTTAGGATGTCATCTTGCTTGGATGGACACAGCCAGAAAACAGAGATCCTAGAATCCTTGTCCACTACTTTGCTGGATGTACATCTTCGGTTCAAGCTTTAAATGTAGGTTTCACTCAGATTTGGGGCAACACATGGAGTCAAACCTCACAGGCACTTGCTGCCACATCATGATCTTTATGCAAGATGTTTCGTATCGTGCCAACTACAGCTTTGAGCTAAACCCAAGTTCAAAACACCAAACACACGGACGTCGTCTTGTAAAAAGTCAAGTGGCACAGTCATGCTGCAGTCCTGTGAGCCACACAACCAGAAAGGCCGGTCACATCATTCATGTGTGATGTTCCATGCGTTCAAATCCTTAACCCCCACAACAATCCAGGTGCGATCAAGTCTATTCCACATATTGCTCTGTGTTTTTTTTCAGATTCACATCCCTGTGTCAGCTCTTTTCAATATGGCCCGTTGCATCGAGGTTGCTCCAGATGAGCAAGCGCAGGCAGTTTCAGGGTGTTCAACCAGGATGAGTGTGTTGACGTTTGGCCACTAGCAATTTGAGCCAATACTCACTAATTAACATCAGATCAAATTATCACACTTGCAATAGTCATCTGATGTATGTACACTGTATACATGTTTATTTACTAATCGTAGCAGTAGTGATATGGGATGGGGGTAGCATTTCGAATGGTCTTTCATCACTTTTTTGGAGTAGCCCCGCCTCATCAATCAACTAGGGATCCATGTAGGGATACCTGCCCAAGTTGGTGGGGAGATGCTCGTCTATTGTCAACAAAAAGCATGGTATCGCCAGCAAAGTGAGTTGCCCCCAAAGATCACGGACTTACCGAGATTGTTATCGCCCTGCTTAGATTGTATCATGTCACCAGCTGCCCATGTCTTTTAAACAATCATCTAGGGCCTAGGATTTAGAGATCAGAAACTCATCATATCCTAACCGAACAAAGACTGGAATGTAACTATCCAGCTACCCAGATCCTGTAATTCATCACCCAACGAGAAGATTCTTCAGTAAACATGTAATGAACCACCTGCCATCTGCCCAGGTTTGAAGGATCAATGATGACAGGTTCAGTTGTAGATACTCCAGGCCGGGACTGGTGAATTTTGGAGGGAAAAACTATGGTTTCCTATGGAATTGTCCCCGTAATTCTTACCATGCGCCATGCTGGATGGATTTGTTAAATTTGAACCGACCATCAATTTCAGGCCAAAGTGGCCCCGCTATAGAGTTGAATCTATGGAAAGGCAGCGATCAGCCACTGATTGTGCTCAATGTTCCTTGACCCCAATTGGATTTCTTCCAACCGGTTGCGGCTGGGAGGCCCTAAGATCTTGAAGGATGATGGATTGGTCTACACAATCCTCATGCGACTTGGCAAAAAATCTGCTTGTTAACATGATCCTGGAGGTTCAGGATCACTGGTGGGTAAGCGGGTTACTGCAACCTACTGATTGGAAAGCGGATATAAAGGTTTTTAGTCCAGTTTCCCACCATTGATCCTAGTTTTCAGGATCCAAATTTCAATCCAAATCCATCTCACGTATCTGTGTGTCCAGCAGAAGCATAACTACTGTTGCAGCCACGTTGTTGGCACGCATTTTTGCAACACAGGCTTGGATATCCTTTGGATAAGAACCTGCTATTAGTGTGGTATATGATGTTCGTCCATTCTGCTCATATGACAATCCTGGTTCTTCTGTCAAGTTGGGGACATATTCAGAGTTCATCCTGGAAGCCAAGCTCTTCCCCGAGGTGCCTGAGCCTGTCGGAAGTACGAAAGTTGTGGCGTTTGCGGCGCACCTTTTTTAAAGTGCTGAAGGACAAGGCACGGCCAACACTGTAATGGTTGAGGCACCCTGAAGTTCTCACAGTTTTTTTGACCTCAAAGAGGTGTTCTTTGAAAGTTGAGGGCAATGTTCCTGATGATGTGATCACTCATGATGATGCTGGTGGCGGTGGTGCTGCTAGTGCTGGTGCTGGTCATTGCTCTTGTTGTTTCTGACATTATGTATTGTCTTGGTGACGAAAATGAAGACAGATCTAGCCAGAAATTGAAGCTCTATCAGCTATTATTCCCGAGAGCGTCTGAGCGCAGGGTTCTTCCAATAGTGGGGGTCTGTATCTCATCTTCTCATCTTCACACCTTCTCTCACACCTTCTCATCTTCACACATCTTCACACCTTCTCATCTTCACATCTTCTCATCTTCACATCTTCTCATCTTCACACCTTCTCATCTTCACATCTGCTCTTCTTCACATCTCATCTTCACACCTTCTCATCTTCACGCCTTCTCATCTTCACACCTTCTCATCTTCACATCTGCTCATCTTCACATCTGCTCATCTTCACATCTGCTCATCTTCACATCTGCTCTTCTTCACATCTCATCTTCACACCTTCTCATCTTCACACCTTCTCATCTTCACACCTTCTCATCTTCACACCTTCTCATCTTCACACCTTCTCATCTTCACACCTTCTCTCACACCTTCTCATTTTCACATCTGCTCATCTTCACATCTTCTCTCACATCTGCTCTCACATCTGCTCATCTTCACATCTTCTCTCACATCTGCTCATCTTCACATCTGCTCATCTTCACATCTGCTCATCTTCACATCTGCTCTCACATCTGCTCATCTTCACATCTTCTCTCACATCTGCTCATCTTCACATCTGCTCATCTTCACATCTGCTCATCTTCACATCTGCTCATCTTCACATCTGCTCCTCTTCACATCTTCTCATCTTCACATCTTCTCTCCTTTCTCTCTCCCTTTTCTCTCTCTCGCCTTCTTTATCTTTCTCTCTTTAGGCCGAGGGTGGTGCCGGCGGTGAGTCACGAAACGTCAACCCTTTCGCACGAAATGAGGGTCGATCGTCAAAAACTGAAGAAAAATTGCGATTTTACTTGTCCTAAAGCAACCCTTTCGCACGAAATGAGGGTCGATCGTCAAAAACTGAGGAAAAATTGCGATTTTACTTGTCCCCGAGCAACCCTTTCGCACGAAATGAGGGTCGATCGTCAAAAACTGAGGAAAAATTGCGATTTTACTTGTCCCCGAGCAACCTTTTCGCACGAAATGAGGGTCGATCGTCAAAAACTGAGGAAAAATTGCGATTTTACTTGTGCCGGAGCAACCCTTTCGCACGAAATGAGGGTCGATCGTCAAAAACTGAGGTAAAAGTGCGATTTCCGGGTTCCCGTTGCAACCCTTTCGCACGAAATGAAGGTCAATAGCTAAAAACTGAGGTAAAATTGCAATTTCCGGGTTCCCGTTGTAACCCTTTTGCACGAAATGATGGTCGATCGCCAAAAACTGAAGTAAAATTCGACTTGTTCTGTGTGTACAAAGCTTCTGTGTGCTGTGTCAAAGTGTCTGTGTGTCAAAGCGTCTGTGTGTAAAAGTTTCTGTGTGTAAAGGTGTCTGTGTGTAAAAGCTTCTGTGTGTAAAAGCGTTTGTGTAAAAAGCGTCTGTGTAAAAGCTTCTGTGTGTGCAATCTTCTGTGTGTAAAAGCCTCTGTGTGTAAAAGCTTCTGTGTGTAAAATCTTCTGTGTGTAAAAGAGTCTGTTGTGTAAAATCTTCTGTGTGTAAAAGCCTCTGTGTGTAAAAGCGTCTGTGTGTAAAGCCGTCTGTGTGTAAAAGTTTCTGTTGTGTGAAAGTGTTTGTGTGTCAAAGCGTGTGTGTGTGTAAAAGTGTCTGTGTGTAAAGCGTCGTGTGTAAAAGTTTTTGTGTATAAAGGTGTCTGTGTGTAAAAGCTTCTGTGTGTAAAAGCGTTTGTGTAAAAAGCGTCTGTGTAAAAGCTTCTGTGTGTGCAATCTTCTGTGTGTAAAAGCCTCTGGGTGTAAAAGCTTCTGTGTGTAAAATCTTCTGTGTGTAAAAGCCTCTGTGCAGCGTCTGTGTGTAAAACCGTCAGTGTGTCAAAGAGTCTGTTGTGTAAAATCTTCTGTGAGTAAAAGCCTCTGTGTGTAAAAGCGTCTGTGTGTAAAGCGTCTGTGTGTAAAAGTTTCTATGTGTAAAGGTGTCTGTGTGTAAAAGCTTCTGTGTGTAAAAGCGTTTGTGTAAAAAGCGTCTGTGTAAAAGCTTCTGTGTGTGCAATCTTCTGTGTGTAAAAGCCTCTGTGTGTAAAAGCTTCTGTGTGTAAAATCTTCTGTGTGTAAAAGCCTCTGTGTGTAAAAGCGTCTGTGTGTAAAACCGTCAGTGTGTAAAAGAGTCTGTTGTGTAAAATCTTCTGTGTCTAAAAGCCTCTGTGTGTAAAAGCGTCTGTGTGTAAAGCCGTCTGTGTGTAAAAGTTTCTGTTGTGTGAAAGTGTCTGTGTGTCAAAGCGTGTGTGTGTGTAAAAGCGTCTGTGTGTAAGGCGTCTGTGTGTAAAAGTTTCTGTGTGTAAAGGTGTCTGTGTGTAAAAGCTTCTGTGTGTAAAAGCGTGTGTGTAAAAAGCGTCTGTGTAAAAGCTTCTGTGTGTGCAATCTTCTGTGTGTAAAAGCCTCTGTGTGTAAAAGCTTCGGTGTGTAAAATCTTCTGTGTGTAAAAGCCTCTGTGTGTAAAAGCCTCTGTGCGTAAAACCGTCAGTATGTAAAAGAGTCTGTTGTGTAAAATCTTCTGTGTGTAAAAGCCTCTGTGTGTAAAAGCGTCTGTGTGTAAAAGTGTTTGTGTGTAAAAGTGTTTGTGTGTAAAAGTGTTTGTATGTAAAAGTGTTTGTGTGTAAAAGTGCCTCTGTGTCAAAGCGTCTGTCTGTAAAAATTTTTGTGTGTGAAAGCCTTTGTGTGTGAAAGTGTCTGTCTGTAAAAGCTTCTGTGTGTGAAAGCTTTTGTGTGTAAAAGCTTCTGTGTGTAAAGGCTTCTGTGTGTAAAAGTGTTTGCGATGCAAACTATTGTCTTGCACTTCTGCTATTTTGTGTTCATACTCCTCTTCTCGACTGCCTAGAACACATCGTTAATATATTGTTTCTAATATGGTGTCTCCATACTAACAAGAGAAGACTCCTCTACGCTCTCGGGCCATCCGTCGTCTAGTTTACTTTTGCTTTCAGGGAACATTTACAGGAAACCCTTTTCTTTTCTCGGTGAGGACACATGTTTCCTTCAATTTGTCCCGTAAACCAATTCATTGATTGGTGAGCGTGTTGGAACCTCATGGCCACAGGTTGTGCCGTTACTAGCCCTTGCCGAGAGAGATTGGAGTGCCTTTGGCAATGGCCGACCAAGCCCCATAAACGTTTAACAAAAGGGAAACCATCAATTTGATGATCCAAAAATGATGGTTGGGGTTCATAATACAGTTTCCAGATAGGATGGGCTTCAGTGATGGGTCGAGGAAAGGAGGGTTTCAAATTTCAATATGTTGTTCACTTTCTCACCACCACAAGTAACTAGGATGGCTCACTGGTTTGATATATATGAGCGAAAATCGACGGTAAAGCATGTGATTTCTCATCAAATATGCAGTTGTCCTGTGAAATTCCTTTAGACCAGTCGGGTGAATGATTGGGACCCCAATCAGCAATGATTGGAGCCCCAAAAGAAGAGTTTCACCATTAAAGCATCTTAAAACCCCATGCTGGTTTGTCAAAGCATGTTGAACTGTTCTTCCTGTTGATCAGAACATGTTGAAACCCTATTTGTGTCGGCTTTAATTAACCATCTTAGAACTTAGAATCCAAATTTGGTGCTTAAGTCATTTTGAGATGGATCCCAATTAACCATCCAAAATTGCAAAACTGTTAATTCCTGTTGGTCATTTTGAATCCTTTTTTTTCTGCAATCCCCCAGGCATCGTCCGAGTCTTTCTGGACTCTGGAGCTTTCCAGTACAACTTGGACTCGGTCTTCACCGAGGCCCTCGTGCCGGACATGCAATCCCCACCATTGCTGGACATGCAGTCCGTGTATGTGGCATACGGTGCAGATTATTGCTGGAATATGTTACTACCTCTTTTTTCTCATGGTCCGATAATAGCTATACACCGGTGTTGAACTCCACACTATACAAACGCTTCAGGGTCTTTCAATACAGGTTTAAAAGGTGCAGATCCCAGATGGAATTCTGACCGGACAGGTTACCCAGTCACTATGCGGCAGGGATCATCCCGTAACCCACCGAGGCCGTTCTAGAGAGCGACTTCAAGGGCCTTAGACTATTGGCTGAGAGGCACCAGCGGGGTGCCTGTGGGGGTTTTACCCTCTATTCAACGTAGCGAACTGGAAAATCATTATGTTTCGTAGGTAAATCTTCATAAATCTTCTATGAATATGGTATTGTTCCATAGATATGTTAAATAGAGGGTATGTTTGTTTCAATGATTTTGATGGAAGAATGGGAGGAAGAGATGTTTGTCATGTCCTGCTGATTTACTTAACCTTTTTGAGTGTTGAAGGTTGGCACTGTCAACATGCTGAGCTAGTTTGTCAGGTAACCTGAGGCTTCAGTGGCAGTACGATCCGCAGAAATTGGCCACATAAGTACCAGCTTGAACTTCAAGACTTGTTTGTTTCCCGGTGCTTTCCAGAATTCTCGAGAATAAAACCATCTCCCACAAAAATGTACATGGCACGTTTTCTGTGGCAGGAGATATTCCTTTGCAGCCTTCCGCCACCAAGCCAACTCGCGGGACGTGCAGCGCTTGACGTCTTTCGTGCGGAAGGCCGTAGGGTGGGAGGAATGGCAAAAAAGCGGGGCTTTACCAACAAAATGGTGGTACTTACACAGTTGCAACAGAAGCTGCTTCTTTCAATCTCATTTTGGGCGGTTCCATGTCAGTTTTTATGGATGTACATCGTTGTATGATGGTGCATTTCCACAACGACCTATTCTCGGGAATCCCAACAAGGAAGCCAGCCAGCTGGCCAGCAGGGATTAGAAATATTGTGAATGGCCAATCAGAAAATGCGTTGTTGATGCATGGAAAAGAAGTAAGTTGTTCCACTGACATGTTTATTTATTGACGGGGATCTATCTGATATGTGTATCTGCAATGTGCCGTTATTTCGTTATTTTGGGAACCTTCCTTCACATCAAGGTACCGACCATCCACTTGCAACTGCAACATGGAATGGTGGTACTCACCCCTGGGACGAGCGGAGATTCCATGGGGGATCCAGTAGGTCCCAAGCCCTATTGGGGGGACCCAAAAGCGGGCGTGTCGCGGGGATTTGTACTTTCTGAAGAGTACCTTTATTTAATCCATAACCCTGATAGAGTCGCCTATCAAGGCTGATATCTTGGTCAGATGATGGTCAGACATCAGGCTCACATGGAATCCCATGGAATTCTGAAACCAACCTCACATACTATATTATACTGAAACTATACTTTACAAAATCATACATATCATATCTTGGTGTTCTCATTGGGGTGCCCCTGTTCACCATGATTTTCCCCAAACATGACCAACCTTGGATGACTTTGGGGTCCCCTCAGCCACCATCCGAGGCATTGAAGAAGGGCTATGTGGACAAGCTCTCCTTGCTGAGATCGCTTCACTACGATTTACAGCAGGTGGGTAGGATCATCCCAGGGAGGCTTATCACATACAGATATACGTATATTTGTATGTATATATATATATATGGTAGAATGGCGTATATACATGTATATATATATAAATGGTTCTGGGTTCTGGACCAGGTGAATATGGGCAGTGGATATGGTGAATATGCTGATGATGATGATGATGATGATGATGGATCCCAAACATCTAGCGATTTGGGATGCTGGTCACACCCAATAATTTGAAGAGATTTCTGCCGGAAAAGGAAGTGTAGAGTGAAGTGTTGCTACAAGATGCTTAACAGCCACAAACATCTCAAGTTATGTTTTCTGGCTTTTCAGTTCACCATTTATATATTGTTATTACCCATATTGCCCCATGATATGTATATATATATATATGTTTATTTATGCATTGATTCATTTATTTGCGTGTTTATTTATTATCCCACATGTATATCCAAATGGCTATAATAAACCCCAGATCAATGGCTAATAAACCCCAGATCATGTTCTCCTCAGATCAGCGTCGCAGGATCTGCAGGAGTCAGCTGCAATTACTGGGGGAATTGCGGAGCAGCTCCAAAGTGAAGGGTGCGCTCACCTGGATGCCGCCGCGGTGCTGCGGTCTCCCCAAGGGAGTTGGTTGGTTGTTTAATGATAGGGTACCCAAAAAATCCATGGTTTAGTAGCCTCTGGTAAATAAACAGTTCGACCCTGAAAATCACCCATGTTTAAAATGGAAACTAATCTTTCAAGTCCTATTTGCCAGGGTCGAACTGTTAATTTACCAGAGGGTAGATGGTTTTGGCCTTGTTTCACATTTGGAATTGACATTTTGGAGTACATCCCATTTATGTAGGCGTTCACAAGCAGCACTGGTAACTTTAATGGGATATACCTACATAACAAGCTAATAGGTGCTTTTACGTTTTGGTAACTTTATAACCAGCTAATACCAGCCTTGCCGAATTGAGTTTCTCCGCTGTTTTGCTTCTCACCAGACGATGAAAAAGTCGATTGCGGTGGCACCAATCTGAAATATTGCACATGGCCGATTGTCCTGTGTTTTGGCTCACCCTTATTTTGCGATTTGTATCCATCTAAATCACCGTTTTGGTTGCTGTTTCCAACAATATGTCTTCCAAGGTGTCTCAATTGCTGTTGACACTCATATCTCGTAGTTCTTCCCTCACTTCCTCAACGCTACGCCGCTACCGCCTACTTTTGATATTTGAAGTCTTAGGTATCATGCACCAAAGGTTGTAAATTATCCAGATGCCGTTATAAATCTTTAACACGTCTGGGTTTTACCCCCATTATGGAGGTTTAATTACCATACATACCATACATTAGAATTGATGATGGCTAATGAATTTCGCCATACAAATCGCGAACATTAGCAATGGAGTCTATCCCGTCATATTGACCAATGTCGAAAATATAGCTTATCATTGCTAAATGTTGATTATAGTTAAATAGGGATAGTTAACATAGGTATTGGTTAGTGTAGTACTGGAGTCTATCCCCATAATTATCGTTGTTTAATGGTGTTGATTAATCATAGTTAAATTGACGGCCAGTTAAACAAACTACAGCTTACCCCCGATGAAAATCATATCCCCCAAATTCAGATCCCCATACCTTCGGTCTTGCCCGTAGATAACCTCGTCAATAGATCATCATTGCTGGCTGCGATATTTGTTAACTATCCTTATGATTTAGTTGTTTCCACCCTTTTTGGTCGATGTATTATTATTTTTACCTGTCCCTCCCAGAAGTGGAAGGAAAACGTGCAGGGGTTCCTGCGAGATTTCATGGCAAAAACGATGGGAAAAAGATGGGTTGCCCTGTGGATTTTCTCATCTAGTGAATCCTCATTTTGGCTTGGGCTAAATCCCCAGATCTACCCATTTTGGCCGGAGAAATCTTCAATTTCGCGTTCCAGGTCCATCACCGTGGACTTTTTGGGCTCCAGAAACACGTTTCGCTTCAGCATGCTGGAGCGGGGCCATGTAACGGGATGGTGTGAAGTCCCGGTGAAGTCCCAAGATACCCTCTGGTTATGTCAAAAGAGCTATTGAAAATGGCCATAGAAATAGTGGATTTACCCATGAAAAATGGTGATTTTCCATAGTTATGTAACAGTTTACCAGAGGGTACCTCATTTTGGTGACGAGATTTGGTGGAGCTGTCAGATGCTGTCGGGAAACTCAGTTGAAGTGAACTCTGTGAATGAAAAGAGTCTCGATTTTGGTAAACAACTGAGAAAATTGAAATCAATGAATTCAAACTCGAAGTGCGGAACTGGCTATGGAATGGAGAACGGCGCACATGGCTGTGCTTCGATTTTTTGGCGCCCTGAAGCATTGGGGTATCATCCCTAAAGTTGGCCAAGTGGATCGAAAGACCCAATAGTAAATGGATTACATCCCAATGCCAGCTGTGAGCTGTGATCTTTCCACATGAATGGTCCCAAAAAATGCATCCATTCACTCGCATAGTTTTGGCACGAAAAAGCAGCACTTTGCAGACATCACCAGGGTCACAATCCTACGAATCCTGCTGCTCGTCCGATGGAGGAGTTGGCGACCAGCAATTATGCTGAGCAGAAGATCCAGGATCTCTGCAAACTTCGAATCTTCTTGTACAAAGATGGGGGCTCAGAAAGGTTTCTGAAGCTGGGAAGTGGTAGCTATAGAAGATGGGAAACTTCAAAAATTTGTGTCAGTGGATTGAGTTTCTGTGGGGAGGGGGTGGTTTTCCATTCCTTTTTCAGACAAATCCAGTTGGGAAGGGATGTCCGAAAAAATGGTAACCGGGTAGCCCCATTTACCATCGAATTCACGGGGAAAATGAGGGAAAATTTTATAGGTGTTCAACTTGATAAACCATAGAAGGTGGGGGATTCACCACATTCTCAGAAAAAAATAGTTGGGAATGGATGGTCCTGCAGTGTTTCACGGAATTCATGGTAATCTTTGGTGATTGGGAGTGATATCGTATGATATAAAATACATCACCCTTATGAGGGGTTACTACTGTACTATTATCCACTGATTGTAGGTATCATCCCGGCATACTTGGGTGCATATGTTGACGAGCATCTGCAGTCACCACTTCCCTTTTTTGGGGGGGACATAGTTTCTGTAGTTCCAACGCCCATGCCTTTGGTGGAGCTTCGTGCCGCAGAGATTGGACACCATGTTCTCTTTGTTTGGGGGTTCCCTCGGCCAAACCTCTGGGAAAACTTGGCATCAGTTTGATGCTGGAGATCTCAATGTTTCATACTTGGAGATAGATGATCGATCGGTCGATCGATCGATAGGTAGATAGATAGATAGATAGATAGATAGATAGATAGATAGATAGATAGATAGATAGAGATAGAGATAGAGATAGAGATCAAGATAGAGATATACATATATAATATATAATATATAATATATAGATATAGATATTTCCGCATGTATATACATTATATATATTTACATACAAACAGCAAGTACTCTTTTTCTATGGAACTATCATCCACAGTTCCAAAGGAGGAGCATCACCCAGGTTCCAAACGGCGATCGCTGAGGTGCCTTTTGTCTTGTCCTCTTTTTTGAAGGCCGGTGCCTGCACCAACTCCTTCATGCAGCTTGAGACTTGCGGGTGCCCAACCGATGTCTGGAAGTTTTTCTTCAGTTTTCATGGTGAAAAACACTGGTTAAGGTTAAATCAATGGCCATTTCAGGAACCGATTGATTGGAGGTACCTACCATATATAAGGCCTATGTAAGGGAATATCCCCACAAAATATTGCCTTATATGGTACAGTACCTCCATTTTAGGATCCTGGATTTCCCATTGATTAAATCCCATGGTTAAGAACTGTTCTCCATTGTGGTGGTGTAGCCCATTTTGAGACACTGCCGATGATACATGTTTGTGCCTGTGATCTTATGTACCTGGACCCCAAATGATCTCTTTTTTTAGGGAATTGAACCCATATAGTCACGGATTAAACCTTAAACCCCCACAATAGTTGTCATCATAATTTTCTTCCAGGAGATTACTGATGTGGCAAACCAAAAATTCAAGAGTAATACCCAATTTGGGCGTTGCGCGCGGTGACTTGGGGGTGCAGTTGGGGGTTATTAATTGGTATCACTATGGTAATAACTTCCATAATTCGGGAACAAAACCCCTATGACTAGGATGATAACCAATAGTATTAACTATGATAACTATACTATGGTTTATCCTATCACTATGGTAATAAGCCACGTATTATGGTTCCGCTCCCAAGGATCAACCGGACCTGCCCAGGGTCCACACAGATCCCCTTTGGCATCGGTTTTAGGTACCTGCTGCTCTTGGCCTTAGCTGCCGAATCCTTCAACTTTGTCTATCTTTTGATTCAGGAGGTGCACTTTGCCCTAGTAGAAATGGCCTCGAAGTAGTTGGGAATCTGGGAGTAATGAAAACTAATGGAAAAGAATGGTCAAGGAATGGAAAAATAGAAAGGGAGACGATGAACCAGTTGATTTGGACGGATGGCCACCCTTCGCCACAAGTGGCCATGGCTACTTGGTTGGGCAGCATCACCTTTGGTACTAGTAAACTGGAGCTGCGACTTCTGGGAAATTTCAGCTCTCAGTATGAACACATGATGTTGAGAGGACGTGAAGTCTGGTTGTTAACCTAGGCTTGGTGAGATACCACCATTTTCTTCAACTAGTCCCATCATAGCCAGCCAGCGGACTTCCGCTACAGTAGTGCGGGTGGTATCCCCATCTTTTGCTGATGAAAACCTTTTTTTTGTTGCTTGTAAAATCCAGTGTTTGTTGGTCAACCCCCTAGCTTTGCCAATGATATCTCTTTTCTGGTCCAATCTCAATTCTCATTGGTTAAAGGTACATGTTGTTTGGATCAAATCCCATGCGTTATCCCCCATTCTCCATTATTGAAGATGGTTTTTCCCTATTCTCCCACTATTGAAGAGTATTAACCATGGGTTTTTCCTTATCCCCCCATTATTGAAGAGTATTAAGCATGGTTTTCCCCCATAATCCGTAGTATTTAACCAGTTGTTTATGTCTTTTCACGTTGAAACCCCACCTTTTGTTGGCCAAACATCTCCCGGGCAGGCGGTGAACGTGCAGCAGGTGCTCGAATCGTACAGTTCCGAGCTCCTGCTGATGGTAAGTAAGGCGGGTGGGAACCAAAAAACACATGTCATGGGGATATATTAGTAATAGTGATAACGATGATAATGATAGTAACAACAACAATAAGAATTAGAATAAGAATAGTAATTTAACATGAGCATACTATGACAATGGTATTTCATATGAAATTATATGGGAATATAATGAGAATGGTATCATGAGGGAAGTTACAATATGGGAATTTTGAATGATAATAGGAACTAATTGATATTCCTTGTACATAGGAATGTGTTTTAATCATATGGGAATATAATGATTACACTGATGGAATTAGTAATCATTAAATTAATGTAATCATGTCATTACACTCATTAATTACATCAGTGTGTAATCATAATATGGGGTTATATATTAGTAATAATAATTATGATGATAATGGTAATAACAATAGTAGTAAGAATAAGAAGAAACATTGTTGGGATAAATAAACAATTATAACACAACAACATGCCAATTTCGAATATCAATAGATTACGGGATTGTCCATAGTGCACGCCTAGAATATTCATCAACCATTATTGAACATATTTGTGGTGGATTTATCCCTGTTATTATGATGGGAATTGCAATGGTGCGATTTAATAATATCATAATCCCCTGATATCCATATAATGTTGATTTGATAGTGGAGATAATAGGAACCATTATAATGATATTATATGATATGATATATCCTATTTATTATATTAATGATATAGATAATAGTGGATTATATGATATCAGAATCCCATGGTGGGGATTTACATCTTCCACTGATCATTTATGGGATGATAGTGGAGATAATACTGGGAATTAAAGAATGTTGTTTAACCATCAAACATCTCCAATTTTGTTGGGCACTATATCGAAGCGCTGGTTGTGGGGAGCTCCCACTCGGCCTTTCTGAAGGGGAAAATTTATGGTCAACCATTAGAGTTTTGGGTACCCTATTTTCGGAGAAATCCATGTGTCAATGGATTGGTGAAAAAGGGAAAATCTTAACCGGAAACCATGGTTTTCACCATCAAATATAGGGGTTTCCTGCAAATTTTCCCATCATCCAATTCTATGAATGTGTAAAATTTGGACGGTTTTCCATCTTTTGTTTGAACTGTTTTTTCTTCATTTTTTGGTTACATGTGAATGTAGGTCACAAGCTTCTGGTGACACCCTTTGTGACGCCAAGAAAACATTGAGCAGATCATCTGGTTGGTGGTTTGGAACATTTTTTCCACTATATATGGGATGTCATCCTTCCCATTTGACAAACCATATTTTTCAGAGGGGTAGGGCTCTACCACCAACCAGTTAACCATTATCAACCACTAGAAACCATTTATAAACCATTATTAACCACCATTAAACCACTATAACAAGTGTTATTCACCATCCTTAACCATATAATAACCATCATCATTAACCATGAAATTAACAGTATATTAACCATGATTTCCCCAGATTGTTCAGAACTCATGTGCCCAACGGAGGATGTTTCTGTGAATCCCCAGTTCAACTCAGCGCAGGCTATGGGTACCCGGCCCGGTGTTTTGGACTTACTGCACTTTTGTGGCTACCAACTACCGGAGGTGCGCGGCCCACGGTGGTGTAGAGAGAATGGTGATTTTACCACAAAAGGCTGGAGAGTGAAATCCGATTTTACCACCAAAAATAGGGTGTTTTTTGTGATTGAAACGGAAAATTGAGATTGGACCAAGCAAAAATTGTAGATTTTTGCTGACTGAACCCGTAAACATGCGGGTCTTACCAATGAACGGTGGCCTAAAGCCACGTATGAACAGGTCTCTGGTCAGGAATCACATGTGTTTAGTGGTTTCAAACATGTTCGAGACTTGGATCCACAGATACGCGGGATGTGAACAGGGTGGACAGGGTAGTGGATGGCTTACCCTATGTGGGGTGCCACAGCAGGTTGAAAAATGTATCCCCGACTGTTTCAATCAGAAGGCTATGCATACATACCTAGATACACGGAGACTTAGAGATACACACAAGGTGGTGCCAAATAGTTAGCTAGTTGGGGCTTATGGTAGATATAGTTAGATGAGGTTTAACAACCAACAAACATCACCGGCAAACACCATCAACCACATGTCAAATCTCCTATTTTTTGTTAGTTCAACCACCATGTTTCCTACTAAAGTGGATGGTAAACATCTCAGTTTTTCATTGGAAAATTCTACCGGCTCGCAGGAGCAGCAGCAGTTTGATGCAGAGGTTTTGGCCAGCGTGCGTTCGCAGGAGTCGACCTTCACAAACGATGGCCTGGATATGGAAAATGCCTGGGAAGGCAATCTATAGATGGAAAATATACGGAGAATCAATCATCAAATATGAGAAAAATGACGATTTTTTGGGATGTGATGGAGATTTATCCCCTGGGGCCCATTAGCCAAGGTGGAAATAAATGGGTCATTTCTTGGATTTATGATAGTTAGATGGCTTATAAACCAACTTGTCGTGAAAAATGAGTTCTATTCTCCGGGACAAAACCCTGGAATATCTCCAATGATACGCCCCCAGCAGTGATAAAATCTGGGTTGATGAGTGATTCAAACCATAAGAAATCCTGTAGGTGGTGCTAAAAATGGATATACTACCTGGTTTAGCCAGGATTATCATGAGTCACGAGAATACCCATTAATCAATTAGCAGTCATGGTGGGTTGGGACAAGTTGACCTGCCATTTGTGGCCCCAAGTTGTGGTACCTCAATTGATGTCGCCACAATCAATATAACCATGATACCCTCTGGTTACTTATAATTGTTAGCTACAGGAAATGGCCCATTTATAGATGATTTATAATGATTTACCCAGTAGAAATGTTGATTTTCCAGGCTACGTTAGATCACCAGAGGGTAGCTGAAACATCCCAGTGCGTCCGAGTCCTGCTGGTAGCTTGCAATTTTCGTAATGAAAATCGCAGACACCTTGACCACGGCCTAATAGTTACGCCTTTCTGGCTTCATTTTATATAGATATATAGTTTATAGCCACATGATTTTATAGTTATCCCCGTTAAATATCCCATGAAACCCCAATAATACTTCATAAAACAGCATTTTTCTTGGTTAATCACCAGTGTAAACATCATTTTCCCATCATTTTCCCATGATTTTCCCATGATTTTACCATGGAAATCTCTACAAAACCCCTATTTCTTTGGGTTGATCCGGTTGATCCTTCTTCGCCACGTAGGACTTCGCCACAGTGGAACGGATGTCGAAGCTGGGCTTCTCCCTCCACGACTTTGCGGGGCGGCAGCAGGCATTGTTTTTGGATGGGATTTTTTGGGTGGATTGAAATAGTGACCTTTATGGAATCTAATGGTGATTATAATCCATAAAAGTCACTATATAATCACTATATACTATATATATATGTATATATATATATATGTGGGTGGATTAATGGGCAGTTTAACCAACAGAAATGGGGATTTAGCCAGGGAAAACGGTGACTTCACCAGCAAAAACGGTGACTTTTATGGAATTTCATGGTGATTAATGGGAATTTATTGGTGATTTTTATAGGATTCAACCAACAGAAATGGGGATTATATAGTGATGGGAATTTAGCCGTTGGTTATTTGTTGCATAGCTATTGACGATGGCCATAGAAATAGTTTATTTACCTATTAAAAACGGCGATTTTCCATATCTATCTTAGTTTAATGAGGATAGTAAAGGGATTAATGTGGTTAAAACAATGCCATAAACCACCCATTTGGGAATGGTTGATACCACCTATTTATGGTGAAATTGGGGGATGGTTTATGATTGTTTTAACCACATTAGTGATTATCATGATGATTACCATGGGATATTTATGGTTAATTTCTAAAACATGAACGTGATTATCATGATGATTACCATGGGATATTTATGGTTAATTTCTAAAACATGAACGAAACTCTAATGGGATTTCGCCGCCCAGGTGACCAGATGGTTTTTCAAAAAAACCCTGAGTGAACCGGAGACGCTGGTAAAATCCCCCTTATCTCTTTTGGTAGAAAAACAGGGGTTGGTAACTGTCCCATTTTGGATATATTGGACATCACCTGAAATAGTAGCCATGGCATTGACCATATACCTAATGGTTGGGTGATGTTCAATGGGAACATTTAATGACCAATTGCCATGTTTGATTACCGGATGGTATTTCCATTAATCACCATTAATCACCCCACTGTTTCCCTATATGAATTGATATACCAGTAATCATGGGGGTCAAAAAAACCAGGTGCCCGAAAACGGCTTTTGCGTTTTAATTTACCGCGGCCAGGTTGAGTTGAGCCCCCTGCTGCAGAAGGGCTTGGAGGTCAACTTAAAGGGCGTGGTTTCCCCAGACATTTGACGGGGAGATTTCCTGTGATTCACGAAATACCATAGGAAAACCATAGGAAAACCATAGGAAAACCATAGGAAAATGGTGGTTTAATGGGATTTTAATGGGATTTAATGGGATTTAATGGGATATACCTGGCCTGGTAAACGAACTCGCAAATCGCGAACTGGAAAATCCACCCATTTTATAGCTGGGGAAATCAACTATTTCGACTGGGCCATGGCTTTAATCGCAAACTGTTTGTTTACCAGAGGACCAGAGGGTAAATTGGGGATGTTTCACTGAGAATTGGGATGATTCACTAAAAATTCGGATTGAAGCCGCAAACACTTGAGGTTGCAACTAAGAACAGCCCACAGAAGTTGCTGTTTCAGAACGAAAACCTGGTACACTCACCTCAATTCCATGAGTTGAAAAGCTATCGACGCATGGAACAATAGGAGCCATTTCCATGTTGCATCAGTGATCATCAGCAATCCACTCATCTTCACTAGTGAATGGTTCATTATACCAATTAATGGATTGATGGATTATAAAATTTATCAACATTTATATTATATATATATACATCAAACATGGTATGATCATAATCCATCAATTCATTGACCATTTAATTTAAAAAAATATATAGTATCAACACAATTCATGGTTCATTAACCATTTATCAACATGTTTATATATCTTTACGGCTATAATACCCACCGAGCATAGTCCTCATGTGGATAAATCAATGCCACAAACGCACCACCCACTGAGAATGGTTTCTACGAATCCCACCAAACAAAAAATGGTGATGACTGGGAGATGGTGAATTATTGTTTTACCCACATTAACATACATTAACTATGGAAAATGGATCATTAACAAGATCCCTAGTTTATTATCTAATATTGGATAACCATATTCTTATGGGAAGGCAATCCATCCACTGATCTTCACCAAAGTTCAATTGCCAGTCCCCTGCCAGGACTTGTGCGAGTCCGTGAGGGGCTTCAGAAGCCTCGAGATCACCCGAACATACTGGGTCGATCAGTTTTCCAGAACTACCCTCTGGTAAACTAACATAACTATGGAAAATCACCATTTTTCATGGGAAAATCCACTATTTCTATGGTCATTTTCAATAGCTATGTTAAATTACTAGAACTATTGGAGGGGATTTCAATTATTTCAAGGACATCCTCCGTTCCTTGAGGAAATCCCGTTGGTGACCTGTAGGCTTTTTTTGGAAAATCCACGTGGTTTTGATCTTTTCTTGGAATGATCAAAACATGGTAAAACATGGTGAAAACCTACATTTTTGCGACAATCTCTAACATTCATTGACTTCAAAAAATGATCACCTACCATTACTATCATTAATCTTAGGATTTACGAAGCATATATGGGTGTGTCTGAAGGGTATCCTCCCAAATGGATCTAAATGGCAATCTTTAGAGGGATTTTTTGATGATTGACCATAAACATATTCAGACTAAGCCATATTGCTGTAACATTATCTGGGTAAATTATAACGACCTCACTGCGACCTCACTGGAAATCATGGTTAGTAAGGGAAATCATCCCCAAATGGCCTTAATTCAGATTGGTGAAATATTATAATTTACCCAGACATTATGATTAATTAGCCTTGGTCAACCATTCCAGGGTCGCTCCAACCTACCATAGCTACACCATAGGTGGCCCCCTAAGGCAGTGGTTAGTGAGGAAGAGGGACTCGACGCTGGAAAGGACAGCAGTGAAGGCCACGACAGAAATGGGGGATGCCCATTGGTGGTTTCATATGTTTGTTTTCATAGTAATTATTTGGGATGATCTACCCATTACTTTGGTTTCATGCTTTTTATTTTCAACCATAGTATTTGGGATGATGACCCCTAATGACAATGGAAAACTAGCTGGTGTGAAAGATAATTAGATTTCCACCACCCCCAGATGCTATTCTAACGACAATTTAGTGAACATGCCCAGCTTGGGTAGTTTGAATTTCCCATAAGAGGTCTCATCAAGATCCCATAGGAAAAATCCCAAAGGAAAAGAGCACCAATTGCTGTTGAAGATTTGTAACATCAGAGAAAAAATACAGATTTCAGAAACAAAAACTCTATAAAATCCCATCAGAATCCCATTAAATCCCATTAAACCACCATTTTCCTATGGTTTTCCTATGTTTTTCCCCCTGTCAAATTCCCTCCAACTGTGGCATCCGTCGGAGGTGTGAAATCCCCGACCTCCGCCATCCGACGTTTGGCCCAGATCGATCGGTGCGCCGCCGCTCCGCTGCGGGATCGGCCGCTTTCTGGTTGTAGAGATGGTAAGAAGATTGACTATTGATAAGATCAACATGGTAATGACAATGATTACCATATCTATTGATATATATTAAGATGTGGTAATGACAATGATGATATATGGTAAGCATTGTCATTATGATATATAGATATGATGATATGGATATCATATTATATATCTATATGATATAAGATTGATATATTAATATGGTAATCATTGTCATATCATTGTCATTATCAGCATGGTAATCAACCAGAAATGATATCAATATGGTAATGATATCAATATGGCAATCAATATTATTATCAGGATATGGTTGTTGTAGATAGTGATTATTGATAAGATTGATATCTCAATATGGTAATCATTGTCATTATGATATATAGATATGGTTGTAGATATATAGATAATAATGACATGATTGATATCATAATAACACAATAGGGTATATCATATTGATATAATGACATGATTGGTATTGATATCATATTATAAATCTATATATCATAATGACAATGTAATGTATATGGTTCATTGTCTCACATTTTTTTCTGGTAGATATGGTTGTAGATATGATTACCGGGATATAATTACCAGAGAATGTGTCAGACAATGAAGTATTACTGTACCATTATCATAACAACCCACATATTCTCTTCACTTGTAGATATGAGCAGGAAATCCGGGATAAAAAATCCAGTGGTTAGGAGGGAGCTAAGGAGCTAGGGGTATTCGTATTCCCTATATATTCCCTATTCAATGGAGAGCCAAGGAGCTACTTAGAGTTTCCCAACCATCAAATAGTATAACAATGATGATGAGAATGTGATGATAACATGGTGATAATATGGTGATAGTATGGCAATCATACGGCAATAATGGTGATGATGGTGTGATGGATATAGTATATTCAAGCAACAGTGCTATATTGATGATTTTGACCAGAAACGATACAACAGTGTCCCAATCTGACCCACTAGACAATGCGTACTCCACGGCATGGCGATAGAATGATATATTTCAACAGTTGGGATATATAGCTTTGGGAAATCCCAGATGTTCATTATATTCCGATCAATGGTTGGTTTATACCCCATATTTTCAGAACGGCATTACCCATGAAAAAGAAAAACAATGATACAGGATGGGCCCCCCAGTTGTAAGATGTTATAAGTTGGTTTATAAACCCCATGAATACCATAGCTATCTAGTTCGTTATATCTACCATAAACCATAGTTAATTCAGCCACTTTTCTAAACCAACGGTTCACGCGAGCTCGACTGGGGGCCCCATCCTGTATTATTGGAATCCCTGTTGGTGAATCATATCGCAGAAAAAATCTCAAAAAGCATAGAGGATCCCATGAAATACACCCATGTTATTGCCATGAATTCTCCCATAAAGATGGGAGAATCCGATTTTTCACATATCAAGTTGGTCCATGATGTCCCATGAAAAACCATGATGTCCCCCATCCCATGTGAAAAAACACAAATTCCACACTTAAAAATCCTGGATTTTGGGCATCGAAGCGCGACAGGCGCATGTTGGAGCGCCACTTTCAGAGTAGCGAGTCACTTGGAACCGAGATCTGGTGGATTTTCCGGTGAAAAAAGCGAAGTGGAAAATCACCATGGGAAATCACCATGTTTAAGAACGGTAAATCATGGTAAATCATCATTAATCATTTTTTCTAATAGCTCATGGCTTCCACAAATATCCACAAATATGTTAAATAGCAAGAGGGTTCAAAAGATAGGGAAGTGGTCAACAAAAGTACTGATGTTGCTAAAATTGGCAAGAACAGATTGTCGTTTTAAGAGCCGAGAACTGAGATGTTGTCAAAATTGTGAGATCACCTGCAAAAAAAAGGATGAGATTACCTGCAAAAGTGGGAATGCAACCCACAACGATTGGGATGATATTGGTATTTCTATAGGTCAATACTTGAGCCTTGGCCCGAAATCCTTCCAGGGGTAAGGCTGAATTACAGCCGAGCTTTCGGGTGTTCCTTTGACAGATGGGTCCCAACCCCTTCCTTCGTTCGCCGGGGGCAGTGGGCAGCAGATTCACCGGCGTCTTCAGCTGGCGACATTGCCTTGGAGATCTACATGAAGTGCAGCTCTTTGGCACGGAGAGGACTCTGCTGTTTGCCAATTATGTTCCAAAAGGCATCTTCACAGTTTATGATGCCATGATTTGTGAATCAGAGCCACTCATTCTCCGCATGGACTCACAATCTTGTTTGATTTCACATGACCCGATGAAGGGTTTTGACCATACGATCAAAGAGGTTTGTGCAGGGATGGGAGGCCTCGGCCTTGGATGTTCCATGGTGGGTGGCAAAATTCTTGCTTCCCTCGATTGTTCCTCTTTGGCATGTGAGCACCTCATGCGTAATCACCACAGTTTGATTCTTTGCAGAGACCTTTGTGATGATCATGCCAAACGAGAATTACATGAGCTTGGTGGTCCTGCATCCACCATTGTAGCAGGTTTTCCCTGCCAACCACATAGCACCCAAGGTGCTAGGCGTGGCTCCGCAGATCCCCGGCACCATGTCTTGACAGAGATCTTGCGCACAGCATACCTCCACATGACCAAATGTATGATTTTGGAATGTACTCCTCAGGCTCAGTTTGATTCAGGAGTTCGACAGGAATTGGAAGACCTTGCGAAGATCATGGGTTGGACTATCCATGACAATACTTTGGCATTGAGTCACCAATGGCCTTGCCGACGGTATCGATGGTGGATCATCATGTGCCCCAGCACTTGGGACTCCACCTCTCTTCTCAAATGGCCTTATGATGAAGACTTCCAATCAATCCAGACCATTTTGCCAGGTTGGGGCTTGTGGCCACTATCTCAGGAGGCTGAACTTCAACTGACGGTGGAAGAATTTCAGATGTATGCAGACCTCAGGCATGGCAATGACAAGCGTTTGCTCGAGCTGGACGACATTGGTCCTACGTTCTTGCACAGCTACGGCTGTATCTGCACTGCCTGCCCTTGCGGTTGCCGCAGTTTTCCTTTCTCCAGGCGATCATTGATGGACAAGGGTCTCCGTGGATGCTTTGTGCTTTCCCGGCTCCATGGACAGCCGAGATTTCTACATCCTTTGGAGCTCTTTGCTTTACATGGCGTACCACTCACGGTCACTCCATTGCCCAGTTTGCGTGCTGCACTATGTCTTGTTGGACAGTTGGCATCGCCACTTCAGGCACTTTGGGTCTTCTCATTTCTGTGCTCGATGGCATCCGGTCAGTCCGACACTCAGGCCACTGATGCAGCATTGGAAATTCTCAACCAGGTGAAGCGGCAGATGGTACGTGATCACTATCATCTTTGGCGCCAATCTGATGAAGTTCCTCGACATCTCAACATCAGGATGCCGGATGGCGAGCACATCACGATTTTGGCATCAAGCTCAATTACGGTGGCACAACTCTTGCGAGCTGAAACATTCAAACTGGCAAGAGGTGAAATGCTTCATCTTTGTGATGGCACCCGCACACTGCCAGAAGATCAAGTGCTGCTCGAGCATGGTGCTTATGGACCATATTGCATCCAAATCACTCAAACTGTTGAGCCCCACACAGTACCATCACAGTATGTGGTCTTCATTGAGTACAGAAACGACTTCAAAGTTGCCTTGGTCTTTCCTGGCACTTTTCTCTTCCAAGTCTTGCAGCAAAATGGATTGACGGGCGTCACCCACTTGGAAGATGCAGATGGCAAGTTCTATGGGCTGGACTACAAGATTTGGGGCAGCTTGCGGCTCTTGGCCAAATTCTGCCCACCATCGACTGCCCCGACGATGGCATTTGGATCCTCTTTGGAGAAGGACACAGGCTTGACCGACCTGACGGTGTGGCATGCCCTTGTCAGCATCTGCAAGATCAGCCATGGCCCCTATGATGAACCTCCACTGATGATCACTCCATCACTGGCTGAAGTGCTGATTCTGGGCACAGCCACATCTTTCCAGTGCCATGGACTTCGTGCACTGTATCAAGAAAGCGATGGCCGAGTCTATTGCATCTTTGCGGCTCGCAACCATTGGGCTCTTCTTTGTGGCATCACTGAGCACAATGCTTTGACTTGGACTTACTTTGATGGACTTCACTCATCGGTCATGGATGAGGCACTGAGTTTGGCTTGGACTTTATGCTCAGTGCTTCACATGCCTTGCACTTCAGTGGATGCCTTCAGCATGCAGCCGCAGACTCTACCATTCACATGTGGCACGATTGCCATCATGCATCTTTGCCTCCTGATGGGTTTGGAAGGACACTTCTCTCCTCAAGATGAACAGCTCCTTCACCACGCCTTGGTTCGGCACCAAGAAGCCAAGAAGCTCTTCAGACCTCTTGGACGCCCAGCAGCAGACTTAGCCGACAAACTGGCTTCTTTCCTGGAAGAACGGGGAGTTCCGGCAGATGCTTCTCACCAGCGGGCTGCGGACGCGATCAAGACATTGGGGGCATCAGCAATCAATGAAGCTTTTCAGACAGCCAACCCATGGGCTACGCTGAAAAGCCTTGCTTCCAGACCAAGTACCAGATTCAGATGGGTCAAAGAACCAGAACTGAAAGCACATATTGCAGATCAAGCCCAGAAGAAGCACGGAGCTCACATCCCCAAAGCCAAGCAGAAGAAACAAGAGTCACAAGCGTCCAAACAGATCGCCCAGGTTGATCCCACGACTCTTCGACTCCTACCTGACACATTTGTCGACGGAGATGGAGATGAAGTTGCACAAATACCTTTTCACGAGGTGGGTCAGGATGCGGTTGGTTTAGCCTTTTGCACATACCAAGAAGCCAAGCCATTCATTGAGGCGGCAGAGTTCATTAGCTCCACGGCATTGGGCCTGCTCATCAGCACTGAGATCCCCATGGACTTCTGGGGAGATGCTGCCCTTGAACATCTCTGCTTCCCGGCACTTTGCACAGCCACAGATGAGCCTTTGCTATTGCACGGCACTTTGCTTCGCCTTAGTGATGGCGTCATACAACGCAAGACCCGGAAATCGCCACAGCTGACGGTCATCGACACCAACATCTTGAAGATTCAGATTTTTCAAGATGAGATCGGCATGCCTTGGCAACAACTCACTGAAGGTCCAGTCCGTGCGCTACTGCAGATGGTGCCACAATTTCGACTTTGTCAAGGTCGTCAATGCGGGCATGATTGTGCTCTGTTCCACTCACCAGTGGGGGACAATTTGCAAGGGCTGATCATGGACATTTGGTCACGTGGCTTCTTCAACCAGCAGGGCAAGACCACGAAAGCTGATCATGCTTCCTACTTCCAAGTCATGTTCCGCATCCCTGCCGTAGCTTTGGACTTTTTGCTGCGGACAGGAGTCAAAGGAGTTTACATAGAACCAAGATCTTCACAGGTCAAAGGTCCACATGAAGACTACTGCGTGGTTTGGCTTGCTGGCCATGACAGGGACCAAGCCCTCCACAAGTTGCGAACATGCACACATGGCATCGCCATTGCACGGCTTCACCATCGCTATGGAGTGCGAGTCGCGAAGGCCCACGAGAAGAAAACGCATGAGGAGCTGCGTCCAGATGATGACTACGTGGACGTGGAGGTGAAGCAAGTCTACACCATCTTTCCAGTTCCTTTTGGGCTGCAGCGTGCTCAGATGGTGAAGCTCCTGTCAGCCTGGCAATGGCAGGCCAAACCGCTCCAGCCTACCAAAGGCAATCTTCAAGGCCAAGCATGGACGGTGGGGGCATCAACGCCACCTCCTAACAAGGTGATGCCAGGATTTGATCAAGACATCCTGATCACTCTGCAGAAGGACGTGACAGCTACTGCACAGCCTCAGACACTGGTTGCATCTAGCCGCACAAAGAAGTTCCTCAAGGAGGGCCACTCCATCAATGCCACAACAAGTTCAACCGATCCATGGCTTCAAGGACCAGATCCTTGGTCCAATTGGCACAAACCAGCAGGGGCTACTCCACAACCCAGCGCATCAGCTTCTTCTACCAGATTCTCTCAAATCCAGGACACCATTCGTGAAGAAATTCAAAAGCAAGTGCATCATGCACCTCCTGGATTGACTCCTTCCATCGACGTGCAGCGCATGGAAGTGAACATTGCAGAGCTTCAGGCCCAAGGATCTCAGTTTCAACAATGGTTTCAAGAAGCAGGCCAACGAATGAACAACACTGAAGCTCAGCTTGGGCAACTCAGACAAGTGGTTGAACAACAAGGTCAAGCAGTCGCGTCTCAAATCCACGAGATCCAGCAGGAAGTGGATAACAAGACGCAGATTCTTCAGAGCACCTTGCAGGGATCGATGGCAGCTATGTCCAAAGACCTTTCACAGGCATTGGATACGAAGCTCACCAGCCAGTTTGACCGCTTTGAGGCCATGCTGGCAAAGAAGAGCAGATGTGAATGACTATCTCAACCCCGCTGTCGACGTGCCATGGTCGGCAGGCGAGCCTCTATCTCATGGCTACTTCGTTTTTGGCTCTTTCTGCCTTGGGTGTGGGCACTGGGCCTCCAATCACCAGTAGTTGGCTCTACGTCAACCAGTACCAC